ACAGTCACTTAAGCAGTTAAAGAAAAAGATCAATTTTAAGACAAATATTAATCTGCTAAAAATAATCATGAATTACTTCAAAATAAGATCAATGATTTGTAAACATTTCAATTTAATTTAGATCAAAGTCAAATCAAACAATCTAAAATGAATGTACAATTTTAAAAAAATCAATAAATGAAACTAATGAATCGTTCTAATTGAAAACTAAAAAAGATGAATAAAAATTATAAAAAGAATTAATTAATAAAAATAAATTGATAGTAAATATAAATTCAATATATTTAGAAACAACTTTCAGAAGATGGGAAAAATCTAGGTTAATATTTAAAAGAAATCTCTTTCAAAATCTAATAGATTCCTCAGGATTAGATTCCTTAAAACCTATAAAATTTATAGAAGGAATTATCTTTAAAAGAGACATTTATTAATTCTAAATTAAATAATATGCACCTAGCTTAAATTGACCTAGTCAAATCTAACAATCAATCTAATTAAGATAAAAAATCTAGAAAATATATGAATTGCCATAATGATCTTATAGATTAAATGTAATCATACAAAGTTCATTCTGATCTAATGGTGATGATGCTAGTCTAGAGTGAAGTTATAGAGAAGTTTATGAGCTGAATATTTTGTATAAAATCTAATCTAATATATCTGTATCTTCATAAATTTGTTAGATTTCAACAAAACATATTTACTTCTTAAATTTTCTTTTGATTTATTCAAAAATATCATAATAAAACTATTTTTATTCTATTATTATTTATATATTTATTTATAAATTGATTAATAGTTATTAGAATAAAATATTATTAAAAATTATCATATATAAACTCAGAAACAAACAATAATATTAGAGGTTTCTTTATTTAGTTATAACTCCATTAAAAAAATGTTAGATAAATCAGTTAATATGATTATAATTATGATTAATATAAATTGTAAAAATTTATGGAGCGAACTTTCAAAATAAAATTTAATAGCTATAATTAAAGTGGAAATATTAATCTTAAAAAAGAAAAGTAAATTTTCTCTAACTTTAATAAAGTTATATGAAGCTTGCAAATAAATCTGAATTATTGTTTGTTATTCTTTTTTATTCCAATTTTTTTCTTATTCTTTCTTGATATATCATGTGAATTACTTTATACAATATAATCTACAACAAAAGTCTTATTATCATCTATTTTTGGTTCCATATTCTCCTTTTATATTATTAGATTGAAACAGAAACTATTTTAAAAAAGAGATTAGTATAGATACCCTTCTTAATGAAATCAAATCAATTTTTCTATTCCGTTCTGGTTTATTGATGATGAATTTCGGTAAGGTTAGCAATTAAGGTTACTGATTATTCCATTAAATATTTTTTTAGAATTTGTTAAGTTGTAAAACGATTCCAATCTCAAAGCATCGAAAAAAATTTTTCCTTTCCAAAATATGTCTTCTAATTAAGTGTGAATATTAAAAGCAAATTTTTTAATAAAATAAATAATAGAATTCAAAACTTTTTATCACAATTTTTATGATTTTTCAAATAAAAACGTACTTAAAATTAATCAAAAGGATTATAATGTATCGTAATTCTATTAGCCTAAATTTAAAAAATTTTTGGTCCTTGTAAAGCTTTTAACATATTTTTTTAATTGTTAGATATTAAAAATTTTTAATCATTTCTCAGATTTAAATTTTTTAAATAAGTAATGGAAACGATATATATTTTATTATGATACTAATTTTAATCCGAGGTCTAAAAATCTTGCTTTAAATTTTAAGTTTAATTTGGAATAATAAAGAACGAATTTTTTCTTACTATTTTCATTCAAGAGAATCAAATTTAAATAAGTAAAACTTAATTAATTTTTATTATTTTATATTTTTGATTTCGTTTATCTTATGAAGCATATTGAACAACTAAAAACAAGTAAAAAACTTTGTTCCCTTAATAAATCCTAAATTAATTTTAAAAGATATCTATTGTTTGATTTAATATATTTTTTGGTATTAGAAAAAAGAGATTTTTAAACCTATTCTCTTATTCAACTAAATTTTGATATATATTTAGATTGCAGAAAATTAGTTGGAAGATTGAACTAAATAAATTATAATAAAACTAATGTTTTATAAGATGCAAGAAAATTTTATTAAGAATTTTTATATATTAAAATATATAAATTTATATAAATTTTTTACTTATTGGTATTTCAATATTTTCTAATCTTTAAGCCTATTAAGGAAATCAAAGATTATTAATTCAGAAACTTGTAAATTTGATCTAATAATGAGCAATAATAGAATCAGATTAAGAAATAATAAATTTCTTTGAAATAATTAAGTATCAGATGAAAATATTAATATCTTACTCAATGCTTCATTATAAATATAGATATGCCCAAAAATATGTTATTTATTTATCAGATTAAATTTAATCAAATTTAGAGGGTTTAACATCCTATTTATATTTATGTCAAATTTTAAATAAGAAACAACTAAAAAAACTGAAACCTTAAATTTATGAAGTTATAAAAAACTTAGAACATTATTTTTTATATCAGGTTTAAAATTAAAAGAATTTTAAATTAAGACATATTCTCTACATTTTATTGAAAATTTCATTCCTTCAATAGGTCTAAAAAATTTTTAATTTGAAGAAAGTAAACTCTCAATTTATTTAACCAATTTTCAAGCATGATTTTGCTTCATTAGTAAAAAACTAGAAATCTAAGCTGAAATTTTATAGAAAATTGGGTAAGATTTAATATAAAAATTAAGTAAGTTAAATTTAAGCTGTTATTAATATACGTGTCTCAATTAAAATATGGGAGTAACAGATTCAATAAAATTATTTTCATTATTCATCCTTTTTATCGAGCTTATTAAATTGTGTATGACGAAAGATTTATAGAATTAACCACTAAATCTTTTAATAATATTTCAGTTTCAAAAATTAATAAAAATCTACATATTGCTATTTAAAATTTTTCTAAAATTTCTTTATCAAAAATTAGTGTTAAGAAGATTTAATGTTGATATATAATTCAGGAATCTACAATTTTATCTATTTTATTTTATAGGAACTTGGATATTATTTAGTTGACATTTTTTTTTGAAATTAAAATCATCATACTCTTTAATGGTAATATTTTTGTTAGAATTTGTAAATCACTATTATAGAGATCCTTTTAATTATTAAACTAATAGACAGATGTTTTTCAATGATCTTTTCAGATATTTTATACAAAGAATAACTATTGATTTTTTTCTGCGTCTATTAGATTTATCCATAATTGCTAATTTAAATAATGAATATTTAGATTTAAATTTAGTAAAATTCAAAATTTTTGAAGTTTTAAAAATACTTTTATCGAGTAAAAGTACAAAGCTTGAATTCATTCTAAGAAATAATATCAACTACTTTTCTAATTGCAATAATGTATTAAAAAAATAGGTAAATTAATTACGTTTATTATTTTAAACTCTTAATATTTTCATAACTTTCAGATTTAAATTTGATTTTAAGATTAAAAATAAGATAATTCAATTTAAACTGTGTGAATAAGAATATTTTTCTAATTTAATTAAACTAATTTACATATATATCATTTTAAAGATTGCCTCAATATAATAGATTGAATTACAATTATAAAAAATTGAAAAGTTAAATAAAATGAGACTTTCATTATTTTTTCTGAATATTATTGTTATGCCTTTTTATAAATCTATTAAAAAAATAACTAAATGGCTTGAAAATTTTTTAGAATTCTCTTTTTTATAATGTTTATTTTTTAAAGTTTCTAAAAGATTAATTTCATTATGTTAATAATGATATACAATTTAATTAATAAAAGTAAGTTTATTTGATGAATTAAAAAGGGAATTACAGCAATTACTAATTATTTTTTTCAAAACAAAATATAACTGCATAATCTGTTTTTATAGTATAAGTCTTGATATATGAAAATTAATCTAATGTTTTGTAATGATTAACTAGAATAATGTTTAAAATGTTAGACTCACTTAAAATTAAAATTTTGTTTCTAAAATAAAAGAAATTCATTAAATTGCTTAAAATCATTAATTTATCCTTAATAATTCTTATTTTTCATATATTAGGATCTCAATTCAAAATTTCAACAAACAGCTGATTCAAGAATTTAATATGCAGTTAATTAATGATATTTAGGTTAATTTGATTATAATTCAAATCTAAAATTGTCAAGTGTATACTTAGATTTTAATGAATAATTAATAGAATTTATTTTAAAATTTTTAAAAGGGATATTTGATATTTGAATATGGAGAAGTATTAGTTTTGATTTTTAGATTCTTATAAATGAATATAAGATATAAGAGACCAGATAAATTAGTTAAAAAATACTAAAACAAAGATTTATTTGATAAATTAACAAAATCAATATTAATAGAATTCACAACATGAACCATAGTTTTCACATAGTATATACAAAAACCCTTTCCCACAAATCATCACACACCATTGTCTTACAATCACGAGAAAAACAAATTTGCGCATCAGCTTCAACTTGTTCGTAAATTTTAATTTCTTCACCTTTTGAAATATCAACAAACGCAATTTTATTATCATTATTTTTTATCACCAATTATTGATCATTTGATGAAAATTATGCTATTTTAATTGAATTTACAGATCCTTTAAAAGTTCTCAACAACTTTTTTGTTTATATATTCCATAATTAATATATCTATCTATTTTTTTCATTAAGTCCTTCTGCTAGTAACATATGGCCACTATAGGAAAATGAAATTGATATGCTAGTTTATATTTTAGTCCTCCAAAAATGCTTGAGTTTGCCATTTTATGTATAATATAAATGAATAATGCAAAATATTTTACTAATAGCTCCAAGAAAACATTCTAAACGATGAATTGATAAATAAGCGATTTCGTGATAACATGAGATTCTCTACAATAGTTTCCTATTATTCACACTCCAAATTCGAATATGTAAATCTTTACTAGCACTTACTAATAAATTAGATTATGTAAATTTTAAGCAATTTATAAAATTAGTTTTTTCTTCTAACCTATATTGTTTTGCATTATGTTTTAAATTTATGACCCATACTTTAGGATCTTAGACGTAGTTATTATAATCTAAATTTTCATAAACTGGATCACTATCTTCACTATAAGCAAGCCAATTAACATCTTGAGATATAGCTATATCATTAATAGATCTACTTAAGATCTTACGACTATAACAATTTTTTTATTAATCCCAAATTCTAATCCATCCCATTTCACTACCTATTACAATCCATCTAGAATCAGAAGAAATTGCAATAGATGAATGATATAATAAATTTTCTAATTTAGTTTTGAGAGTGGGTCTTTGTAATGCAAGCATTCAAAACTAGGTTTTCTAAAATATATATAATTTTTATTATAAAAATCACATAAATATTTATCCTTAATATATTATATATAGAAATTAGATAATTATTATATAATTATCAATGAAAATTTGAATCATTCCTAGTAAAACTTTAAATCATAAATCAATTAAAAACATTTACTTCCAATATTGCTATAATTCTAATTCTTGGGGAAATTCCTCTCTTGAAATTAGCTTTTAAGTGTAAAAAACCTAGTCAAACCTAAATATTAAAATATTCATATTAGAAAAACGACTATTCAAATAGGATGAAATTTTAACAGTTGTGTAAATTTATTAAAATGGGAAGTATAACTCAGATATCATGATATTTTAAGTTACTGAATATATTGTTTATTGATAATCCATGCATTTGAATTACTAATTTAAATTATTGATTCAAATAAACACATAACTTATAAAGTCATAAAGCAGCCATAGTTTAATATTTTTAATAAAAATAAATAAATTAATCTACATGGGTTGTTCTTAAAGCTTAACAGTAGATGATGATCAATCTGTGATCCTTATAAAACCCAAAACCCTTAAATTCAAGTCTCATAATTCCAATTTGGAATCTATTTTAAAGAAATAATATACAGACAGAAGTGGATAGGCTTTTTACATTGTCCCAACCGAAAATGCTTCTTTCTCAAAAGTTCCAGTTTTATAAGGGCCTGATTCTAATCAGATAGTTTTGAGAAGACGATTATCAAAATTATCTAGTAGTCCTTCAAATATTGTGAAAGTCTAAACTTTGCCAATTTATTTTTGAGAATAATTGAATAAATGAATATATGTTGTCTATATTTTTAATAAAATTGCAAAATAAAAAAATATTTATAATTCAAAAAGGAGAATCCCAAGGTCCAAAAGAATTACTTTTATTCAATATATTAATGGGTGATTTAAAATTTAATGTTATTTTCTTGGGAGCAATATCATTTTAAATTTTAGGCATGTCTGTCACAAATCGTTTATGAATATTTGTTTTGCCTAATATATTTTTTGAGGTTCGACTTTACAATTCTTTTTTTTTTGGTTTAATTACTTCATGTACAGAAATCAATCTTAAAATTGTTCCATATTCTTCAGAAGGTGGGTTCCATGGTTTTGGAGTTAAAGTGTTTTGAGATTTATAATACAACCTTAATCTTTACTAAAAAGTCATTTGATGTAATTTTTATTAAGGAGGTGATTAACTTAAAGGTTAACCAACATAGAGTTTTATTTCTAATGGGGGTATTGGAGATTATCGTTATCTAATCAAAGACTTACTCATTCTCAATTTGTTTGTATTCATAAATTTATTATAAATTAAATTGCTTAGATAATTATGTTTTAAGTTTTGTAAAGTATTAAATAAAGAGAATCTTTATATATAAAATGTAATAAATTAATAGATCGAGTAATAATCTTTTAAATCATCTATTATTGATATTTGCAAAGTATCATCAATTAATCTAATAGATTCATATTTATTTTGCCAATAACAGAGAATTAGTTTTCAAAATGGTTGAATCATATTGATAATGAAAAATTAACAAATATGGCATTACTAATTTCTAAACATCTTTAATTTTTATCAGAAAAAGGAAAATTGTATTTTGAAAATAGAATAAAAAAATTATCAAATGGTTTTACAAACATATAAATATGTTCTCTTATATAGAAAGAATATTTCCAAAATTTACAAAAAATACAAAAACTTTATTGATTCGAATCTTCTTAAATTTATAAAATATGAATAATTTAAATCAAATTAAGTGTGTATTAGCTATTTTGGAAAATAGCAACTTTATGCTTAAACCTATAATTGAGAAGCTAAAATCAATCTCACGCATAATTGATTTAAACTCTAATGATGAAATCATTATGTATTTTTAATTATTTTACAGTAATCTTATTCATAATTGGATTGCTTTAGTTACAAATAGAGAGGAAACAAAAACTAAATTGAATGAAATCTTTATGAAAATAAAAAGTGACTCTACCATATTAAATCTAATACTTAATTAGATTGTTTAAATTTAGATAAAATCTTTAAATAAATAATTAAATAATCTACTGAAGAAAATTTTGAATTCAAAAGATTCCTTGGATTTATTTAATTCATTTGAGCCTGCAAATATAAGAATGTATCTATTAAGGATAAGGTTGATATTTCCAAATTATGTGAAAGAGTTATTTTTAAAACTTACACCTCTCGAAATAGTTTAAGTAAAATTATTGTTTATTATTTTAGATAATCAGTGATTTAGATAAAATTATTCCAATTGATATTTAGATAAATTATTTAAAATAACATGTTAATTCTAATGAACTACAAATAAATAATAATAATTATTATATAATGTTGTAAGCTGCTAATCTTAAATATTTACTATTCATTTAAACTTTAGGTTAAGAATTAAGTGAAATATTGATTTCAAACATAAATTACACGATTGAAAGTTTCAATATAAATAGTCTTATAATGATTGTTATTGAAAAATGAGAGTATAATTGATAATCAATGAGTTTATTGAGATTTAAAATATATCATTATGGAAAGGAAATAAAAAACCAAAGAAATTACAATAAAAACTACTCAGATTAATAATAGTATTAAAATTAACTGTGCTTAATAATTCACAAAATTATATAGTTTTTAAAATGAGTATTTATAAGTAAAAAGATATGTTTTAATTAGAATCTTCAGGAAAAGGTATAAATTGATAATTTGGAATAAGTTTAGTAAATTTTAGAGTTTTGAGATAATAGAGTATTCAAAATAAGGTGACAGAGGATCTATTGAATGATATTGAGAGGATATTGATAAATAAATACTTAATTACATAAAAATGAATAAGCATTATCATATCAAAATATTAAACAACATCTTGATTCATTAACAATAAGTGGTTAGGTCTATTGATATTATTTTTATTTTAAACAAAGAAAGGGTTAATCTTTAGAATTGTTGTTATTTTGTATAATTTCTTAATCTGATTCAGAAGACTCACTATTGATTTGAATATTGTTAGAAGTTGGAACATTAGGAGATTATTAATTTGAGATCGGTAAGAATACAATTTTATGATTACCTCCTTTAATAATTTGATTGCCAGCAAAGTCTGTTCTTGTTTAAGGACTGAAATAATTGGTTTAATTGTTCTTTAAGATTGGTTTGAGTTTGTTTAATACTTAATTAGAGTCATGTAATTGTTTGAGTTCTGTTTATGACATTATTAATTAAATTATGTTAGGATAAATTTTAGCATGGCTCTGTTAATTAATAGATTAGTTTATTACACAAATTCGTAAAAGAATAAGACCAAGAACAAGAATGGAATTAAGGAGATATCATTAAATTCCAAGATCAAATTCATTTTATACAGGAAAATTAAGATTATTGATAGGATTAGAAGGGACTTTAGTTTGTACAAGTCCTACTTATATTCAAGGATGGGATAAGATTAATATTAAGTAATATTCTAATAATATATTAATTGAGATATCCTTCAGGTGCCACATAAGATTTCTATGTTAAACATAGACCATATCTAGATTAATTTTTATTGATCGTGTCAAAAATATATGATGTGAGCATCTACACAACTTAGATATAAGAATTTGCTGTTCCAATTATTAATCGGTTTTGCATTCAAATCAAGCATAATTTTTACAGATACAAGTAAATTTTATTTTTCACATAGTCATGTGTATTATCTCGTAACAAAATCACAAAGGAAATAAATATGACAACATCTAATCCTCATAATGTTATTTTTGTAGATTATGATGAGGATCAATGTTAAGGTATTAAATTTTAACATTCATTCAAGCTAATTCTGAAAACGCTTATCCCATTATTTAATATCAAGGTTAAGATAATGATACAGAATTGTTAAAATTGATGCAATTTTTAATATAAGCTGAAACTTAGATGAAGGTTCGTAAAGAACAGGATCCTGCAGTTACAATTTAGGATATACTTTAAGAAATGATAGATGAAGATTGAAAAAATGAAATAAATATATGAATAAAACAAAAAATATTATTAATATTATTAAGTTCTCTTATGAATAATAGATAGAGTAAGTTTTTAATAAAATACTATATATCCATATATATATACATTTTATATCATTTATATAATATAATATAATATGAAGAAATGATAACATTTTTTATACAAAAAGTTTGTTAATTTTTAAAATTTCAATTATTGTAATTGTATATGGTTCAAAGAATTCTTAAAAATATAAAAATATAGAGAATATTGATTAATTGAATTATTCAAGCTTTATTGACTATTATTGGTGTGATTATAATTGAATAAATTATTTATTTAATAAATTAATGAAAAGGTTATCGTCTCAAAATAAAACTACTCGTTCATCTTAAGTGATTTCGAATGGTATATATTTTGGATAATTTTAAAATCTATAACCTCTTTTAACAGCTACTTCAAATACATAGTTAAAGTAAGATTTGAGAAGAAGAAATTTCATACCAAGAAAGAGATTATAATCACCAAAAATTTTATCTCCAAGACAAATAAATATAAAGCCTTTGAAAAGTTTTTTCTAAACGAAGCCTTCTCCTAAAGCATCTTAAAGACCACCAACAATAATTGCAACATAAACAACAAATAGATCAACAGTAATTAGAATAAGAAGCCCAATTAAGAGAAATTAATAACCAATAATTAGTTAAGAAATGGATAATAAATCAATTGAATTACTTTAAGAATTAGTTAATAGTTAACTAAATAAAACATCAAGAAAGAAAAGAAGACCATAAACTGCTGGTGGATTCACAATACCAACATAACATTTTTCAAATAACATTGAAAACTATTTAATATAAGAATAGATTGGATAAGGTAGTTATGGGATTGTAAGAGTTGGATTAAATTTATTAAATGGATAGTAGGTAGCAATAAAGGTTTATGAAAGAATGAAGATTATGTAAAAAAAAGAATACATAAGAAAAGAAATCTAGATATTATCATCTATATAACATCCAAATATTGTTTAATTACTTGATGTGATTTACACTGATGTATATCTTTTAATATTCAGACCCAAGTGCACTTAGTTATGGAATATGCTGGTCCATTATCATTAAGATAATATTTAAAATAATAGCCAAACAAGTTGATACCTGAAAATGATGCAAAAAATATCTTTCTTTAAGTTGTTAAAGCAATTGATTTTTGTCATTCTAAAAATATTGTAATTCCTATATAAATAAAGTATAGATACATCGGGACATCAAATTAGAAAATATTTTAATTAGAGACAACAAAATTAAATTGATTGACTTTGGTTTTAGTTCATTTATTGAACATAAAACTATTTCCTATTGTGGAACACCTTCGTAATCACTTTCATAAAAATACTAGATATATGGCCCCAGAGATAATATTGAAAATAGATTATGGAAAGCCTGCTGATATATGGTCATTAGGAATATTACTTTATGTAATGTTACATGGTAAGTTTCCATTTTAAGGGAAAGAATAAAAAGAGTTGTTTACTAAAATTAAAACAGGGATCTTCTCATCTAATGGAATATCTTAATAAGCATAAAGATTAATTAATAATATGTTGAGAGTTAGGTCATATGAAAGATGCAATACAAAAGAAGTATCTATATCATCTATTAAATTAGATTATCAAAGATTAATGGTTTCAATAATGATTTTATAACACATTCGATTCTGTTATATTGAATATTAACATTTACAATAATTTATTTAGAACTACGTTAAGTCTTTTTACTCTATGATTAAAATAGTCTTTGATTAATTTTTAAGATTTTGACTAAATATATAATCACTTAAAAATATGGAATGATAATTATTCTACCTAAATTGACATAAATCTTTTTTAGGTTAATCACTTTATTTTTAGATGATTATTGTATAATCTGTTAATTATTCTTAAATTAGTTAATGAAAAATTAATTAAACATATTTCTATTAAATTAATAATAGTAAAAATAGTAGAGCAATATAATCTTTTAATTATTAAGTAATTAATTGTATAAATTTTTTTGGAATAAATAATTTTCCAAATATTTTTATAATTATACGTCATTCAGGGGTTTAAGAGCAATGAAAGCAATTAAGAATTTAATAAAATATAATATTAATGAAAATATTTGAGACCATTGTCAAGTACTGTGAGAAAAATGATATAAAGTTAATTGAATCAGGTTGGCTATTATACTGTCATGTATTGGGAATGATTGGTATAATTTGGAGTTTCTTCTTGGAGTCTGAATTGTTTTATAAATATTACCTAGTAAAAAAATTAGTTAAATTTAGGCTTTCTTAATTTGGCATAGCTTAACAGGTTTAGGAATCACAGGTGGAGCTCATAGATTATGGGCACATAAATCATATAAAGCATCATGGCCAATTAGAGTGTTTTTAATGTTTATGAATTCAAATTGTTTTTAAGGAAGTATTTGGCATTGGAGTAGAGATCATAGACTTCATCATAAGTTTAGTGTATATAAACTATAAATATTTAAAGGATACACCATTAGATCCACATAATTCTTAATTAGGATTATTTTTTTCACATTGTGGATGGTTATTGAAAAAAAAGAGTAAAGAGCTAGTTGATGAAGGAATGAAACTTGATTTATCAGATTTAAAAGCTGATTCTGTTGTAATGTTTTAAAAGAGACATTATTATAAAATGGCTTTCCTTTGGGCTTTTATAATTCCAACTTTGACTGGTTTAATTATAAGTGATAAATGGTTCTTTAGTTTGTTGTTCTTAGGTTTTGGAAAATACATCTTTACATTGAATGCAACATGGTATTTCTTATAATTTTATATTAAGGTGTGTTAATTCAATTTGTCATTTTTATGGAAGTAGAAAATGGAATCCAAGAATTGAACCAAGAGATAACATTTTTGTTTCATTAATTACTTTAGGTGAAGGATGGCATAATTGGCATCATGAATATCCAAGAGATTGGAGAGCTTCTAAAAATGAATGGTGGATGATTAATCCAACATGTTCATTTATTTAGATGTGTGAATATATTGGATTAGTTAACACCAAAAGAGCAAAACAAGAAGACAAAGTAAAATATGATTATTGATTTTATTATTCATTTGAAATACAAATCAATTTCTTTTAATTATTATTATTATTATCTTTATAAATACTCTAAAATTAAAGATCTATTTTAATTTCATTAAATCTTTAGGATATTTCTAAAATTAATTACTTTCTTTTAAGATTTTAATCACTAAATTAATAAAAACAGAAGTAAATAAATGTTTATCATTTTATAAGTTCTAATTTTGAATCCTAATTTAAAATGTTTAAAAATTTAAAGCTTCTAAAAATTAATTAATTATTAATAAATAGCTAAAATAATAATTATTATATCTAATTTATATAAATACTAGCAATCATGCTTCTTAATTTGCATTTAAGCAATAATTGATATAAAATCTTTTTGATTTATCTGCTAATGTTGACCAAGTTTAATATATTGATTAACAACCCCATACTTCTGATATAATCTATTTATATTTTAATTAGTACTCCTGAAAACTCAAAAAATTATTTTGTAATAATTTATTTCTTTGAAACACTATTTGATTTTACAATAAAGTTTGTTGGTTAATTTAAATTTACTTATCCTTCCAAAGCCTTTGATATCTTTTTAGATAGACTATAATTTTCATCTGTTTACTAAGATAACAAATTTAATAATTACTAATGAAAATCTTAAATCTATATCTTCCAAAGGTGTTAAAACCTAATGACCAAAACATTCTTTCAATATTTATGATGTTAATTCATTATAATCTCCTTTCTAAACTTAAAAATGTTTCCAAATATAATTTTTCATGTCTTTAAGATTTATCTAATTCTTAATAAATTATTTTATCAGCATTCTAATCACAATTAATTCAGATTCATTGAATCTTATATTATTAGAAATTGATGGTAGAATTGAAATTCTTTTACAAATTTATTGATCTAAACTATATTTTAATTTATCACAACCATTATCATGAAAACTATAAGAAGCCTAAATATGAAAACATTCTTATACTCCAAAAACAGAAAAAAAGTTATTCATTACAGTTTATACTTATTTTTAAGGAGCATAGATCTCTCCTTCAACTCTCTTCTAATATTCAGTTAATATACATTTTTCTAATTTTCCAGCTACCAATATTAATACCTCTTCATTTTTAATCTACATATATATATTATATATATACAGTAAAATAATATTGTCTAGAAATTCCTGGACCAGATATTTTCCAAGCTAACCAATTTTCTGTTGCAGGAACTCTTCCTAAACATTTCACAAACTAAAATTTTATTATATATATTGTTACTAATATCATTAAGCAATCATATAATGATCTAAATACATATCTAAAGTGTCCAAAAATTATCATAAATAAACTACCTAAAGGTAAAATAACTAAACAAAGTAATAAATTAATGATTAAATTTAAAACTCCTTTTACTATGAAATCAAAAGTATTCCGTAATAGAGGGAACCAAAGTGGAGTTGAAAATATATTCCATTATTCCCTATCTGAACAATCAAAATCATAAATAAATAATTAAAATAGATAGCTATTGTTAATATTAATAGAATATACGTTAAAATTAATACAATAGGTATCCATGCCCATGCAGTTAATGCTAAGACCAAAGAGATTGTAAAATTGGCAAGTATCAAAATAGGAATTACAATTAAAACACCTATTATACCAACAATTAAAAAACGGAAAAAGTAAACTTCAACATAATTGCATATTCTAGCACAATTTTTACCAAAGAAACCTGTATCAGGTGAATTTTCAAAATCTCTTCTTGATTAATTCATGCCTTTACAAACATTTGCCATATGGACGACCACAGGTGTAACGGAATAATTAGTATGTCTAACTACACCTGTTCTTGAATTAATTTCAACATCTGGATAGAAAACACTAATTATGACATTTATTTATTATACTTGCATTAAAATAAAGCTCTGATGCCTAAAGGTCCAGATATTCCATTTGCAAATAACCAAAAAATAACATTAGCTGTCCAAGCAAAGTATCTAACTATTATCAAATAAAATTTCCATAAAGGAAAATTAGATTTTATTATATATTACTTTTCTCTTTCAAGTCTAAATGTATCTCCTATTTTAAGTATATTATAAGGAGGGAAACAATAACGAGTTCTATTTAATATTATTTATATTCTTACACTTCTATTCTAATATTCACTCTTTTAGATTCTTATTCTACTTTATCAATAAGTTCTTTTAACTCTTTTTTCATTTAACTCTTTTGTTAAAGATAATTTATATAAACTTCAACCTCTTTTATATTTTATTTTTTCAAATCTTCAATAAATAATATTCTATATTTCTCTTTTAATCCATGTTTCATTTATTTTTTGAATTAAAACCTTTACTCAGATACAAAATGATATGATTTTGAACGGATCGGATGTTCTTCTAATAATTTCTTTTCAAATTCAGTCATTTATTATTGTAATTCATTCTAATAAAAAAATTTATATTATTTTACATCTAACAAATCTTAGAAATAATTTTAAGTTCTTTTGCATTCATTTAAATCATTAATATTATTAATTAAGACATGATCATCTTTTAATTTATTTTTCCAAAATTTCAACTAAGCTAAGGTAATTGCATTATTTATTTATTCATTTACATCTTATTAAGTATTAACTTAAATTCCATATTCTTTTAGATAATCTTTACCTAGAAGTTTAATTTATTCATTAATATTTTCTAAATATTCTTTTTATTCTTCATGATCATCAAATTTTTAATTGTTTCCTGATTATTCAATCAAATAATCAAATTAATTTTATATAGATAATTTTAAACCTTATTGATGATCTCTAAAATCTTATTAAATTTTAATTAAATTTTTCATTTTTTCTTCTGCATCTAATTTCGATTATTGATTGTTCTAAAATTGTAAAAATTCATATATTCTTTTACTATAAAAATCAGATAATCTGAGATTATATTATCTCTTAGCCTCTATTTAATTTTCAAGTTAATGAATATTAATATCTGAGCATGTTTCTCGAAATCCAAATAGTAAACTAAAATATAATGTTAATTTCTATTTTAAATTAAAAGGATACTGTAAAGATGTTAAAAATTGAACAACGAATCGTGCATTGATTACCATCACTGTCATTAACATTATAGATTGAGTTTTTCTCAAATTTATAAATATGATAAGCAGTTCCAATATCTGAGAAATAACTTTTTGTAATATTTTAACGACCTGAAGAATAAGAAAATAATAATATTTTTACCTTTAACAATGAATGAGGATATTTACCAAACATAAGGTATTTAGAATTACATAGATTAAATTTCAAAGGTTCCTGATTAAAAAATTTAAGATATTTATGTATTATTTAGATCTTAAACTTAATGGAATTCATTCTAATATTAATTGAGATAATTAACCTATAATAAATCAGGTCTATGAGGAAAGATTTAGCAATTTCCAATAAAGGAAGATGGAGGAAGTTAAAATGGATAGAAATAATCATGTTATTAATGGTTCACATCCCAAATTTTGAGATATTGAGATAATGCAATTGCACTTTAATAAGTAGAATCTTGAACATCTTAAGGAAGCTTTTCAACTTTGGAATCAATCTGAATTTATAAAGTTATTACATTTAAATTTACTCTTTACCCTTGAAAATCGCATTAAATTTAATTAGGTAATTTGTAAAAGTCTTTGTTTTAATCCAAGGAATATGAAAGATTGAAATCCAAATCAAATTAATCATGTCCATTTTCCATGATAATAAAATTTAATTTAATTATTATTACTATATATTAATATCAATAAAAATTGATTATCTATAATTAAAATGAAATAACAGTATAAAAGTTTTCGTATTATTGTATACTTCATAGAAAAAGATTACAAATACTTTTTATATTTAATATAGGCCATTCTCAAATCTAATATGGTATGATTAATGTAATCTTCTGCCTTATCTTTATGATTAATGTAATCTTCTGCCTTATCTTAAGAAAAACCTTAATTTCTTTTAATTTTAAATTACTAAATATCTACTCAGTATCCTGAGGCAAAATAGTTTCTCTAACTCCAATAAAAATTAAATCTAAGATATTAAATCTTAATCAAACAGAATGAAAAACAACTATCCTAAATTCTAGTTTCTTCTTGCTATTATATAATATATCTCCGTCTTAATTAACATAATTAGCAAAAGGAAATGAATCAGTACCAAATATCAATCCATAAGATTTATATGTTGTCAAATATAAAATAAATTTTATCATCTCCATTATGTTCGGCTAAGGTAGAGAGTTATTAAAATTGCTTCAGAACAAAATATGCTATTTACATGCAAGATTATTAATCGAACTTCATTTAATTCATATTCATTATGATATTTAAGTTCCATTCGCTTTATTGAATTCCTTGTTTGTTCNTTTACCTTTAACAATGAATGAGGATATTTACCAAACATAAGGTATTTAGAATTACATAGATTAAATTTCAAAGGTTCCTGATTAAAAAATTTAAGATATTTATGTATTATTTAGATCTTAAACTTAATGGAATTCATTCTAATATTAATTGAGATAATTAACCTATAATAAATCAGGTCTATGAGGAAAGATTTAGCAATTTCCAATAAAGGAAGATGGAGGAAGTTAAAATGGATAGAAATAATCATGTTATTAATGGTTCACATCCCAAATTTTGAGATATTGAGATAATGCAATTGCACTTTAATAAGTAGAATCTTGAACATCTTAAGGAAGCTTTTCAACTTTGGAATCAATCTGAATTTATAAAGTTATTACATTTAAATTTACTCTTTACCCTTGAAAATCGCATTAAATTTAATTAGGTAATTTGTAAAAGTCTTTGTTTTAATCCAAGGAATATGAAAGATTGAAATCCAAATCAAATTAATCATGTCCATTTTCCATGATAATAAAATTTAATTTAATTATTATTACTATATATTAATATCAATAAAAATTGATTATCTATAATTAAAATGAAATAACAGTATAAAAGTTTTCGTATTATTGTATACTTCATAGAAAAAGATTACAAATACTTTTTATATTTAATATAGGCCATTCTCAAATCTAATATGGTATGATTAATGTAATCTTCTGCCTTATCTTTATGATTAATGTAATCTTCTGCCTTATCTTAAGAAAAACCTTAATTTCTTTTAATTTTAAATTACTAAATATCTACTCAGTATCCTGAGGCAAAATAGTTTCTCTAACTCCAATAAAAATTAAATCTAAGATATTAAATCTTAATCAAACAGAATGAAAAACAACTATCCTAAATTCTAGTTTCTTCTTGCTATTATATAATATATCTCCGTCTTAATTAACATAATTAGCAAAAGGAAATGAATCAGTACCAAATATCAATCCATAAGATTTATATGTTGTCAAATATAAAATAAATTTTATCATCTCCATTATGTTCGGCTAAGGTAGAGAGTTATTAAAATTGCTTCAGAACAAAATATGCTATTTACATGCAAGATTATTAATCGAACTTCATTTAATTCATATTCATTATGATATTTAAGTTCCATTCGCTTTATTGAATTCCTTGTTTGTTCTACCAAAAGCAAATAAGATATTTAATTGAAATTAAGAATTATAAAATTGATATTGTGATATCCTATTATTAAACCTAAAACAAAAAATAAAATTCGATAAAGTGATAACAATAATAGATAGATAATTGAAAAACAAATTTAGTTCTTTTCTAAGTGTAGTATCATCTCATCCTAAACTTTCTACTAAATCACCTATTTATCCTATTATTGAATTATCTACTGTGATAGAACAAAAACTTTATTATTTTTATTTTCTGAAGATAACTTTGACTAGTGCTTTAAGTAGACTTCAACAGTAATAATCCTTTCCCCTATAAGAATTGAATTATCTATCTTCATTTCATTACTCTTCACAATTATACCAAAACAAATTCTTTTACTATTTTCAATTATAAAATATTTCCAGGAATTAACTTAGATGTTTAAAATTTCTAATATAATCCTTCTGATAACTATGTTCTCAGAATGAATAAAATTCTTTAAGGCATCCTTAATGGCCAAAAATCTTTTGTTTTATAAGATCATAACCATAATCTTTATCACAAAATAATGCTTATGTTTTACAATTAAGTTCTTACATTTGAAGGATCCCAGATGCTAATCCATATGTTGACAATTCAATTTCACAGAAATATTGCAAAAATCTATTTTAATTTAAGTATGTTTAATTTCTTAATTAAAAAGTTATTCTAATTTTTTAACCGCATAAACACAGTAATGATTTAATTGAAGCTGATAATTTTGAAAAAAATTTCATTTGAAAAATACACATTTCAAGATTTAGTTATGATTATCTAGTTTATAATTAATGTAAATTTATTAAATGTATATAATAAAAATTAAAATCAATCAAATAGAACCAGAAAATGTCTCATTATCATAATGTAATAACAAATTTTTAATTCTGATTAATATGTTTTTATTACATCATTTTTTTCAAGTTTTTGGATATAATTAAAATTTAAAATATATGAATAAGTATTTTTTAAAAATTAAATCATCATCTTGATTTTGATACAGAAATAATAAATTATGTAATAAGTTAACTTTTTTTATTTATTCACATTTATTTCGATTCATCAAATCTAATAATAAGCATTATATAAGATTATCCAAATTTTTCAAATATAAATTTAAGAATAATAGAAGAAAGCTTTGGAATAAGAAATTTTTAAATTCACTTATAGACATCCATTTTACATTTTGAATTAATATAAAATTAAATTAGATTATAAAGAAATTAGCTTGACAAATTTGTTTGAAATGAAGCAATTTAATTAATTGAAAAACTTTAACTATTATGTAGCGAGCTACCATATATTACTTGAAATAAATTTTATAAACTTAAACAGATTATGTTTATATTTGATTCATTTGATTTCAGAATTTTAAATATTTGGAATTTTGGTATTAAATTTAAACGAAGAATTACTTAAATTACCAATGATGAACATTGATTATGGATTGAATGTTATTTCTATTATTTCAAGACCATATAAATTACTTGTCCAAAATAACTTTTTTTTATATTCTTATACAATCCCATTAGCAATTCTATTGTTATATATAGTCCACTAAATAATTACATTTTATTAGTTTTCAAAGTAGTCTTAAAAAAGTATAACAGAATATGTAATGAAAAGCAATAATATTAAACTCATTTTTCATGGTTTAAATTTAATTTTTTTAGCAATTTTTGATAAGCTATTCTGTATACCATGTATTCAGTTGGTTTGTTATTCAATTCAAAAAAATATTAATATAGAAACTTATGGAGTTGTAGAATTTATAAATACATTATTTTCAATTTTAGCACTTTTTCTAATATTTTGGATACAATTATTATATTTAATGTTAATTAAAGAAGCGATTACATTATAACTATTTAATTTTAAAGTGTTAATATTTTAAGGATTAGATTATTTTTATACATTGATAATTTATATTTTAGTGATAATTGATTGTATGAATTTAGAAAAGGTTGTTAAGAATTATCTAATTTTTGTTATGTTTGTAATTTCATCTATCATAAAATTGAATTAATTTATGACCAAGTATCAGTATATATGTGAAATACAAGATTATTTAATTAATTTAAATGTTACATTCATTATGATATCAGCAGCTTTGATGGGTAATGAATTTATAGAGGATAAGAAGAATTTAATCATTATTATAGTACTTATTCCAAGTTTATTGATAACAATTATTTAATAATTTAAAAAAAAAATTGATTTTAGTATGATTGTTATGCTACCTGAAAATTAATCAACATAGACATAACAATATTTGATCAGTGTTTTTTCATAAAAAGATTCATTAAATAATATTCAATAATTTAGTCTTTCTTTATTTTTATTTTACCATAAGAGCAATTGTTAAGACAAATCATGTTCATGTAAAAAGCAAAGATTTTTGGAAAATGAAATAAAATTAAGATAATTATATCTAAAATAATTAATATTAGATTTCGGGAAATCCATAAACAAATTAACTGATTAAAGTTTAAAAGGATTCTTCTCCCTATTTTATATATAAAGTTTGATAGCAATTAATTAATCAGTAAAGGCTTATCAATAAACTAATATATTATTACTAAAATAAAATGTGCATTAAAATATTGATCAGTAAAACATTTTTAGTGAATAAACAAGTTATTCAGTTACAATTGAAGAAAATTAAAATGTTTATAAAAAGAAGAGCAACTCAGATATGATTCATAAACTTGAAAAGATCTCCTTAAATTATATTAGTTATATTAATCTTATAAAAATCAGTATAATATTAGAGATAGCAAAATAAAATTTAATATCAAGCTTTAGTTTTGGAAATGTTGTATAGAAAACCTAATTAAGTTAAAGTGTATAATTATATATGAAAGTAGAGGAATAGCATCAATAATTAAAACAGAATATTATAAATATTATCAATAGGAAAAAAGATATCTTTATGATAATGTCTTCAACTACGAGATTAAATCCTGAAAGATTTTTACATTAATGTTTAGATTTAATAAAAAAAATAAACTTTATGGAAAATTAATTGTAACATTTGTTTTAAGAATTTCCAAGCAAAAAAATGCAATCTATATATTCATTTTATTGTGCTGAAATATTAAATAGTTTTATGTAAGCCTATAGGATTATAAATTATAATGCAATTTCTGATAATGCGTTAATTAAAATATAAAAAAATTATTAAGTTGATTTATTGACTACATAATTACATTATATGATTTTAGTAATGGATCACTAAGGAACAGGATTATAGATAGTAGAAAGATCTCATTAAATGCATAAAATAGCTGAATATGATCAATAAGATTTTAAAGAAGTTAAAAGTATACTTTCCTTATTGCCAAGAGGATTTTCAACAATACATAAGCACTTAATTGAAGATTTTCTTATTTCTGGTAGATCTAAATTTTTTAGAGAATAAAATGTGAATTTAATTTTACAAAAAGATTAATTTTTAAGTCCAGTTGATTTTTTTTTTGATTTTGATTTAACAAAATTGTAAGAATTAACATTTTAAGTTTTTTTCTCAGAAAATAATGGAACAAATTCATATCTTATCCTAAACAATAAACATTTAATATTAGGTATTACTAGAGAATTATGTAAGTAATTGAAATTATAAGATTTTGAATATGAAAAAATGCCAGATTTATTTTACTTAACTGATATTCAATAATTAATTCCAGAATATTTTTCATTAATAGATTAAAATAAAATAGATAAAAGTTAACCTTTCTCAAATGTTTAAATTATATTTAATGATAAATTTTAAATTGGTTAAAAATCTATTCAAACTTATTCTGATCAAATGAAAAAAAACCCAGATTGTATTAGATCATATTATGCAAATATTGTTGTAACTATTAGATTAACTCATTCTATTATAGAAATTAAAAATGTTGTGGAATCAAAAAAGTCTATCTAATAAGATTCAAATGATTAGGATTATTTCGAATAAGAACTATATGATTTTATTGAAGAATTCCATATACAATAACCTAATTAATTTAATGATGATTTATTTCCAAAACTACAAAAAGAAATAGATATTTAAAATGATTGTTTTATATAAGAAGAAATACAAGAAAATGTTGATTAAATAGATACTAACAGAGTTGTATCATTGTAATAAAGATAATTAATATCAGAATCTATTTAGTAATTTGAATTAATAAGTCCTGGAAGAAGCAATAGATAATTAATTGATAAAACAACAAGTTTTGCTACTCATTAAATAAATTTAAGTTGCTAATAAAGATTTTTTTAAAATTAAATTGAAGAAAAAGAAAAAGAACAGTCTTAATCTAATCCATCAGCAGCTGAAAAAGGATTTGGATAATTAAATTATGATTAAAACTAATAAAATGCTGAAATTAGAGAAAATTTAAGATAACAATTAAATGAAGAAAATCAAACATCTATACATGCAAAAAAACTTAATTTAGATAATGCAGCATCTAGTACTTTAGGAACTTTTTCATAAAATTTTTAATTGTTTAAAAAATACGAATTAATTTAATTAATAGTTTCATCTATCAAATTTTCAATTATGTTTGATTTAATGATATTTTCTCTTTTGCTTGTTTCATTGGTATCAGCTCTATTTGCTATTATTTTAATCAATAATTCAAGTTCTGATATTTATAGTGCACTGAGTTAATTATAAATGTTAGAATTTTACACTTCATTTATGAATCCTTGTTATTTGTTTTTATCATCATTTACTTCAATATATAATTACAGGTATGGATCCTTTGAACATTTATAAAAATAGAATATTGAATCTTTAATCCAATATCATCAGCGTAACATTAATTAATCATTTTTAAATATTAAATAAAGTTACTCTAATTAATCTAAAGGTAGTTTGTTATAAGAAGACCTTTCAACAACATTCATAAATTTCAAATACCTTAAGTAAAATGATTATTCTATTGAAGAAATTTCATTAAGAGAAGCAATTTTTTAAATTATTCAATATTAATATAACTTTTAGTTCATCTTTACTTAAGAAAATGGACTACAATAAATGATTGAATAATTTATGTAGTACATAGTTAATTTAGAGGATATCAATAATGAAATCCTTAATTTAAATACAGAAATTATAACTCATATTAGTGATAGTAATTTATTATTATAAAATAAGTGGATTGTCCTTTGTGTTAGGTGCACTTATTTAATTTTATTATTTTAACTATCAGCATGGCTATTATATATTAAACACATAAGAAAATATTCTAAAATCTTAAAATTATTTCAAAAAGTAGACATAGTTTGGGTTTTAAGAGATTTGGAAAGATGTAAAGAATTATTGAGTTTATTAAACAAAGATTCTAATTTAATGTTTAGATATAAATTTAATATATTTTTAAAAGAAAGATTTTTTAGAAGTGAATTATCTAAAAAACACATTATTTAAGATAAGATTAAGAGAACTGGATTCATAAAATTAGATACTAAATAAAAATTATTATTAAGTAGGCTTCGTAGTTTTATTTTTTTCTCCACTTTATTTGTGATTTTCTTTCTTTATTCATTTATTATGAATGTATAAGGAATAGATTTCATGGACTTCTATCAAATGAAGAGTTTACAATATAATTCTATAGGTGACCTTAGTTTATCTATTCCTAAAGCTTATAGCCTAAGAGAATTAAACTATTTTAAAAGTAATAACTTTTTTGGTTACGAATATATATAATAAAATTTAACAGAATAATATGTCCAAATCATATAGAGTAGTTTAGATATATTAAGCAATTATTTATAAACTTATACAATTTTTGAGAGTAATTATAATGATTAGACTATATTAAGTTTAAATAATAAAACATTATGTGAAGAAGATAGTATTGCCAAGACATTTGATTTACAGTAACATTATTTATGTAAATAAATTTATGATAATGTTATGGATAGAGGTCTTTCAATTACAATTACTAAAATTAGAGATATTTTGTTGACTGAGATGAATAATTCCTAATTATATACTTAAAGAACTAATCCACCATTTAATGAAATAGAAATAGGTATTTATTTGAGTGTGATTATTATGAATGTTTTATAAACCATTAAAGCAGGATTATCAGATTAAGCAGATTAATTAAATATGACTATTTAGGTAATTCTAAAATTATAATTTAGATTGTTTCCATTATATATTTAGTATTTACTTTCCTTAAGATAATTTTGGTTATTTTGTTTGTTAGGAGCTATTATTTGAATGAATTTCAAAATATTAAAAAACTAATAATCTTATTACCATAGGCTGCATTATTTATTGATGATTTATTTGAAAGACAACTAAGATAGCTCATAGCTAAAGAAAATCTCGTTTGAATTTTTATAGTAATTAATTAGAATATTATTTCTTTATTATTTATTCTTGGTTAATCCTTATTAGAATTGAAATAACCTTAAAATGTTAATTTATTTAATATAAAGTAAACAATTATTATCATTGTTAATGCATTGTTGAATCATATGATATATCACAATTAGCTATGTTCTATAATTTTTCTAATTTTATTGGTTCAACATCAACTATCATAGTTGGATGTAATTTATGGACAATTTAATATCTATACATCAATAATATTAAGATCATCAACACAATTATTGCTCCTGATTATATAATTATAATTGCGAAACATTCAGTTGGTATCTAAGAACACAAATCCACTCCCATAAGTTATCGGAATAATTTCTGTAAATTAAAATAATATATAATTATTTCAATCAAACTTAATATTAATTTATCTAAATATAAACTAATTTTTAAATTATATTATGTTTTTTTCTAAATTATTTATAAATTTGATGATATTAAGTATTCTTAAGAAATATAATTTTCTTATTCAAGGGTTTATAATAATGATAGATAGTATATATGAAAAATCTCTTCAATTGAATTCATTAATTTTAGAAAATGAATAATAATTAATTATAAATTTGAAAAATTTCTAAACAAGAAAATATGATATTAAACTTTATATATTTGATACAACTATTTAATTCAAAATTAAAATTACCTTCAGAAAACTAACTTTAAATATCTTCTTAAAATTAATATTATTTCTGACGCTGAGAGATATATACACCAATATTTTTGGATTTATATTCCTTCTTTTTGAATAAAAATTAAGCAAAAGCTTATATTTTTTTTAATGATAAACTTAGACATTTTTAAAGCAAATTTAGAAATTTCTATTTATATTACTACAATATAGAAATGATGATTAAAGTCTATTTCTAAAATTGTTATATTTAATTGACATAAAAATGAATTTTAAGAAACTAAATATTTTACAATTATTCAAATTTTTTTGAGGGATTCAAAATGAAAGAACTATGAAAACTATTGAAATATTTCATAAATCTGTTTTTACAATATTATAACTTATAAATATTTGATATAGAAAATTTAGAATATTAGACTCAACTGAACGATGAGTAAAAAAAACCTCTAAAAACAGTCTCAAAAATTAATAGCAAATTGTATAAATATACCAAACTATTAAACAAGAGATTTGCAATAAAATTTAGTTAACTAACCCTTAAGAAACATAAACCTTTTTTCTGTATTAGATTTTATTTTGTTTTAAACTAAAAAGATTTTCTAGGATAGTATTATGGTATATTTATATATATACTCATATTTTGATATGCATTTATTGCAGATTTTAGATTTACTTTTGATTCTACATTAAGAAAACATAAATGAATTTTACATTATCTGGTTGGAATTAATCTATGTAAAAATAAGCAATTTATGAGGTAAGAACTTCTTATTAAAAAAACCAAGATAAGTAAATAATTTAAAGTAGTTAGCTTATACTAATTTTCCAATCACTATTCTATTATTGTATATTTTAATTATTAAAATAAAATAATTTTTATAGAAGATGATTTTTGTTCTGCTTCTTGCTTTTTACTTGTGGTGAAATTGAATAATTTCAAGAAATTTTGTTATAATTCAATTATAAGGTCAAAAGGACTATGAAGAATAATCTAAGAAAATTTGTGTTGTAGTAATATGATTGAAATCTTCATTGAATGGAGTAGTATTATTTTAAAGTTTTAATGATAATAAAAGCTGTTTCTTTGATGCTATTTTCAATAATAAAAAGAATTCTTTAAAAAATCTTAGTTTGTAAATATCAATTGATAAAAAATATAATTTAAAAATATAAAAGAAAAAATTACAATCTCAATCTAATATTCTAACCTTTTGAAATATAAATAAAGAAAGGATTATTTTTAATTGAAAGGAGATAGTAAGACAATAAATGTATAAAATATAAAGAAGTTTGAGATGGTAAAATGTTTGAAGAGCTTTGGTTGGCAGTTTTTTTTTAAAAATCTATTATGTTGTTATTTCGTGATAGGTAAAGTCTTTTGAAAATTTTGAGTTGTAATTTTTTGGGATCAAAATGGAATATGGGGTAGAAAATGGAGATAATATTAAATATAAAGAGATAGATTTTGGTAAGAATTAGTATAGGGTAGGTAAAATATTTTTGGGAATAAATAATATTTTTGATAACTAATTAAATTTCACAAATTTAATGAAAAATTTAGAAATAACTTTCAATTAGTGAATAGGATAAGTTCAAACTTACCGTTTTATTGTGATTTATACATATACTTCCTTTGGGATTTAAATATAACTTAACAACATAAATAAATAATTAATTATTTTTTTAGATGATCAAGAAAAGGATTAGTAAAGTTTAAAATAATTGTTAAAAATACAAATAATGTAATAAATCTAGAAAATATTGGACTGAAGAAGAAGATAATATATTAAAATCGACTGTATAATTACATGGTTCAGATTGGAAGTTGATAGCTGAGTATTTGAATGGACGAAATGCAAGTTAATGTGCTTAAAGATGGAAAAGAGTTAAGCCTGATACTGTAATTTTAGATTGTTAAATTTTGTAGGAAGAGAAAAATTAAAAATGGTCACCTGAAGAAGACGAGGAAGTTAAGAGGTTAACTAAAGAGTATAAATTTGATTGGAAGATGATTGCTCGTTTTCTCTCAAATAGAACTGGAAGGCAAATACGAGAACGATATATAAATCATTTAGACCCAAATATAAGTACTAAGGCATGGAGTTAATAAGAAGATTTAAAAATATGGACCTTATACAAAAAGATAGGATCGAGATGGTCTGAGATGGCAAAGAAACTTAAAGGAAGACCAGTAAAATTTTTAGTTTATTATCTTTTTAGGAGAACATGATTAAGAATAGATTTTATGGATATATTAGAAAAAATTATGCAAAACAAGAAAATCCATATTATATAGTACCAAATTAAAAGAGATAACTTACCAAAGAAGATGATCAAGGAGAAATTTTGAATAATCAAAATACTATTGAAACAGGAATTGAAGATATTGAACCCTAAATCATCGAACAAATTTAATAAAATAAATCAATATAATAATAATAAGAAGAATAACCTTAATCAGGCTTCCATTCTATATTGTAATCCCTTTAATCTGATAAACATAATGTCAGCATCATTAGCAATCCTTAAGATGTTTAATAACTCTAAATGTTTCATAAAATGTTTATTGAATCATCAGAGAATGAATTTCTTAAAGTTGATAATCATCTTGTCAATTTTATATCAAATGAAAGCAATATTAATAGTTATGCACATAGTCATAATTTATTAGCATTCACCCCTTTAAAAGAAGAAGAGAATGATAACTTTGTCAATCAATTTTTATAATTTGAAGGTTCCTCTGTACCTGTGAGAATGAGAGCCGATATATTTGAAGAATTTTCAAAATTCTCTTAAATGGAATAATGAAATCCTAGAATAAAGATTTTGATTATACATCGAGTCATTTAAATTATATTTATAGAAATTAAGTTAAACAAATAATTAAATAATTCAATAATTCAATATAATGGTTATTACAATCACAATATTATAAATTATATTTATATATCAATATTTATAGTATATATTTTTGAAAAAAGCCCCTTTATTTTATTTTAGTAATGGTGATATGAAAATTACTGAAATTATTTATTTTAAAATAATTTACCAATGAATTAATCAGAAACTTGCTATGATTCCGATTTATTTGTTAATTAATAATTGACAGGTTTAACATGTCCAATAGGTTTAGGAGTTCTTAGAAATCCTGTTTTTGATTAATGTGGACATGTTTATTGTCATGGATGTATATTTGATTGGTTAAAAAAATAAAAACTTTGTCCCATAAACAAATAGCCATTAAATGAAAATTAATTAATTAAAGCTATCCCTATTAAAAATATGGTAGATGAATTGGAATTAAAATAATGTTTATTAAAATGTAATTGGAAAGGAACTTTAGAAAACTATTATACACATGATGAAAAAGAATGCCCAGAAAAATTGCTATATTGTGTGAATAAAGATTGCAATCTATAAATTAAAAGGGCATCTTTTAAATAACATATAGAAAATGAATGTTAGTATTAATCAATTAATTGTGAAAATTGCTAATTAAATTATATTAAATTACATCAGAATCAACATAAATAAATTTGTGAAGGAAGATTAATTTAATGTGAGGATTGCTAATAAGAAATTAAATTTATTAATTACCAAAATCATTAAACTTTATGTCCTTAAAAGTATATAAAAAAATTTATTTAGAAAAATTAAATGTCCTATTGAAGGATGTGATGAGAAAATAAAACAAACTGATTTAGAGGTACACATATCAACTTCAAAGCATATCTTAATACTTTAATAATAAATCAAATAATTAAAAGAAGAATTAATAATATCAAATTCTAAATAACAGAATCAAAAAATACCATATTTAGATGGTTGGAGATTGACTTTCTCTAAAAAGACAGATAGTAGAGAATGGCTGTCAATTAATACCATAGAATAAATTAAAGGACCTTTTTGCTTACATTTTGAAGCAATAAATATTAACAAAAGACCTAATTAATGGAGAGCAGTTATTGGAGTTTCTAAAGATAAGTTAAAAAATAATCATTTATGGTATAGATAAAAAAATGTAATGAAATTAATATTTATATTATTAAGTCTTATGTTTGGATATTTGGAGGTTTTAAGTGCAGTAATTAAGCAGAAATTTATGGTAGTGAAGTATAGCAAGAAAGCTTTTAGGGAAAAATGACTTTAAATCAATAAGGAGAACTTTCTTTTGAATATTCAGGTATAAATTTAGGAGTTGCATTTTTATTACCAAAAGAAGCTTATATAGATGGTATACATTTGATCATTTCTTTTGTTAATTAAGGAAAAATAAGATTGTTATAATTAGAACATTTGGTCTGAAAATTTTCATTTATTTCTATTATATCAATAATATGATAATTTGGCATATCTAAAACTTATAGAGAATGTCAATTTTATTATAATTTTTTATTATTATAAATAGTTATCTTTGTTTTTCTAAAACTTTTTTCAATAATAAAATAAAATTATTTTTAATGAAATCAATTAGCAAGTTATTATCCTCTTTAGTTTCAAAGTAAAATTCACCATTTGTATAAAAATTGAATAATTGTTCAATAATGTAGAATAATCCTATCATTTTAATGACAGACATACTCTATTTGATTGAGTGTTTTGAAGGATTTGGTCCAGAATGCAAAGGAATCTATTTAACAGGATAAGAATATTTGCAATAGTTTTTTAAAGCAATCACTAATAAATAATTAAATGGTTTCATAGCTATTAAAATTAATTTAACTATACATTTAATACTATATGAATTCTAAATAGGAGATTTTGTTGCTGAAGAAATGATAAAAGAAGGATCAACGCTTCAGGTTTAATAAAATCAATAATTTAGTATTTTTATTTAAAATTATTTAATGTATTTATTTAAACTAGCTCAAAATTTAAAATTGTTTTATGCATGTAAAATAGGATAATATCCAATATTTGACTAAGATTAAACTTTCATTTAATGTTCTGAAAATACTAGAGATCAATAATATTAATAGTTTTAAATTTTAAAAAAAAACAATAATTTTAGAGATACGAATTTGCAATATAGAAATTATCAACAAAAAAAACTAGAGCTTCATTTATAATAATAAACTGGATTTATAACAATAGAATAAAAAATAGTATATTTATTTAAATTACATAATTTACTAAATTAATGTATATAAATATTAAATCTATGCATAAATATGCTAAAATAATTAGACAATTAATAATCAAAAAATATTTTTATCGAAATAAGTTGTGTTCTTTGGAATGATTGTATGATAATGTACAAATTTTCAACATAAGAAGTATTATATTTATATTAATATTAATAGCTTTGTAAATTACTAGATTCTTTTCGATTTATGACTTTACCGAATTTGCTATCAATATAATAAATATATTAAGTAACCATAAATTCTTCGACATAAATAAAATAGATATACAATAATAGAAGATATTTTGATTCTCAAAATATTGTTAAATAACCATTTTGGTTTGAAGAGAATAAAAAGATAACTTAAGAAATTTAAAATAGTATAATTGACAATAAAATGTAATAAATACCAGATTCAACAAGAAATGCAATTACAGTATCTACACCTTAAGCATTTTAAAATTAAAAATCTCCAACTAATATTGCTCAACCATTTACTTCAAGATTAGGAAATTCCTAAAATTCAACAAAAACTACAATACCCCCACAACCTTATTTCATAGCTAATAAAAAATTATAATAATAACCGAATTCATTTGAAACATAATAACCTTTGAGTACAAGGGCAAACAATTTTGTAGGGAATATATTTTCAGATGAATAATTAATAATTTCTCCAAGACAATCTTCAAAATAATAAAAATAATGATTATTATTTAATTGTTACTTTTTATTTATAATAAAATAGTAATAATTATATATTGTAACAAATTAAATAGTCATAAAAATTTGTCAATATGATGTACATGTTAACTTCTATCTGAAGATTTTGAAGACTAAGAACTGGACTCATCTTAATAATCTTAATTATCTGATTAAAATCTTAAGAGTCTTCTCTTTTAAACTCTTTTCTACATTTTTTTTAGATCATTTTAATAATCTTTATCTAAATTTTTATGATATTTCTTTTTCCATTTTACTAAATCATCTAGTTCTTAATCTAATAATTTTTATTAAACAGCCTATTAATATATAATGATATAAATTTACAGCTGGATTAGATATTTTCATTCCTTTTGGTAATAATTATTTTCTTTCATCTTTCCATTATTCTAATTCATCATTTATTTATTTTTATTGAAGTTCTTTTTCATATCTTTATTTTCTTCGATATTTGCTAATTGATGCTGAAGATTTAGTTTTAATAATATTTGGAGGAGAACTCTAAAGAATCTTATTTAATCTATTATCTATTTCTTGAATTTTTTATTTTCCTTTCATATTTGATTAATTTCCTAAATCTAACATAGAACAATCTAAAGTTCTATGGGTTATTGAAAGATTAGTTTAACAAGGAATTGTTGGAATAAAAGATTTCTTTCTTGATGCTATGATATTTTCAAATACTGTGTGTAATCTTTCAAAATTTGGTAAACTTTTTGCTCTAAATTTGTCAAAAGTCTCTGGTTTATATTTTTTCTTATTTTATATTCTTTTTTAAGATTTTCTAATTTCTTCTCTTTCTAATGATTTTTATAATTAAGTAGAATTTGCAAAATAATCAGCCCATTCAGCTTTTTTCTTTTCTACATTACTTTTAGATCTTGATCTTTATTATTCCATTATAATTTAATATTTTGGATCTCTTATACTATCTGGAATTGGTCTAGACATAAATTTAAATTCAATTTCTTATTCTGGAGGTAATACTTCTTTCTTTTATTTTTCAAAACTTTTTGGTTCCATCATACTTTACATTAATTTAGCTTTACTTTCTTCTTTTATTCTTTCCCTTCTTTCTTCTCTCTCTCTATTTAATTAATCATAAAGTGGTTCTTTAACAAACCATGGTACTGGATTAGCTTAAAACTTTGTATTTATTTCTTTTAATAAATCTTTCTCTTTATCTATTAACATCTTTTCAACTTCCTTCTATCTTATTGATTTAGCTTAATTTTCATTATCTTTTTTATTATCAGGTACAGTAATTAAAAAAAAACCATTTTATATTTTATTTATTGCTCCAAATTTGTTGTTATCTATTGTGTTTTCTTTCTTCTTTTTATTATCTTAATATTATTATTTTAATTTTTAACTCAAAATTAAAGGACGTCCTCTTATTGTAAAAAAATCTATTAATTCATCTAAATCAATATATTCATCTGCTTCTTATAATAATCTATTCAAAGTCTCTTAAACTGTTTCAACTGGTAATTGATTAGTTTTTTCTTTTCTTACTTTCAATTTAAAATAATTTTTTTAAAAATCTTCCTTTGCTATTAAATTATCAACAATTAATTTCTTTTAAGAAAATCTTTCATAACTCTTTCGAATTTGATTAAAAATCTTTTCTAATTCACTAAAAAAACTTGATTAAAGTATTATTTCTTCATTCTCATATAATTTATCATATTTTCTTTTTTTTGATATTTAAGATGATTTTAAGATAATAAATTTATTTGGTATTTCAAACAATTAATTTTGCCATTCTTTAAAAAATGTTTTTGAAATGAATTATAATTCTATTCTTTAACAATAAATTTCAAATTCATATAACCATTTTTCAAGAGAAATATTTTTATTAATATCTTTAAATGAAAGAAAATTATCAAAAAGTTTAATTCTTGTTTCATATCTAGTTCTAATTGAAGCTATTAATTTTAATGGATTGACTTTTTCTTCACAATCTAAATTAAATTCATCATAAATTTTTTATAATTATAAGTTCTATTATTCTAAAAACTCTTAAGTACCTTTTACAGGTTTTAATAAATTTTAATCATAATTATCTTTTATTATAAGAATTTTAGGATAAAGAATAAAGTTAATAAATTCTTCTAAAGTTATTTCTTCCTCAAATTATGATGGGAATTCATTCAATTAATCTTCTAAAAGATTTTTGTTAATATTGTAAGCTTCACAAAATTTTCGATTCTCCAACATATATGAACATAAAATAGTTTTTGGAATAGATTTATTTGGTTATTCTAAATATTAATTATAAAAATGTGTGACTATAACAAAGTCATCAGGGGAAGGGGAAGGTATCTCAAAATTTGGATTAAAAGATGCAGGAAGCAAAATATCTTTTGGCCTCACTTAAGGAAACTGATGTTTTTTTTTGAATCTTTCTTAAGCATTTAAATCTCGTCTTTATTTTGCAGTAAATGCTATTTATAAATTGACATCTTATTCTAATTATTCATCATCACTTTTTTCATCTTTTTCTTTTAAATATTTAAAGAATTTTATGAAATCTGGCTTCTTCATCTTTTTTTCAATTTCATCCAATTCTATAGTCTCTCTCTTTTAAATAAGATAATGATTGAATTGGCTTAAATAATTATGTCTCTTTCCAATCTCACAATCCCAAATATTTAAGAAATCAAATAATTCTCTTGTTTTTAATTTTTTTGGAGGTTTTGGTTATTCTTTTTTTTTTTTCGGTTTCTAATAAATTTAAAAGTTTCTAATATTTTTTTCTTTCTTTAGAGTCTTCTCACTATCTTCAAAATAATTTGGATTTCTCTATATAATAATTGTTAGAATATTATACCTCTACATGAGGAATTAACATATTCGTTATAAAATTGATTTTGATTATTTATATTAATATTTAAGTTAAATATTTATTATTATTTTTGCTTATCAATTTATATTTCTTATATGTTTAAAGAGAACAAAAAATTTATCTTTTTTAACATATATTTATCGCTAAATAATAACTTTATAATATTCATTTTCCATTATAAATGAATTATTTCTCCTATTCATTTCTTATTTAATTGTATCCTTTTTATAAATTTTCATTTTGTGTTTTTTTCTTCTAATTTGTATTTTATTACCAAAGTTTTTATCTGTAATTGATGCTCTTCTTTTATTTTTTTTATATTTTTTTTTTCTTAATCTTCCATCTCTTTTAATTACATCAATTACTAATAAATTAAAATTAAATTTGTAAATTATAATTTTATAATTAACTCTCGTTAAATTATGCTTGTGCTTATTAAAATTGATTTAGATAAAATTAACTATAATTACATGCCTCTAAGTGTTGTTTTTGTAATCATAATATTTCTTATTATATTTATTCGTTATTCTCTTTTTGAACACTAATTTCTTTCTTTAATTATGTTATTTCTTCATTTTATTAAGAATTAAATTCTTGTAATTTAAAGTTTTGGTCTTCTAAATTTTCTAATTTAAATTCCATGTTTCTAATATCATTTTGTAATTTTTATGTGTATTTATCATCTTCAGCTTAAATACCCATTATTTTGTTTTCATAAAACTATTTAAAACTATTGTTATAATTATCTTAAATTAGATTATTTAGATTTTGAACCTTGCTATCAGACAAGATTCTTCAAGCTTATTACTTCCTTATTTAAGTGTTTATTTTATTCGTACATAGAGGAAGCATCTAAGAGTAAAGTCTTTCCTCACTATCTAAAATTAATATATGATCGAATGGAATATACTATTCTTATAGTCCAATATTCTTTTTTAAAATCTAATATATTCTGATTTTAATTTAAGTCAATTTACACACATTTAAAAGTTTAAACAGGAAATGATATTTGTTTCATACTTATTTTGATTTATTATTTATAATAAACAAATAATAAAAATCATTAATCAAATACCATCAAATCTTCCATCACAATATTAATTATTGAGGGAAGAATTTTGTACAATATTTCAAAAGATTATAAAAAAATATAATGCTTATAGAATTATCTCTTCTAATTAATATATATAAATTCTTCTTTAAATAGTATAAATTAGAAATAATGAAAATGGAATATAAATACTTGAAAATTAGAAAAATGTATTTCCCATTGCAGCTAAGAGTCTAAAAGAAAGAAATTTTTATTTTTTTCAATGTATTTCTATAATTTCATAAAATTGCATATTAAATAATTAAAATTTATTTGTATATAATTAATATTTATTTATAAATAATTATTTATAAATTAAATATTAGTCAGATAGAATAAGTTAAAAATGAATAAAATTTTAGCGTATTTTTTTTCACAAATATGACAGATAGATTTATAGGTAAGTTTTTAAGTTGAAAAAAATTATGCAAATCTATAATTAAAAATGTAGGATTCATTTTATGTCGATTATTCAACATCAGAAACTAAGCCATAAAAAATATAAAAACAACTTAAAAATCCAAGTGAAGCTAAAAATATACCAAAAAATGTAGGTGGTCTTCTGAAAAATCATTTTGGTAATATTTTTATCTAATAATGCTATAGTTAACAGATGTTATCCATAAGTAAAAGATAATAAAGTTATAAAGAATTTCATTTAGTTGTAATAAAAGAAAAAAAATTACACAAGGGAGGACATTAAAAAGGTTTTGGAAAATGATGAAGCTGCCTTAATTGCTAAAAAATACTTTTCAAGCTTCGATATAATTGAAGACATACTTCATTCTGAAAAAGTACCAGAAATAACAACTTTGTTAAAATACATTCGAAAATTTTTTATTGCTTCATACTACCCAGAGACTCTCTCAACATTAAAATTAAATCAACATAATGATCTTTTTTGATTTTTTATTTCACTTTTTATATTTTGCCTCCATAATTATTATAAAAATCTAATTATTTTTAATTGTTTCAAATAGAATATTAGAATATTTTTAAAAATCTTAAAAAAATAAATAATAAGAAAATATAAAATATATTATAATTATTTTTAGACTCATATACAATCTATATTTTCACAAATATTATACATTTTGAAGCATTAGTTCAAAATATTTCGTATTTCCTTAATTTTAGTAATATCATCAGCATCTAAATTAAAAATTCTAAAATACAAAATTATTTTTACTTTTATTTAGGATTATCTTCTTCGAAATTGGATAGATTTACTTAAATAATAGGTCCTAAATAAATATTAAATATAAATACCTCCTCCATAAATAGAAACTAAAACACTCCATAATTAATGACTTATAAGTCTATAATCTATATTAATCTATTTTTCTTTAAGTAATTAATTGTTACTATCTAGAAGTGGTAAATTATTAATTTCTCCTGGGGGAGGATTTCCAAAAATAAAATTTTTTTATAATTAAGATTTTGAATTATAGAGGTATCTTTACCATATTGTAATCCAATCTTAATTAATAATAAATTAATTTTCAGATTAGCAATTTTCATATTTTTAAATTAAATTTCTTTCTAATTTTCTTCTTTTGCTCATATTCTGAGCTTATTCAATGCAAATTTAACAAGTTTAAATATTTTTTTAAATTAATGGTCCTCCACCATATTTTTCAATTAAAAATTAGCATATGGCAGTTGGTAATTAAACAGATTGAATTTGTAACTAAAAGTAAGAAGAAGAATTATTATTCTGTTGTAAATGAATACTTTAATCACATAAGAAACTTGTATTCATTTATTCTTATTAATTTATATTTTCATAAGATTGTCTAAAATCCCAATAATCAGGTTTTAATTAATTATGAAAACAAAATAAATGAGATGTTATAATCATTTGAGGATTACTTAAAGTTAAGAATTATTCAAACCAAAAATTAGGTAAAAAACTTAGTTCATCATCTTTTAATACTATTTCTCCAGTTTAAATTAATTCATATTATGTTAATACATTATGTATTGTTTTATAATTAATAGGAGAATCTACTTTTTAATAAAATAACATCAAAGCTTCACTATCTTTGACATATTTTAAAGTAACTGGATTAACTTAATCATCTCTAATAGATAAAAAAGTATTATTAGGTTATCTTATAATTGATTCATAATGATCACCACCTATATTACTATAATGTACAATCAATCCAAATAATTAATAATTCAAGTCTCCTTACATCTTAAAAATTAAATATTCAATAATACATTTAAATAATTAGAAAAACTAGTTTGTTCAACAGGGAATGAAACATGAGTTTAATCTTTTTAATTTTTATTTTTGAATCTTTATATATGTATGGTGAGGATATTTGAAAATTTGCTAAATTTATATTTTCTTCTACCATTTCGTGATCCACATAAACAAAGAAAATTAGATTCTTAGATTGGTTCATAAAACAATTCTAAACAACTTTGTAATGTAACATAATCTTGTTTATCTTTTGTTAATTTATTGAAGAATTTTGATATTACATTTTATTCATTAATTTAGGGTATTTCAAGAGATATAGCTGAATAGTTTTCATTTAATAAAGTTTGTCGATTACAATTAAGGCATTATATTGTCGATTGAAGTTCTCCAGAAAATATATTTTAAATAAATGAATAATCTCTAAATTTTGATGCTTAACTTCTATAACAAATAGAATTAATAGTCTTACAATAATAACCAATCATGTTAGATGGGTTCTTGATTTTAAAATGGTATTATATTTTTCCAATATGAAATGCTATTTGTAAATCTAAATTCTTCATGTAAAAAATTGATCAAATATTTAAAAGCTTCCTATAGAATAATTTTTAAAATTTTTACATAAGCATCTTTTTATCCATAACCTAATAATTTAGATTCAGATTATGCAATGCTTTTAATAAATTCTGTTGGATTAAGTAATTTGCATGATTTAGATTTAAGAGTATCACTTATAGAACAAATATTCCTCAATATAATTTTCTTTATAGACTTTACATTAAATTCTCCTTTCTCTAATTCTACATGAACTTTTTAGAGTATTTGTTAAATAGTAGGAAAATTAAGTAAAATTTATAAAACACAATTCATAAAACTAAAGTTAGCTATATTTAATATGCCAACATTTGGAGAGTTGAATCTTTAAAGACTTAATTCTTGTTTTTAAAAATATCTTAAATATTCTATTCTAATTCTTTATGGATTAATCCATTAGCTAAAAACATCTTCATTTCCAGTTAATCCATACTATTCAAAATCCAAAATTTCTGATTTACATATAATACATATCATTTAAGTGGAAATTATATTAATAAATATGCAATGATCACTTTTTTCAAAATTACTTTATGAATTAGTCATGCATTGACTGTGATGTTGAAGACATTATTTATCAACATTACAAATCACTGCTTAACATCTTAAACAAATATTTCCAACATCAATTTTTAATTAACATTATTCACACTTTAAATTGTTTTTTTAGTAAAGCACCTGAATAATCCATTATAAACTACTTATAGCTTTTATATTTCTTAAAAAAATTTAGGCAAAGATCTTGAAAGCAGGACTTTATGATAGTGAGTACAAATATTTTTTTCTTGAATAGATGACATCAATATGGTGAGATTTAAATTAATATTATAATAACAAACTTATTGTAATTAATCTGTCAAATCGGTTCAAATACTTATCCGTATTCATTAACCATACTTATATAAATATCCTTTTTAATTGTATCTTTTCTATTTTTCAAACCCTTCTTCGCAGTCATTTTTAATATTTTTTGTTCAATTATTCCAACTTCTGAAATGCAATATAAATTTACAAGTAAAGAAATCAAATCGTCTAAAAAAATGTATCCTTGCTAATTAGAATCTTATAATAAATAAGCTATTTCAAGTTTATCATGTTTTCGACAGTTTGTTTAACCCAATAATGTTAGAAGAGTATTTTTTAAATTAACAGTTTGATCTACAATTACATTATCTGAACTTTTAACATATTCTTCTCTGACTGGATTTTCATTCATGGAATTGAATAATAATTTTGATTGATGATCTTAAATATATTTTATTTTTACTATCTAAAATATCCAAATAATGAATGAAATCTTCATAAGTACATGATTCCATAATATCAAGTTTATTAATTTTATCAAAAACATCTAATATATAAGCTTGATCAATTTTCTTTTCTTTTACAAATCTTGCAGAGTTATTTTTTCTTTAGAGCATAATTTCTCTTTAACTTAAAGATGATTTTTATTTAGTTTATTAAGTAATTTAACCTTCATCAGATCGAATAACTTTTAAATTTTATCCAATAACTTATCTTTATTTTTTTTAAGATGCTATGTTGTTAATTGATTAAAACATCAGTTTAGATTATTCATCTTAACCAAATCTTGGACTAGTTAATTCATTTTTTCTAATTTATTCAACCATCTAAGGAGTTATCTTTCCTTTTCTAGCAACCTCTTAAACTTCTTTTTCCATCATAGTTTGATTGATTTATGTTCTTTTTTCTACTAATTCTTTTGTTGGTGGATGAGCTTAACCTAATGTTGGTAAAGACCATCCTCCAGCTAAATTCTTAAAATCTTCAAATTTAACTTCTCCACTTCCATCTTTATCACACATTCTTATCATTTCTTCAATTTCTTCAGAAGTTGCCTTTTCTCCAATAAAATCTAAAAAGAATGATAAATCTTCAGATGTAATGCCACCATCTTTATTCATATCTAAAACATTAAAAGCCTCTTTAATTTCATCTTCAGTGAACATTCCTCTTACATAATCATATTATTAATTTGATTCTTCTATCATGTATTTAGTATAACCTGGTGTTATTTTGGATTAATCACTGGGTCCTGTTTTCATCTTTTATGATTGTTAATCATCTTAATATCTAAATTAAGAACTCATTGGTATAGATTAATAACTGCTTGCATTTACCATTACTTTAGGAATTTAATTTATTTAAGGTGCTTATAACTATTTAAGATCAACTGAATTTTGAGGACTATTATTACCAGCTTCTACATATTCATTTGATACATATGAACTTTTTAGTTTTTATTCAGTATCATTTGAGTCTTATTGTTAATATATTTCCTATTCTTCATTTTATTATATAATCATTTTAATTATATAAAATACATCATATTTCAATTTTTAATTGTATAGCTTATTTTGATATTCTTTATCTTGGAAACTTAGAAATTAATTTAGGAAAACTTCCTTGACTTTCAAATGTTTTTGGTAATTTACTTAAAGTATTCGATAAAATGTTAGGAGGTATTTATGGTAATTCAAATGTAAGACTTGGAACAGATTTAGAAGGAATTATTTCAATTTCTGTCTTTTTTTTCTTTAGAAACAGAGGGTGTTCCTTTTGATCTTTATTTTTTTCATTTTTTTCAGGTTAAGGTACAATCAATTCCTCAAGTTATTATTCACTTAAGATAGAAATAGAACCATTCAATCTTTACAAAATAGAGGATGAGATAGAATGATTCATAGTAGTAAGATTTTTAGGTATTCTCTAACTTATTATACTGTCATTCATATTTAATAAATTATCAGTCTATTATTAAGATCTATTAGTAAATTAATTTTATTATTATTATAAAGAGGAAAGACTCATAGTTTTATTTTAAAAAGTATTATTATTAGTTTATGAAGTACTAGTAATTTATTAATATTCTATTTTAGTCATTTATACATTTTATTTTTATAAAGTTTATTAAAGTTAGACAGGATCTTTAATATCCATTAAGGGAAAAACTCTATCTTTTTTTTTTTCTTGTTTTCCATCATAGAATGTGACACCTTCTTTCATAATAATTAAATCAATTTATGGAACTGATGTTTTAATCACAAATTAATTATTTTAACCAATATTTTGATTGTTCTTACTAGCTAATTATATAAGTTCAGATTGCATTTTATGATTAGGAATAAGATCTCTAATTTCTACTAGAGTTCGTTTTTCACTGATATTTTAGAATGATTTTGGATATTTATCAATATCAGGAGGTTTTTAGACAACAACCTTACCTTCATAATCAAATGTATATTTAGATTTAGAATCTACATTTAATCTTTTCAATTATTTAACTTATTCTTGAACTTCAAGTATTTTAATTTTATCATTCTATTGTTTTTATTGTTGAATTGATATTTATCTTAGTTTAGCCTATCTAATACTTTCAATATTAGGATCAAATTCTTATTCCTCTTCTAATTCACCCATTTTAATGAGTTATGAATTAAAACATTCACTTTATCTAGATGTCTTAATGGTCATTAATTTAGACATTCTTTTAGTATCTCTTCTTTAAAATACAGGAGAATTAGAATTTTCTCTAGATGTAACTTATTTAACTTAACCTTGACATCTCCTCCAATGTTCTGTATTAACAGCAATAGGTTCAGAGTCTTCAATAACATTTTCTTCAAATTCATCATTTCTCAAATTATATTTATCCATTAACACAATAACTTATTCTCTAAACCAATTATATCCTAAAAGAGGTAAAATAGAGTTTATATGTTTATTAATAATGATTGATGTACTTTAATGTAATATTTATTTGATTATGCTTTTAGTTATCTATTCTGATTCAACAATTGATATACAAAGTTCCTCATAAATCTATTGTTATTCGTCCATAACTAATTTTCAATATTATAATTTTGATAATAAATATAAAACAAATAAATTAAGGATCAAATATTATTTTTCTAGTATTTTTCTTCTAAGTATGCATATCTTCTTAGTTCCTTTTCTACCCAATATGGACAATCAGGAATTGACACATCAAGAATGTATTTTATAAGTAATAAGATATGTTCGATTGCAGCAAGGAAGAAGGCACTCACTAAAGCATTTTGATTTCCTATAATTCCTTTAAATTACTCCTTATTTACAGTTCCAATAACTATACAATTCATAAATGTTGCACAATAATTCATGATTTCAAAGATTTACAACCAAATTCCAATCGAATCAGCAGCTTAAGCTCTTTCTCTTTTTAAAATATGTTAATAATTGTAAATAGACCATCTTAAATTGATATAACAATTGATCATAAAAAATAATGGAGCAGCTGGGAATGTTGGTGCAAACATAGTTGTATATCCAAATTAAATAGCAATACTTGTATATTCATCATATAAAACTTTTTATGGTTGTTTAATTCTACCTACTTCTAGTTCTTAAAGAAAAGACAATTGAATTTCAGAACTCAATTTATCAGTACTAAAATTTTAATTGCAAATCTTTGGAACTTATTTTTTATCTGCTGATCTTGTTATATATAAAGATTTAAATTCTGTAAATTTACTATTTAAAATTCTTTTCTCTTATTTAAATAGAATGTATGGTAAAAAGTTACTCTTCACATTAGATATCACTCCTCTTGTAATAATAATACTTGCAACTGATACACTTAATTATGATGCATCATTTTCGAATATTGCTACATAAACAACTGATACATAGGATATTAAAAATTCAAATAAAAATACTTTCAAAATGTAAGAGTATTCCTATTCAGACTCATACATATGATTTTCCCATGTTACTAATGATGTACATAATCTTTTGTATAAATCACAAAACACTGTCATTGAAACTCCATTCAATGAATTTATCACTATTGGCATTATAGAATGACCTTTCCACTCTTATAACCAAAGATTAAATGCATAAAAACTGACTACTATGATTGCTATTCCTATTAATATTACGGGTCCTTCAGCTATTAATCTCCTCTTAAAAGTTGTAAAATAATCATATATTTATATCTTATTTGTTGCTTCATTTATTATATACTATCCTGTATACATCACTCTCTACGGCTATGTTTATCTAAACTTATGCATATCCCAACAAAATTTTAACTCAGACTCCCTATTCTTCCATTTCTCCATAAATAATGTTGACCATAATGTCATTAGCAATGCATAAAATGGAACTATTGAAGAACTATGTATATTTGTTTATATTCTTTACTTCACTTCCTTTGTTATTATAATATATATTCCTAAAGCTGCTCCAAAAACTGATGGAATCAATAACCAACCTATTATTTACACATTTAAGGCTATATACCATGCTACTACTGGACCAAAATATGAAGCCACAGCATGCAATGGTCTTAATGCAATTTATTAAGTTTCATATCGAATCGAATCACGAATACAATTATTCTATTACTCATCCCAAAATTATGTTATCTTTTCACATTTCTATATATCCTCTAAAGGATAATGCGATATTATCAATTTCTCTAATACAAACTTATCTACATCAAACTCATCATTCAAAGTGTTTAATATCAACATTTATACCTATAAATCTTTTGGAAACTCAAAAAAACCCCTCTTATTATAGTTAAATTAACATATATACTAAAATCACATATCTAACTTACTTTTGTTTAAAAATTGTAACATGATATCTGATATAAATCTGCTAAATTATAAATTGAATCAGGTGGTAATTTCAATACATAATAATGGAAAATAGATTTCACTTTTTTTGTCTAAGCATCATCCCTATACTTTTCCAATTTATCCAGATCTGGAGCATGAAATATTAAAAATTCAAAACTCCAACCTCTCTCTCTAAATGTCTGTCTTATATTTTATAATTGTAAATAAACTATATCTTATTCTACACTCAATGTTCCTTTTGTTTAAATAACATACTAATATCCCAATTCAGTTAAACTACTTATTTATTATTTTATTTATATGTTTTCTTTGTAATATTCCATAAATTTTTAATTAAAAGTTAATTCGAATGGTTTCAAACATCGACTATTTACTGTATCCACTGATATTCCATGTAAAATTAGAGTTTTCATACAATGATACTTCTCTTATTCAATAGCTAAATGTAAAGCATTTGATGGATTTTAATCTGTTAAAATATTTATACATTCTTTCTAAAAAAGTTTATATTATCAATTAATTACTTTATCGAAAATTTGATCTTTCAATTACTTTTTATTTTTTTGATTACCCTCTCCAGAATAATCATAATATTCATAATCATTCTCTAAAATTATTTTTAATATTTTTGGTTTCCCTTTAAAGGCTGCAATATGAAGACAATTAAATCCTTAATACACATTTACAAAAGGATTACATTTCCTTCTTAAAAAATAAATAAAAAATTCTGTATTCCCTTAACTTGCAGACCAATATTATAGTCTACATTCATATATCTCATTTTTTGTAAGATTTGCTTTACTATGATATATGATGAACTTCTCTTTTAAAGTATTTTTCTTTTATAAATTATCAACATTTGATTCCTTTGATTTATTACTTTTATGTTGTTTTCTTGGATGTAAATTTTTTTATGGGGAAGAATCTTAATCAATTAATAATGGAGGAGGTTATGTTATAATAATGTTGCATTAGTCTGCTTTAAACTAATTTTCTTAATTATTATCCGTATTCATTTTACTAGAATTTGTGTTTTTTTGATTTTAGTTGAATACTTTTATTTCAGGTATTTTCTCTTCCTCAGGTTCTTTCATTTCTATTCGAGAATCATCATAAAGAGGAATATCAGCTATATCATCTAAATTTTTTGATTATATCTTTTTGCAACAACTCCTTTGCTAAAACCTAATTAAAATTTGTTAACTCTAAGTCGGTTTTTGATTACTTTTAGCCATTGTATTTTTTGAAATGAAAGAATTAGATGTTTGGCTTCTATGATAATTCGATATATTAGAATATGGTATACCATTTTTTGAGGGCTCAGATTCAGGTGTTGACTCATCTTCCTTTATTTAAGTTTAAATAAAAGGAAGTTAACTTGTTATTATTGTTGCTTATCTTTATTTCTTCTTCTTTGGTTTTCTATTCAATGTTTATTTTGTTGTTACCAAAGCATAATTAATTATTGTATTCTCAAATATTTCACCAACATCTCTTCTATTAACAAATATGAAAATTCTTTACTTGTATTAATCAGGCCTGTTCTCTAAAAACAAGTAATCTATAGGATAATTGCCTTATTAATCAGTTTCTAATTAAAGTTGAAAATCTTTTGAGATAAGAAAATCGACTAGTTCTTTATTTCCATAATAAAACGCCCAATGTAAAGGATTTGGTTTAGAGGTATTAGATTATGGAATTTGAGCACCATGATCTAATAATAATCGTATTGTCTTTTCTTGTTTTTCTGGATTATACTCACCAGAATACCTTTAGAATAATTAAAAATACTGCATACCCTTTAATGCTAGCTAATTCTAAGGGAGTGTAAGAATGCATATCTCCTCGGTTTAAGTCAATCATTAATTTATATTCTTTACACCACCACTTCAATAATTTATATTATCCTAAATAAGCAGCCCAATGTACGACATTTCGGTTTTAATCATCTACCATAGAAAAAAATGCTTGCAATTTTTCTTCAGAAAACTTTAATTGATCTTCGAAATGTTTTTTCAAAGTCACTTTGTTTCCATCCTTTACCCATTCTAATAACTAAGTTTGAGTAATTTACATATATTTAAAATAATGGAATAAATATTATAAATAACTCTATTCTTTTCATTTTTATAATTGAATTTGTTTAGAATTATCATCAAATGAAGTTTGTTCCCTTAATGATTAGTATTTATGAACTCAAATTACTATTTAATAATAAGAAAATTACATTTAATTAAAATAGTATTGTTTATATATATATATATACATTTATATATAAAAATCATTGATTTGTAAATATTATAATTAAAATAACAAAAATGCTGACAAAGTTGGTTAGTTTGGGTAAGATCAACTCAATGTGCTTCAGATCAGTATAATAATACAATGTATTTGGTGCTCCTTATGAAGGATTAGATCCATCAAAACATATCTACATGAATAAAGGACTCTAAAATTGTAATCTATTATTTTTATGGTTTTTCTAGAATATGATGATTTCTTCAGATTAGGAGATTATCCATATGTGAATGATTACCCTGTAATGATTGATTCCCAATAATATGTACCACAAATTGCATAATTGGTGGAATCTCACGTTAAATAGAAATTCGTAAGACTTGTTATCTATTACAGCAAAATGCAACATTTACTGCTAGTGAGTACGATAATGGAGATGTTTGGGCAGCTACTTGGGAAGAGCTTGGAGTAAACAATTTCAAAGTTTTGACACCTAATATTTTATTGAGACTTTCTGAATGTAATTTCAATTCAATTATACTATTTTAGCCATTGTTGTTTAAGAATCAAAATGGACATGGACCAAAGAATAAAGATATAGATTACATGTGACTTAAATTGTACTTGGACCATAAGATTATACTCATATGCCTACTTATTATTTTATCAATGATTACAATTAACTTCTTTGGATGTTAGCAAGATAATCTAATCATTGGACTTCTCCAGCTATTAGAGGAGTTTAAAATCCATTAGAAAAATAACTAACACAAGATTTATAACCTAAACCAAAGATTTAATCATTGTTCAGAGACAGACCTGAAAATAATACATTCTTAAATAGGTTATTAAAAGCAGTTCATCAATGAATATCAATAAAATAAAGCATATTACATTATTATTTTTCATCTATTTTGAATTACACACTTCATTTATATCTTCTTTTTTAAATAAGAAAATAAATAACAATTATATTTTATTAAAATACTCATAAACTATATTAAAATTTTTATTTTATCTCATCTACATAATCTCAAGATTTCTCTATGATTATAATTTCATATAATTCATTTATATTTTATTATTATTCCTCTATTCATGCTTGGAAATAAAAATAATTTAACTTTTGAAGGTAATAATCTTATATAATAATAAAAGAGAGATATAATAGCGATTAAAAAATATAACAATATATTGTTATCTTCTATTTGTTATTAGTCTTTACATATTCACTTGCTATTGTACTACTTTCTTATTAACAATATGTAAATTTTAATTCTACCCTGCCTACAGATTTTGAATTATTAATTTATAATTGGGAACAAAGTCCTATTAAAATTCTTTAAATTGCAGAAGAAAATGATTTAACAAAAGTCTCTGCTACTTTTTAAAATTAAAAAATTTAAACTTATTCAATTGATAATGAGAATGTTTAATTCACAATTGAAAAACTTGATTCCTTTACATTTATAAATAATTATACACTCTAATCTGATTGTGATTATGGTTTTAGTTTATGTGGAGGAGTTGAACTAAATTCTAAATATTGTATAAACATAAATTAAATAACTTCTACTTTCTAATGTCCTTTTAATGATATCTTAACATAATAAAACTTTACTTAAGGTTATTTGAAAAACTATAGTGTCAATCTACAGAATTTCACTAATTATTTTTATGAAAGCAAGTTGTAAATACAAAAAGGATCTGTAAATAAAACTATAATGGTTTTATCTTCTGTTTAATCTAGATAACCTGTAACTAATTTAAGATTTGGATTCAATGGAAAGATATGCAAAGACTCTGATGAATTTGAGAAATGTTCATAAACCTTATTAAACTATTAGGAAATATCAAAAATAAAAGCATTAGATATTCTTAATCTTAATTCTATAACTGATCCAAAGAATATCACAATTAATGATACAATTGGATTATATGCTGAAAGATATATTGAATTTCATATGGATTGCAGATATACTTTAATAGAAAGAGTTTTAGAGAGTCCTAAATATTATAAAAAATTAGGATACATATTGTACATTCAAACTCTATTCACTTTAATGTATTGTATATTTATTGGAATAATCCTTAATTTATTTCATTTTTTATGCTTTCTGATTTTACATTTATTTTAGTCCTACCAATATTAAATTAGAAACAAATCAAAATAATACGAAGAATAATTTACACAATTAGAATTGGTTCATTTTTATCTTTTGGTACAATTATTTGTCTTTTGTATTTTTATGAGGCTTAATTTCATGATACCATTAATAGAATTGTAAGAAGCCGTTGTTTAGAAGATAATTTTTTATATATTATGAGTGAAACTTTAGATGACATTGATAAATTTAGAGCAAATGAAATTACAATCTTTTGGATATTCATAGTAGCCTTAATATTAGAAGTTTTTGCATGCTTTATTGTTGTTTATAGAGGAGCTAATGTTAAGAAAAAGAACTTACTTTAAAAATGTAAAATAAATTTTCTTAATTTTAAGAGTATGAACATGAATTAGAAATTAAACATGATGAATAATAATATCAATTTAAGGTTGATTAGAATTAACTATAAAATAGAATTTTGCCTAGATAATCTTTTACACCAAATGATAAGCAAGTAATTAGACAATCTGTAAAATCTGAATAATCTTCATCAAAAAAAACCAAAAATAACAATCTTTTGGTAGACATAAATGAATAGGAGGAAATTTAAAATTAGAGAGAATCAATTAAACCAGTTTTACAATAAAATTAATTTCCACTTAACACCATGCAATCACCAAATAATTATTAAGGATAAAAAATTTAATTTAGCCCATGAAATCTACATTAAACTATAAAATTTAATATTATTTAATTAAACTAGTATAATATAGACACATAAATTCAATATTATTTTTTATATCTTATCAATTCTAAATAATTTATTTGTAAATTTCAATTCTGAAAGATTAAAATTGAATCCATTTTGTATTTATATTAAATGAAATTTTATAATTCTTTAATAAACAATAAACTATTTTCAATTAATAAATGCATATTCTATGAATAAATAAATATATCTCTCTGTTTAAATCATCTGATTATAATTAAATCATTAAATTTATAGAGTTAAAATTATAGATTTCTCGTAACTCTCTCAATATCTAATTCATCATCAATTTTGTTTTTTTCTAAATTTTTTACTGCAATCTCTTGTTCTTAAATTTAATGTTTAGCATTACAACATATTCCAAATGTTCTTTTTAATATGTTATATCTTTATATAAGTATACTTATAGTTTTAAACAAATTAGTAATCATATATTTTTATGAACTTGAGGAACTAAATATCAAGAAAATTCAATATCCAAATACTAAATATATAAAAAGATTAAGTAAATTTAATTAAATTCAGATTTTGAAACAATTTAATTGCATATTACTTTTAATAATCATATAAATTTCAGCTTTAATCTAAATGCAAAAATTGTAATAGCGATGATTTTTTCCTAAAATACTATAATATTTTTATCGTGATTTTAAGAACATACATTAGAAAAACACAGAATTTAGCAGAATATTAAAATATTTGGAAAAATTAATCTGCCAAAAAAACTTAATTTGAGTTCTTTCTTGCAATATTCATTTATGCATTCAAATTAAGTTTAAAAAATCAATAAGATTGTAAAAAGTGTACTTTTCTAACAATATCTAATCTAAAAATATAAATCTTCATAATTTTTGGAAGTGTTATAATTATAGTGTCAGGCTGTGTGTTTATAATAATAGTGATTAATAATTGTAATATAGTATAATTTATTTCATTTCACTCAGTATTTTCATTTTCATTTTAAATTTACGTTTCATCAAGACTTGTTGAAGTTTTAGCTATTATAATAGCTCTTCTTCTATGTTTTCTTCTAGTTTNTGAAAGATTAAAATTGAATCCATTTTGTATTTATATTAAATGAAATTTTATAATTCTTTAATAAACAATAAACTATTTTCAATTAATAAATGCATATTCTATGAATAAATAAATATATCTCTCTGTTTAAATCATCTGATTATAATTAAATCATTAAATTTATAGAGTTAAAATTATAGATTTCTCGTAACTCTCTCAATATCTAATTCATCATCAATTTTGTTTTTTTCTAAATTTTTTACTGCAATCTCTTGTTCTTAAATTTAATGTTTAGCATTACAACATATTCCAAATGTTCTTTTTAATATGTTATATCTTTATATAAGTATACTTATAGTTTTAAACAAATTAGTAATCATATATTTTTATGAACTTGAGGAACTAAATATCAAGAAAATTCAATATCCAAATACTAAATATATAAAAAGATTAAGTAAATTTAATTAAATTCAGATTTTGAAACAATTTAATTGCATATTACTTTTAATAATCATATAAATTTCAGCTTTAATCTAAATGCAAAAATTGTAATAGCGATGATTTTTTCCTAAAATACTATAATATTTTTATCGTGATTTTAAGAACATACATTAGAAAAACACAGAATTTAGCAGAATATTAAAATATTTGGAAAAATTAATCTGCCAAAAAAACTTAATTTGAGTTCTTTCTTGCAATATTCATTTATGCATTCAAATTAAGTTTAAAAAATCAATAAGATTGTAAAAAGTGTACTTTTCTAACAATATCTAATCTAAAAATATAAATCTTCATAATTTTTGGAAGTGTTATAATTATAGTGTCAGGCTGTGTGTTTATAATAATAGTGATTAATAATTGTAATATAGTATAATTTATTTCATTTCACTCAGTATTTTCATTTTCATTTTAAATTTACGTTTCATCAAGACTTGTTGAAGTTTTAGCTATTATAATAGCTCTTCTTCTATGTTTTCTTCTAGTTTATATTATTATATTAATTAATTTTTATTTTTTTCAAGGAAATACTTTAAAAAATTTTTTTCATTCAATTTAGATTAATACCAATGATTTCTTGATTAATATCAGTAAGGGAAAAGGCTAAAATATTTTTTCTAATATACTTTTTTATATAAAAATAATTTGATTTTATCTGACTTTTGTATACTTTATCTAAAAACTTAATAGAATAATACCTCAGTAATGGACGATTATGAATTCTTTCTTTAAGTCGTATAAAAATCTGTTGTGGCAATGCTTAAGGTATCTTAATTATCAGAGTTTTCTATGTTTTCGATATAAATATAGTCTACAAAGGAATTAATCAAAGTTGTTTAAGGTTAAGTATTAATTGTTTTAAGAGGAGAATTTCCCATTATTTTAATATTAAATATCAAACAAATATTCCTAGCTTTAAATCAAGATTTATAATGAAAATTTAAAACTTACAAATAAATAATTTTATCAATATTAGTTGTAGACAATGAAGCCCTTATAATATAAATATAATCATTAGAATAAAGCATATCATAAGAAATAAAACTATAAATCAGAATCAATGTTTAAAATTTGTCATCCTCTTATTAGTCCAATCAATGTTTATTAAAATTTATATTGTTCATCAACTTTCAATAAGGTTGTTTATTTCAAAGTCTTCTTTTTGTTAAAAATTACTTCTTGAATCTTTATCTACTATTTTTGAGTTAACTCTTTGGGATTCTAAAAAGGAGATTAGGTTTTTGAATAGGATGGAGGTGAGTTTGTAATATGTTTTTTAGATTAATTATCTTTCTATGATTATTGTATTGATGACTTTTCTTTTTACTTTTTCAACTGAGATTGATTTTATTGCTATTTCTGAATTTAGCATCCCATTTTGTTCTTTAAAAAAATTAATTTAGACAAATATTTGGATTAATAAATCAAATTTATTCATAATTAACATTTTTATTAAAATAAATCACAATATGAAAAATACTTTTTACATACACAAAATTAGAAATGTTTACACTTAAATATGATTTAAACAGAATAAGTAAAGAAACTCATTTTACCAGGATGTAAATATTAGAATTCGATATAATTTATTTTATACAATTAAAACTCAATACTAATTGAAAATATTAGTATCGTTAATTTGTGATTTTCTAGATTACTTAATATTACTAATTTATTCCTTAATTTCCTTTGGATTATACTATAACTATATATAAATATTTTACTCTTTTTTTTTTCATTTTCTTAATCTTTTTATGTATTTAAACACGAAACTATTATTTTTCTTGTTTATTTTAAGTTTAATCTTAGTTTTATGAATTATTTCTTGACCTTTTTCCTTTTGATGATATTTATTATTTTTTTTGAATCCTTTTAAAAGCATTTTTTGAATTATTCAATTCTTTTGCTTCTCTTTTTGTTGTTTCAGCTGCTTTTTTAATTCTTACTTCTCTTCCTTTAATTTCTATAGTTTAAGCTTAAAGTGCTTTTTTTAAAGATAAAAACTCATTAAAACACACATATCCAAAACCTTTTCCAACATGTCTTTAAGGATCTTTAATTACTCTAACATAATTAATTTATCCAAATGCTTCTTCAAATACTTATCTGACTTCTTCTTCTTCAATATCAAATGGGAGATTTCCAACAAATGCTGTTTTTATATGATCTTTCTAATAATTAGATTAATAATTAATTACTTTTTTTTATCCTTCTAATGTGCATCTTAAATGTAGATTCATAAATAATTAACCATCTTATTGAGTTGCAGATTTTGCTGATTTAGCATCTTTAAATAATATATAACAATTCTAAGATTATGCTCCTTCTTAGATCTTACCCATTAATACAGCAGCTCTAACTGGTAATTTAATATTTTCCTTTTTAGTTGCTCTATCAACAGGTATTGATCTAAACCATACTTTTTCAATCTATAATAATTATAAATTATTATTTATACCTCGCCATATTAATTAAATAATTTTCTTATATCATTTTTTTTAGCATTGATGCTTACATTTCCGACAAATAATGTTCTTTTTATTCTATCTAAATCTATTTATTCTTTATCTTCTTAGTTTTAATTCGAATCTTATTAATTGTGATGGTCTATTTCAACAACATTTTTGGATTTTTATTCAACTTACTTTTCTACTATTTCGATTTACTTTGAAAATAAATCATTTATTTAGTTTCTTGTTTATTTTCCAGAAGTTAGAATATTTGAAAGCATATATTAAATTAATTATGGTAATTAATAATAATTTTATAAATCATTTTTAAATTAAATAATAATTTATCTTTATATTACTAGTTCTCAATCTTAAATCATATCTTATTATAAATCTTAAGGTAATGGCTTTAAATTTATTTATTATAATTAGAGTTCCATGATTTTGTTATTAGAAAATACCCTTATTAGTTCGAACCTTCATTAAGGTTTTTTTTTTCAATTTAAAAAGAATTAAAATTTCTTTTTAATAATAAAAAAATCGTAATTCATTTAAGGACTAAGTCATGTTATCAGGGTGTAAAGGAAATATTCTTGGCCCTTAGGCATCATTGAGTATCCTATTTAGTAAAAACAAACTTTAAAAAGAATAATCACTTATGTATAAAATAAATACTCTAGTCATTTTTTTTTTATGATGGAGGGAGGAAAGTCCCTAAGGCATCATTGAAATGTATCCAATTTAGTAAAAACAAACTTGAAATGTATCCAATTTAGTAAATTAATGAGATATAACACTTGAACAAGATTATTTGTTAAAGAAGCCCTAAATCTTGAGATAAGTAATTATTTGTTAAAGTAGAGAATAGAAGGAAAGGAACTGAAAAAAAATATTTTGAACTCATTCATATGAGTCTTCTTCTTAGAATAAATAAATGTCATTCAATCCAAAGTTAGTTTCTGGTACTTAGTTTATATGGCATTAGTTCAAATTCTTTTTGCCTTCTATTTCAGTTTTTGACCTTGGAGTAGCCATTTATTGATGTAGATTAGCCATTTATTGATGAAATTGCTAGCGCTAGTTCACATTTTGTCTATCCATTTATGAAAAGTCTATTTAATTAATTTATGATGAACCTATTTTTTGTAAAAATTAATTTTAAAAAATCCATTTTAGCTATACAAAGCATTATATATTATATATGATTATTTTATAAAAATCAACATAATATATATTTTATTAATGAATAATTATAATAAACTAGAAGAGATAGAGGAAGAAGGAAATTAATCAAAGTCTAGTGATGAATCATCAGAATCAGATAATTTATTTTCGTCATAGAGATAAGTTAAGACAATAAGGGCATAAAAGAAAAAAACACTATATGCAGAGAAGCTTATATAGACTTATAATTCATATTTGTAATTTCTTGGTGGAGAATAATTAGGAGATAAAGAATAGGATGATTTGAAAATGTTTTTAGGGAATTTAACTTAGACAAGATTAAATTAACTTACAGATAAATACTAATATTTAACAGAATATGATTATCATATGGGAGATGTAGTTATAGCGTAAATATTTATAATAGATAAAATAGATTTCCAAATCCTGATAGTCCTAAAAGTGAAGACTTAGGTACTTTAACATAATTGGAAGCAATATAATTATGTTTGAATTGTTTTGCAGCAAATAAATATGCAACAGAATTTGAAGTGATGGATAATCTGATATTAATAAAAGCAATTGAATAAAATTTATATCATTTAGAAACTGATGATGATTTTTTAATTAAGTAATATGAAGAAGAAGATAGAATAAGAGATGAATAAGAATAAGAATAAATATTAAGTGACAATAATAATGATTAATCATCTAAACGTTTAGATTCAGAAGAAAGAAATGATATTAAAAAAAGTGCAAGACGAGATAAGTTTCAGAATTTAAAAAGATGGGGAGGATAATAAAATTTATTTACTGAAGAAGTATAAAAATTAGAACTTAAATTAAGACAGATATATAGTTTAGATAGAAAAACAAGATAAACTGCTATTAAGGAAGCATTTAATTTGGATAATTATAAATTAGATCGATTCATTCGAATTAAATTAAGTGGAGGGAAATTTCTTTAACATAATGAAAGAGAAAATTAATGGTTTAGAACTAAAAATTAAACTAAAGATTTTAGTACACTTATTAGATTAGCAGTAATTTTATAATTGAGTAAATTGGGTTTCTTAATGAGATAATTTATATCAAAAGATGGATCAACCATATTTCTAGTATTATATTAAGCAGATGCAAATCTAAAGAATTTAGCTCATAAATATGAAATTACTAAATAATTAAATTTCTAATTTTAAGATATATTTTCTTATGAACCTGTTGATGATAATCTAAGACCATTAAGATTAAATAATAGATTATGGAAATCTAACAATGATTATAAAGGAGAATTATCAAGAATGTTTATTTATCTTAAACCTAAAATTGTAGAATTACTTGATAAAATCAATTATAAATTAATTTCAAGAGAAATCAATTAATCTATGATAAATTAATAAATATTTTCATAAGGGGATGAAGAAGTCATTGATGATTATGCTCCATCTGATGATGTATGGAAGGCTTATTATGCTTATTTAATTTACTTAGAAGAAAAAGTTAATCATCTCAGAAATTTATGTATTATTTAAGATGAATTTGCTTAAATGGTTAATAAAAATACAAAAAGTAAAAAACCATATGAAATTTATATGGATAGAAATCCAGATAAACTTTAATTTTAAGATTAAATTAATAGTCAAGATATTCACATTCTAGAATCTTTATAAAAAGAAAAAGAAATTGAAGAATAAATTGATTTAAATGGAAGGAATATTTAATTAATGGAGATATTTTAAGGAATTTTCTAAATAATTCAAGAATAAAAGAAATATTAAAAATATTATGATTAAATTAAAGGTATTTGCAATATTAATGCAAATAAATTTATTAATTCTAAAGATATTAAAGTCTTAAAGAAAGAATAGTTAGCTAAATCATATTTAGATTTATTTTAAGAGGCTTTGTAAATAACTAATTTGGGTAGTGTTAAATCTCTTAAGACTATTTGGGATTTAACAGAAATATAACCTTTTGAACCTTTTATAACATATAAATTAACATCAGATAAATTGGCAAAAAGTTAATAATGTAAAATTAATGCACTTTGGAAATAATATTGTATAACAGAGACTGGTAAAATTTCCTTATTTTCAAATATGGAGAGAATGAAAATAAATAATATGGCTTTGGATGAGAAAATTAATTTTACAATTCTAATATCAGATAAATTTGTTTTGGCTAAATATTGTTTACATGATAATTTTGAAATATAAGGTAAGAGTAAACGTTCATTCTTTGTACCCATTTTTAAATCTGATTATAATATTGAAATTTTAAAAAATAAATCTTTATTTCTTTATTTTTATAAAGAAATGAATGAGAGGAAATATTTAAATATAATTGGTTAAAATAGATATTAGAATCATGAATATTAGTTTGCAGAAAGAAAACTTGAGAATCTAGCATTTTAATGGAGATTTCAATGGAATCATCCTTGGTTTGTGCCAACCAAATAAATTAGAGATTATTACGGAGAGAAATTAGCCATTTATTTTCATTTTGTAGGATACAATGCATCTATGCTTTTTCCAATAGGATTATTAGGATTTACTTTTAGCATAATTCAATTTATTGTTAGTGATACTAAACATCCAATTTATGTTTACTTATACATTATATTTGGGTTTATTTAAATTTAATGGAGTAATTTAATGCATGATATGTGGTAAACAAAGGAAAAGGTTTTTGCTATGTAATTTGGATAATTCAATTAAACTGGTGAAGATACAACATAGTAGAGATCATAATTTTATGGTTATTATTCACGTTCAATTGAAAGTGATAATTTAAATGTTCTATTTTTCACAGATTTATAAAAACTTATGAAAAAGATAGTATCATTTGCTTTACTGTTTGTCATGGTTATATTCTATGTGGGTATAATTGTATCTATTTTTATTATTTCTGATCTATTACAGGATGTTGAGACTTTTGCTGAACCTGGTAATTAGACAGCTCTTTTTGAAGTCACAATTCCTGCTTTCATAAATTTGATACTTGTATTATTATTAGACAGAGTATTTGATAGGTTAGCTATTGTATTAACAGATTATGAGAATCATAAAACAATTAAAATGTATGAAGCTAACTTTATATATAAAAAGTTCTTCTTGTGTTTTTTTGCTTTATGTGTTCCAATTTTAGAAATATAATTTCTTCATACTGTAAGAATTCTTATTTAATTTAAATTAGAAATTTGGTTTACATTGCGCTCATGGAGATTGTTTGAAACATTCATGCTATCATTTTGCAACAATGTTTTTACTTTAGTTTATGATTAACGTATATATAAAGACCAGATTAATTGTAATTAATTTTTTAAAAGATCTCCACCGTTAAATTAAATAACCTAAAAAGAATGAAACAAAATATACAAATCTTAATCTTAATGTGAATTCTCAATAATAAAAATCTCTTAACAATGATAAGGTTTCTGGTTCAAATTAAGGATCTCTCAAATCTAGTATAGATCCTTTAAAATCAATTTAATAAAAGAAATCCTTATCTCATTAAAGTAGACAATCAAATTAATTAAAATCAATTGATAGACATTCATAACACAATTCAATTTCTTAATCCCCAAAAGCAAATTTATAATTTTTTTAAGAAAACTAAACGATAAACTTGTAGATTTAAGATTAAGTTGTTGATGAATAGGATAGTGTTTAGGAGAAGAAGTAGGAAGATCCTTTTCATTTAATAAATAATTACATTGAAGAATGTAAATTTATGTGTAAATAATGAATTTAGAGTTTTTTGATAAAGAATCATATGTTATAAGTCCTGAAAGATATGGAACAGTTGATGATTTTATGGAAATAGCTATCCAACATTCAATGCTTGTGTTGTTTGGGACAACATTTCCAATAAGTTATATGATAGCATTTATGAGAAGTCTTTTAGAATTGTAATGTGATAAATTGAAATTACTGAATGAAATGTAGAGACCTATTCCAATCAGTGAAAGTACAATTGGAGTTTGGAATACAGTATTGGATGGATTAGCATATTTATCATTAGTAGTAAATAGTGGTTAGATTACATCTAAAAGAGATGATATAACTGCTTAAGATGATTTAATAAGAATGTCTGGGTTTTTTTTGATTTGTTTATTAGCTAATTTCTTTTTAAGGTTTGTTGAAATGACTTTGTTTAGTGAATTACCATTTTAAATATAGGATTTATTATAAAGGTAAGCATATTTTATAAAGAATACTGTTGAAAAGTTTAGAGGTTCAGCAGAACGTTCATCAAACAAAGCTATAAATCCTAGAAGTTTAAAACGTTATCCTATTCTTAAAATATATGGAACTAAAGTAAAGGATGTAAAAATCAAAGAGTTAGTAGAGTTGAGTTCAGATTCAGATGTAGAAGATTATGTAAAAAGAATGGAAGAAAAAAAGGGTATCAAACATGAAAAGAAGAAAATTAAACCAAAAACAGAAAAAAAGACAAAATAAAAAAATTAATAAGAAAATGAAGAAGTAGAAGAAAATGAAGAGTAAGAACAAGAAGATAATTAGAATTTAAAATTACTACAAGAAGCAAGCAATAAGGAATAATCAATTGAAGAATTATAGTAATATTTCAATGCAAGAATTTCTAATTGGGCTATGAAGTTTAAAATGAAAGACACTTAAGATAAAGAATAATAATTATTATAAAAGATCTTCTTTTAAAGAACTTTAAGCTTTTTAAAAATGAAAGATTAATTGAATCCACATCAGAAATAATGGACTATGGATAGATATACTTATAGAAAGTATTTTCTACCTAGATCTTTAGTACTTATTAGAAATTTAGATTGGAGACGATATTTGATATTCAAAGAAGGAGATAAAAGACTCAAGAAATCTCTAAAATAATAATAAAATAAGAAATATGAATAATAATTAGATTTCCTAAATAAACATTAAGACATCTAATAAAATGTAGTAGAAAAAATGGAAATATTAAATAAAAAGAAAGAATATGTTAAAAAACATGTATGGATTGATGGTCGTAGTACAGTATATTTAAGATCAGGAGGAGTTTGGTTTGGATAATTCAGGAAAACTACTAATAAAGTTTCAGGAGTTAAAGTAGCTGAAAGTTATTTTAGAATTTTGGAAAAGTTTAAAAAAGTTTGTGAAAATGAAAATAAAGTTATGGAAGAGAATATTTAAGATTAGAAATAAGAAAATCCAGAAGATTCAAATAAAAATAAAAAGGATGTGAAATTCAAACCTATAGATGAACAATTCTTTAATTTGACATGTAATCTATCTTAATCTTAACTCAAAAAGTTTTCATCTACTTCTTTAATTTCTCTTCTAGACTCTTTACAAATTAGACATAAAGAACATTATATTTATATGGTATCATCAAAAGGTGTTAGTTAAATTGAATATTAATTAGATAATTACATCACTCCTGAATTACGAAAGCAAAATAGAATAATGAATTATAGTTACATTCCTTTTAGAGTTTAGGCTCCATTATTGAAAATGAATTCTATGTAGATTTGGGAATTGTTCATTGAGGAATAACTTTCACAAACTTAACCCAAGATTAATCTACTATATAGAATTGATAAAAAGAAAGATCAATTTGCATCAAATATTAATACTAATATTTTTGGTTTACAACCATAAAATAAAAGGTGGATCATGTCTTATGTTGATGTACCTAAAAGAGAGGATACAATGCTATATTATACAACTGAGATTTCTTACAATAGAAATATTTACAAAGATTTTGTTAATAGAGTTTATCGATTTTATGATATTGTTGAAGGTCCAGATTATGAGAGTATAAATTTACCTATAGGAATGGCTAAACTTAGTTATTTGAAAATTTAAAAGTAATGTCCATTTCTAAATTTACGAGATCCCTTAGTTAAAGGTTATTTATGTCGAGCTTATTCTTCTCCATAAACTCATTAATTTTGCAATGGAAAAACTCTTAAAGATGTAATCAAAGAGAGAAAGAGTAAATACAGTGATAATGAAATCTCAAACTTTATAACTTCAACAATTAAATTATTTGATTTTCTAGAAACTAATATGGGAATGTTTCATGGCTGTTTAAATTTGGAGAGTTTTCTTTTAGTTGAAAAATAGGATAAGATCAAACATTTGTAATATGTAGTTTTTGATTTTGGTATGTTCTTTTGGTATGATCATAATACTGAGAAAACTTATTTCATGAGATCTATTTAGTAAAATGATGAATTATGGTATATTAGTCCAGAGTTATTGACTAATTATCTAAAACCAAATAATTAGATACCTATCAATCCACAGAAATGTGATATGTATTCTTTAGGCATGGTAAGTCTTTAGATGGCTACTCTTGGACAAATGAAATTAGATGCAGAAAAATCACTTTAAGAATATGATGGTGATGTTGGTTTTACTGTTAGAAAATGGATGATGAATAATAAAAATTAACTCATTCATGAATATCCTAATTCCAGTCAATTAATTATGCAATTACTTCATCCAGATTATAGATTAAGATTATATCCATCTGTTATGGCAGCTAAATTATAAGGTAGAAGTCTATTTCATGAAAATGGATTTAATAATCCAAAATTTGATGAAGAATTAGAAATTCTTAAATAAAAAAGATTTTGCCCATCTTTCAATAATAATATTTTAGATGATTTAAATTTAGAATAATAATCTAATAATCAAATTATTGTTTCTATCAAATCCTATTTAAAATAATCAATCTTTTCATTCGAATAATATTTAATTTTAGGATAATTTCAAAAATTTGATGAAGTCTCTCAAGATTTTGAAGAACTCATTATTTAAAAATTCTTCCTCACTTCTATTACTGAATAATCAATTTAAGAAACCTTAGACTTTTATGCACATTTCTAAATTTATTGCAAATCTAATATTGTGTATTTAGTTTCTAATTGTTTGGATGAATTCAAATATTTTATATTCTACTTCTAATTCAAAATCGCCTTCTTTATTTACGTTAATAGATTAGAAAATAGTACCAAACTATGTAATTAGATAATTCAATTATTAAATGAATTTGAGGAAATTATCAATGAAGTTGTCTAACTTAGTTAAATAGAAAACCCTGTAATATAGGAAAAGTTTTAAAATGATGAAAAGTAGATCAATGATTTATTACAACTCTAAAAGGATGATTATTAATCATCGAAATTCATTAAATAATTTTCTCATCATATTAGTGTTTATGTTTTTCAAATGTAGTATCTATTATTTTCTGTATGCAATCTAAATGGTATGTATTAAATGGGTTTACAGTAAACTAATACATTAATAACAGAATAATGGAATGAAATAAAATATGAATTAAAATATTGTGAAAAAGATAATAATTACTTTTTGTTGACAAATTCCATTATTATAAAATTATTAAGTAGAATGCGAATTTAATTCTATTAATTATAATTGTTACATGATAGTTTTGACACGAATGCTTTAAATTCAACAAATGAATTATTAGTTGATTTATAATTGATGAAATTGTTTCTATCAAATGAAAAAATCCCTGAGAAGCAAAGTATAATTAAATCAATTGTTAAATGTTCAAAAAACAAATTAATAAACGAAGATTTAATGAAATAATCTATAGCATTTATTAACTATTATGAAAATTAGGCTAAATTTATTTAACTCTTGATTTACAACAGGAATAAGTAGTTTTCAAAGATAGATGATATTGCTTCTTTGTTGGTGAAATAATTAATCTAAACTAATTGCATTTTGGAATCATTACATTTCATTCCTATGATAGGTTGGATAGGTGAACACTTTTCTGAAACCAATCAATAAGAGTAAATGTAATTAGTATATTAACATGTAATCTAACTTATGGAAGAACAATTTATGATATGTGAAAGCTTTTAAATTGAGTCAACAATTTATTTCAACTATTTAAAAGTAGCAATCACTTAAACAGTTTTTTATTGTTCTTAATTACTTTATTATAATGTTTTATCAATGAGTAACGGAATCTATTAAGGATTTATGCAATTAATAAAGTCTCATAATTTATATGGAAATAACAATTTACTCAGTCACATTATATAGGTTAAAATAATGCATGTATTAATTGAAAATTAATAGCATTAATATCCTTATTATTTTAAACAAAATGAAGATCAATTAGATTACAATTATGATGTTCCAAACTCTGTATTAAGTTCATCACTCATTCTAAATTTATTAAAATTATACAAATTTGTCATTAAATACCTCAAATTAAGTGAAGAATAAGAGCAGATTGAAATAACTTGGTTTGATGATGATAAACTTAGTTAATTAAAATTAGAATTATTATATGGATATACTTTTACCTTAAGTAAATAAAATATGGAAACAGAAAATTCATCTTCTTTTATTGATTTGTAATTTGCTATCAAAAAATAAATTATAATTATTGAAGAATAATTACAAAATTCAAATATTTTTGTCATTATTGAAAATAAGATTCTCTTTACAAGAATATTGTAACTAACCTATGATTATTCATAAGCTTTTGATTACATAAAGATAATTGATTTGTTACAGTAAATTCCAAATAAAGAAGAAGATATTTAAGATTAATAAAAGTCTTCTTTGTAATAAATCTTTTTTTCTTTAATTGACATTTTTGTTAATAATAATTATTTCTAAAACAATTAATAAACATATAAACAGATGATGTAATTAGAAGAAATGCAATTTATTAAAAATCATAAAGTGTTTTAAATTCGATTCCTTTTAATTAAATTATTGGATTTTTTCTTAAAATGTCAATAAGTAGATTTGAATAACGAACTCATTAAGTTTTTATTTACATTATATTAAAATAAAGCAAAAGTGTTAAAAAAGGAGAAGTACTCTTTAAAATTAGCATTAGAAGTGAGTAAATTGAGAACGTATATTTTATCAGAGGAGGTTAGATAATTAATTGAGAAATAAGATAAAAAGGATAATATAAAAATTTAAGATTTATTTGAGCATATTTAGAATGCATACAGTATAATAGCAGAGAGCAAAGAAAAAAAATAAAAGAAAAAGAAAGGTAAGAAGTAATAAGCAAATGTAGCTACAAATATAAATCGATATTTATTAGCACAACAATTAGAATAATAAGATATGGATAAAATTTAAACAGGATTAATACATATCGATGATAAAGATTAAGGATTTGATAATTAAATAGCTCTTTGTTAATTGGGAGTAAAATTGATAGTTTATTAATTACATGTAGGATAATTCAGAGATGCTGATTCTATGGCATATAATATAAAAAGGAAACTATTTGATTTGATATATTATGAATTATGCAGAATGGCTTTAAATTGGTAAAGCGAAAGAATATTCTTAAAATCAAATGCAACAGAAATATCGGTAAATTAATTATTTAAAGCATTAAATATTCATGATTTAAAATTTGAAAACTATGAACACAATTTATTACATGATATAAAACCTATAAAATAAATAGCATTAAATGTAAGAAATTTCTTGGTCTTAAAATAAGTGTTATTTATGAGATTATTATATTCATATGTAGAGGGATTGTAAGCTTTGTGTATAATAATGAAAGGAGATTTCAAACTATCAAAATAAAACCTTTATTTGTATATTAAATAATTATGATTAGTGTATAAACCTTTGGAGATTCTGATATAGATGAAATATCAGCACTTATCACAAATGTTCTAATGCTTTTTGAAATAACAACAGCAGATTATAGTTCTGCATCTAATAAAGCTATTAAATTGTTAAAAATGTTATCAAAGAGATTAAAGCTAACAAATATTCAATTGCAAACTCATTGGATATACAGTTAATTTGATGATACAAGAGTTTAAAAGCAAAGAGTATTTAAATTTATAAAATAGTGATAGATTTATCATCCAATTCATTTAGAATAGATAATAGAATTTGAGGAAAATTTAGAAATGTAATAATTTACTGAGATAAAGTTTTCTTATGAGGAAACATTAACAAAAACAGCTTTAAGACCATATTTTGAAATTTCCAAACTTACAACAGAAGCTTATTTTGCCTATATAGAGTCTTTAATTTAGCAACCTAAAATTTTAATATAATCAGTTGATCCAATATTTTATGTACAAAAATATGTTTAGTAATAATATGGTTTACAACATATTTTTTATGGTCATTTATAAAGATTGATAGCAACTATGTATTCTGAATTTCTGATCAATAAAAGAATGAAAGATTTAGAAATTGCATTGCAATAAGACTCAGAAAAGAAGATTAAATTTCTTAAATAAGAAATCACAGCCAAGACTAGAGTATATTTAGAATCTAGAGTAAAAAACAAATGTACTTAATAAATGGAGAAGGTAAATAATAATAAAATATAAATATTAGAAATTCAAAGAAACTAAACAGTTTTTAAAAAGCAAGATAAAAACTTTAAGAACAATTAGAGATGGTATTTCATATGATGTGGTTTGCAGATGGTCATTATAAGCTGCAAATGAATCACTTGCAATTTATTAGAAATTTTGTATCGAATTTAAATATGAATCAAACCCATATTTAGGTACTTTATATTCAACTTTTGCTAACATATTTTTTGTAAGATTTCATAAATATTTTAAAGGTTTAAAATAAAATTGTATCCACTCAACAATATTTGGAAAAGGTTAAAAATACTTTAGAATATTGTTATACATCTATTTCAAATCCAGACTATTGTAGATACTTTTATCAATTAGGATATTTAAGATTGCATGTATTTTAGATTGTAAAATTATATATTGAAGCATTGATTGGTTTAGCAAGATTAAGTAAGAAATAATGATTATTTTAATAGATCCTTCAGAAAAGTTTGAAGTTTTATTGGCAGTTATAACAGAAGATGAGAAATTCTTGTATCACTTTGATTAATATTGTTCTCATGGATTTTTTTTATTTTTGGAAATTAATATTCTGAAATAGTTATAAAAAGAACATGTAATAAGGGATAGATTGACTTAATCTTATCGTAAAGATGAATAAGATTTGATTAGATATTTATAAATAGAAGGAGATAAATTAGCATTTTAGAAGACAATAGATGCTAATTCTAGACCTTATGCTCATGTGGTTGAAAATGTATATAAAGATGCAGTTCATTTAATTGAAAAATAATCTCATAAATTTAATCCTGATTATACAGGATTAGAATTGTTTATCAAAGTAATATAATATAATAAATTTTAGGCATTCTAAATTTGTAAATTATTATTAACAAGTGATAACACAATTTATTAAAAGATTTTGATTCTTGTTAATAAATTATCAAATAGAAAGAATAGTTTAGTTTGAGATTTAAATAAATTCATATATTATAATATAAATGTTTATACTTTTTATTTTATTTGCATCAGGTTTCTAAAAACTCACATTAATTCAACCACAAAAACTCATAAATAAATTAGGTTCAGATATTAAATATAGCATGGCTAATTTTGGGTATTCAAAAATCTAAGTTATAGTGAAATACCTTGGGGTGAAAGAATGATTGGAACATTAATACCTACATATCCTATTCTTGGATGTGAATCAATATTACCTTCTTAAGATCATTAATTTATATTCATTCAAAGAGGAGAATGTACTTTTGTTACTAAAGTGAGGAATGCTTAAACAGCTGGATTCAAATTTGTTATTATAGGAGATAATATAAATGATGATATTGATAATAATTTTTCTATGTTAAATGATGGCACAGGATCCTCTATCAATATTCCTTCAATTATTGTAGGTAGTAAATGGACTAAAGAATTTTAAGATATTTTTAAAAATAAAAACAATACTGATTATTCTGAAAACACAATAAAACTATTAATGAAATTTGATATTATCAAATAAGATATTGCTCATGTTTTATTTTCTATTGATTTATTAAATCCAAATTCACTTTAAATCATAAGTGATTACAAACCTTACTAATAATTATTTGAACATCAATTAGTAAAATACCAATTTCTATATCCTATATTCAGTTTAACTTACAAAACTGATGAACAATTTAATATTCAATCCTTAAATTGCATTGCTTCAGGAAGATATTGTACTTTTGATCCTGATGGAGATGATTATGGAACTGGTTAAGATGTATTAGAAGAAATTATTAGATAACTTTGCTTAAAAAAACTTAACATCAATGTATTTTTTAATTATTTAGTAATCATCTCAATTATATTAGGATTTATTTAAAGATTAATGTAAAGAACCTTATTTATTTGAGTATTGTTTTTCACAATTAATTGTTTTATTAAATTATCCAATTTAAAATGTTCATTAATGCTATGATAATTCTTACAAACAATTAAAGTCTAACTCAAATAACAAGTTGAATTTTTATAATACTTTATTGGAAGAATAACTAGAAATTATTTCTTAATTTTCATACTCAAGTTTTCCACCAGTATTATTAAACAATCATTTTGTAATAAAAAATGTCACAGCTAAAAATATATTTATCAATCTTTGTGAAAGTATTATTTCATTTTATATTAATAGGTTTTTTAAATCCACCTAGAATATGTAATAATTAGATAGATCATCTATAAACAGAGGATAACTTATATTAATCTAATTCATTCATAAAACTATTAATTATTTTATTAGTTGTCCTCCTCATATTTTTATTAATTGCAACTTTAATATATAAAAAGTTAATGCAAAGGGATTAGTAATAATAAACGACAGAATAAGTTCATGAATTAGTCACTTAATATATACAATTTGTGGAAAGCAAAGCTTCTCAAAAAAAAAATAGTTAATGATCAAACCAAATAATATTCCAAAAATATTAATTTAATTTATAAAAACAAATAATAAATTATTATTTTTTATTTTCTAATTATATACTCTCTGTTCTTTATAAATTCTATAATTTTACATAACGATCAATATTCTTCACAAATTATTCATTTATTAAATTGGAATCAATCATAATAGGTATTAATAAATTACAATTTAACATGAAAATAGATTTATTTTTTAAATAAATTTATTATTTCAAGAATGACTACTTAAATAAATTTAGAGATATTTATTATCCATATTATTTCCTCCTTCTCTCTTTTAAGGTTTTGAACCCTTATGTTTAAGATAAACCTTTCTTCTGAATTATAGTATATATAATTGTTATGCTTTTCTGCAATAATCAAGAAATTTATAATTAGTAATAAGCTTTTTGATAAATATATACCAAAAATAAACAAATGAGAATTCTTTTATCAAAAGCAATAGATATTGAAAATTTAAATGAATGTATAATTAATTTTATTAATAAAACACAAATGGATATTTAAAAGCTGATTGAAACAATTTTAGATGCAGCAAAGACATAATAGAAAAAATAAGATTTCTAGTTAGTTTAATAAGTCTTAAATTTATCATAAAATGAATGTGAAGAAACAATTATCTAATTAAGAGGAATAGGATGTAAAAGTGTATGTTCTGCTCCACTACCAAAAAATGTCTTATTTTACAAATGTTTTGACTGTAGTAAAGAACCAACACATGTGTATTGTTAAGATTGCTATGTGCCAGAAAAACATTTAAGTACTTTAAATATATTAATTTAAGATCATGTTGTGACTTATAATTACTCAAATGGAGGATGTTGTGATTGTGGAGATACATTGGTTATGAAGAAAAAGTCTTTTTGTACCAAACATTCGTAAGCTTAAATCGAAAAACCTGATTTTTTAAACATTCTTGGAGGTAGTAATTAATATAATCAAAATAGAAAATTTAACAGAAAGATTTAGATAGTTTATTATGGTATCCTTTGGACTTTTATTTTAAAGAACATAGAAAATACTTGATTACACTGATTAATTAAATTCTCAGATTGAAAAGGCGATTGAATAACTATAACCTGAAAATTCAATAAATTTTATGAATGAAAATATGCCAGAGATTGATGAAAAAGAAACAGCTTTGAAGGAAGGGTATTTATTGTATACACTAATCTTTTAAATACTTAAATTCTTGACTTAGGATAATATTACTTGGAGTTATGCTACAAGCAAGTTTCTATAAATTCCAATAGATATTAGAATATAAGAATATATTAAATTATATCATGTTCATTCTAACAATTAATTTGCAAACTTTAAGTTGGATACGTAAGAATAAATTTGTTAATGCTCAATATTAAATTTATTCGTCAAACACAATGTATTTTTCTCAAGATTTTTAAAAGAAGATTCTAATCGTATTTCAGATTTGTTTTATGAATTTCATGTTGATGAGAATTTTAAAAATTATTTATGCTAATAAATCTTAAAACAATTTAATCATTTATACAATCCAATTTAAGTTTTCAAATTAATAACTATTGATAATTAAGAAATTAAATTCAAACTAAATACTACAAATTATTCACCTAACTCAAAACTTAATGAAATAATCCAAAAATTGATTTAAGATAAAAGTATTAAGAAAATTTATTGTAAAAATAAAATTGAAAGAGCTTCTTTATTTAATTATTTCTTTTAATTTATGGGACATTTAATTATATGTCTTTTGAATTTATTTAAAGAATATAAGGATCCATAAATTTATTAATTGTTTGATGTTTTCTCAAATCAATTACTTTAATTGTAAATTATAAATTAATATATTTTAGACCACTTTGTAATTTTCAAACGCATTAATTCTGTTCCTAATTTGATGATTTAATTGTTTAATAATTCTATGATGAAGTTGTGAAGAAGCTTTTTGATTAAATTTTTGAATTATTATCTTTAGAGACTGAACCATTTAAGTTTGGTTCATTTAATCCTAAAAACCCAAAATTTAGGTTACTTTAATAACATTCCTTACTAATATATACCTTAACTAAAATATATCCTTGTCAGTAAAATTAAACTACAACATTCCACTTTTTAAAACCATAAGAATATAATAAATTCTATTTTTCAATAGTTATATAAATTTCTACACTTTAAGGATATCGAAAATTATTATCTATTTTAGTTGAAACTTGGAACGATGTTTATAAATAAAATAAAGTTGGATTATAAATATTTTTAGATTGATAATTAATTACTTTTTAAACAATTATGTCACAAGTTTTAAATTAAAAAATGATACATAATTAAAAAATTATTTGTCTAATATTGTTATTTGTGACAGAAATTTTATAACTTTGTTAGCCATGTTTTTAGTGGAATACAATGATTCTTAAGAGGCTTATGAAGATTTGTTAGAGACTAGTGGATTAAATCCAGAAAAATTTAGAGATATAATGTTGAATTTATTGAAAAGAACTTTGCTTAATATTATTCTGTTAAAAAAAAATGGAAATCCATCTTTATATTAAGGATAAAGTAAAGTATACAAGGAATAAGCTAAATTAAAAGAAGTCTCCCTTGAATAGGTAGATGTAGCCTATATTTAATTATATGCTTTTTTATTTGGAGCTTTAGGTATTAATGATATTGTGTCCAGTTATGCAGAAATTGCTGAATTTTTCAATTATAAAACTGATGCATCATTTCTTATATGTAGAATAGCTTAATCTGATTATGATCTCTATTAATGTGTAGGTGATATGTTTGGAAATGTTATCCCAGACCAATTTTAAAAAGGATTAAATAAATTATTCCAAACAATCTTTTTTGCTTAATCATTTTATCAAGAAAATCATCTAAGAGAGCTTTTAAAAAAATTCAGTTATGATAGCAGTCTAGATTTATAATAAACAATTTTAAGTTCATGTGAATTAAATTAAGATAATGAATAATTATAATTAAAAAGAACACTTTTACCTGCTTAATATGAACCAGTTTTTGCTGATTTAGTATTAGAATTAAAAGAATAAATAACAGAGAAATTATAAACTTAAAATGATAAATAATCTTAATTGTTTGGCACTGCTCTAGCCCACGAGTTAAATTAGTTAAATTAACATAAATCAACTTTAACATATAAAAGATTAGCTATATTGAAAGCAATTGTTAATGACAATGAGTAACAAATACTTAAAAAAATTGTAAAAGAAATTCAAATTTAATATGAAATAGAATATGGAGAGGGATAGGGATAGGGAAAAATAAAGAATATTTAAACTATTTTGGAAAATTACTCTGTTTATATTAATTTAGTTTTTTTATGTAATAAAAATTTTCAGAATCAATTTGAAGTCATCAAAAATAATTTGTAAATAATTTTCTAAATAATTTATTAAATGATTACAAATACAAATTTAAATTTAACAACTAACAGTATTTTAACGATTTTTGCAAAATAGCTCGATGAAACTTTATGTCTTGATGCTTTTTAAAGTGATGCTTTTAGAGCATGTAGGTCTTAAATAAAAAAAACTTAGTATTTTCAAAAATTTAACAATATGGGAAAAAACTTTTAAAATTAAATTGTAGATAATCATGTTGAAATGGTAAAAGAAACTTGTTCTTTATGTTAATTACAATTTGAAAAAGATGAAATTTAATATAGAGCTTTATTGATTTCAAATTCAAATGTTCACACACATATTTAAATGATTCCTTTACCTGCACAATAAACTTAATAATATGACTTTTTCCAAATTGTATGTTCATGTTGTTAGCATACTTTTCATAAAGCATGTTTACAATAAAATGAATAAAAATATGTTTTAGGTGAATATCAATATTTAAGATGTACTATTTGTTTATTCCCATATAACTTTCCATTTGTTAGTCCAAAATATATTAAAGATACTGATGATAAGATGTTGGCAGAAAATTTGGATTTTTTTTTATAAACCTTACCAGATAAGAAAATAATGGAATATTATGCAAAATATTAAGAGGAAGATGATTTTAAAATTTTAAAAGTTTTAGATGAAATTTTTTCTTCAGTTCTTTGCAACTTATTGTTTTAATTATTGAGTGATATAACTAAATTTAAATAGTAAAACACTCAAATATTATTATAAGATGTTTTGGCTTTATTAAGAATAATTTATCAATAAAATAAAACTACTATGTTATAATAATTGGTAGATGATAATAAAAGTAAGATGCTGTATGGAATTTTAAATTTATTATTACAATTTTAAATTAAAGAAAATAAGGTAGATAATCTTAAGTCAGGATTAAATTTCATTCTTTCTGAAAATGGGAATTAATATGCTATTGTTGAAGCTTTAACTTAAAATGAAATTAATTCGAATTTTGATTAAAAAGCCCTACCATATAATATCGAAAAAGTAAAATCTTAACTACGATAAGATTTTTTATAAAAGTTTTAATTTAATTTTAAAGATTTTTTATTAAAATATTACTTAGCACCATGCAAAAAGAAAAATTGCAATTTTTTACCATTAAAAAGAATATAAGGTTAAGAGCAATGCTAATATTTATGTTTGATTTGCTTTAAAAAGATGTGTAGTCAATTTTGTGGTTAACCATAAAGAGTAAATATTTTTATTTTACATAGAAAAAAATTGGAAATTTATCCAGACATTGTTACAAAAGACACTTTGGTAAGACTTTGTATCTAAATTTAAGAAACAGTTAAATAATTATAATGAAATCACCATATATCACAATCCATAAAAATCCCTTATTTAAGAATTTAATCGGAGAATTACCTTACATTGGACATTATTAATCAAGTTATTATGAAAAGTTCAAATTAAATCTTAAAGCAATAGATTAAATTATTGAAATTATTATTGGAGATTAATATGTTCATAGATTTTTTTCAAACATCCAGAAAGTTTAAAGATCTACTTTGTGAATTGAATTAAATAAATTCATAAATTTATAATAAAATATTTCATAATTTAAGTAATGTTTTTGTTTAGGGAAAGTTCAAACTATTAAAAATTTGATTCCTATGAGGTTTTACGTTTGAGGTGGTGGTCTCATGAAAACTAAATTCTTATGGTCTTACAACAGGTTTTGCTTTCAATAGTTGTTGGTTTTATTTAACCATAGAATATTAAGGTTAAATAGGAATCAATGGTTTCTTGGCTTTTTTATTGCTTTTTCTCACTCTTTCTCTAAATAGTTTAATTTTATCAGGAGGATTATAAAATACATCTTTTGGCATTTCTTATAAATGAAATAACTCTTGACTTATCTTATTACAATGACCATCTTATGTTGATTCATGAGATATGAAATCCATTATTGGAATATTTTAAATATTTGCATTTTCATTAAAATCGGAATTCGAAATAACTAATCTATATTAGTAAAATGTATACTATTTTTATGCTTAATGCTAAATATTTAAAAAATCAATAAGAGAGGCTAATTAAAAATTAGGTAATCTGCGAATATTTTAAAATAATTCTTGGTTTATAGTTAACAATTCATTCAAAAGTTTAATATTTTGTTATGAATTAGATACTGTTTATATGTATTATTTATTTAGATAATTTGATCTATTTGAATCCTCTAATTGATAGAATAATATTATACTTGACATTTGTTGATTAATAAAATTAATTAAAGTGGCTTCACAACCTGTCTCATTTTAATTGGAAACAATCACAATAGATTTTTATACATATATGCATATAGTTGCATTATTTGAAAGTAATGTTGATTTAATAGCTGTCACTTATTTACTATTAATTAATGCTGAGAGATCTATTTAAGGAGACCAAGTGATGATCTTTGTTCTCTTACCAGCTAAAGTTTCAATATTTTAAATGTATGCTTATTCCTAATAAATCAAATCATTTTTACATAAAATGATAACACATAGCAAAACTTATAAATCTAATCATCCAACTGAACTTAAAATTAATGAATAGAAGATTATATTCCTACATCCTTTGAATTCAATTTTGTTGGATAAATTAACTTATTATCATGAGAATATAATGAAGGTTATCCTTATGAAAAACATTATGAAACTGAATGTGAAATCATTGCAGACTTTTTAAGATGACCAGGATATATTTCTAATATTTCTGGTTCATATTCATTTTTTAACAGCAAATCTAGATTTGGCTCTAAATAATAAGTATTTGTATTACTTTTATCAATATCATAACCTACAATAGCACAAAATTCAAACATCGATGTCGATTAATTATTTAAAATTATATAATTAATTAGTTGAATGAGTATCCGTTGTGAATTTTTGTTATTAAATTAAAATAAAATATAGAAATCTGCAATTTGGATCAATCAATCTAAAATCATTTTAACCTTTTAAAGTTAATGATAACATTTACTAATTAATTATTGGAGTGAATAATATTTATATTAAAGAAAATAATACAAAGATTCATTAGATAACATTTAAAAGAATAGGTAATTAATTTTGTGATAAACTTTATGCAATTAGAAGGGATATAAATTGTTAATGATGTTAGAGTAATTTTGATTCTTTAAACCTTTACTGCTTTCTTTTATGATTGGACTTTAAGAACATTATAACAAATAATCAATGAAAATATCTTTTTTATTTAGTATATTGAATGAAATTTATGTATTTTCGTATATGATCGAAGTATTACAAATGCGAATCAAAAATAAATTATATATATCATATTATTTAAAATAAAAAATGGCTATCAGAAACAGATTGTTCTAGGCTTTCAATACCGTCCATAGGTACATTAAATAGAAAATAATAGAATTTTTAATGTTGAGGCCAAATTCTTACCATACACTTGCACAACAAGAAATGAAACCTTAATACAGAATCATGTTAAACATTAATCCTATTTACAGTAAAAAATTTGATAAAATTAGCTATGCCAAAAAAGATTAGAATCTATAAAATATTACTAGATTCTCATTAGATGAATTCTAAAAAATGGAATATAATGTCATTACCCAATTTTAGAGAACAGGATTAAGTATAATCATTTATATCATAAATAGATAATTAAAGTGTTGATCCACATTAAGTCATTTACTAGTTGGATAGAATTGAAGTCTTAAGAAAATTAAAGTAGATATTATTATTAAGTTCTAGAGTTTTAGAATAAAATGCAGCAGCATTTCCAAGAGATGAAGCTGAATGCTTAAAATTAATTGCCAAAGTCCATCTAGAAGAACCAAAGTATAGCAAAATTATAAATATTAGTGCTAAAGAAAACTTGGATAAATTTATTGAGGCTAATCCATCATGTAGAAGATTATTGTATTTGGGATAAATATGATCATGATCAATTATTACAAATAAACAATAAAAAACATAAAATTATATGTAAATGCATTCCTTTTCAAATCTATAAACTTATTTTAAAAAGCAAAATATTGTAAAAATAATCAATTTTTATTAATAAATAATAACATTCTCTATAAATATTAACTTTAATATCTCATTATATAGAGATTGAATGATAGAAACGATGAAACATTATTTAATAAATATATTTTTCATTTTTTTTGGTACTTCTTCAAAAAAGATTGTACTTGCACTAACGAAGATTAGATTGCTATTCATATCTTGCATCGCATTTTTTCTTATAATTTATTTTTGCTGAAACTAATAATTATTATCTGCATAACTACTTCCTATTTTTTGATTATTAATGTCTTTCATCATTTAAAAAATATCTAGAGTGGATTAAATTTTACCTTTCTTTTAATAATTTGTGCATTCAAATAAATTTTAATATTAAGCTTAAACAGTGCTTTATTAATGGGATTCTTCAGACTTTATTGTCTCTGATTATTTCCTTGAATTAGAATATGGTTTAGAAGAAAATAATCTAATTGAAATTAATAATTACTGCTTAGATTTGTATTATATTTCTTCATTGATATGAGGAGAATTTTATCTACAATTGGCATCCTTATTTTTAGATTTATTAAAATCAATTCCAGAAAATAATAAACTCGCACATGGTTTTTATTTCTCAGATATTGTATTTAATTTTGAATCTAAGGCCTCCTTAAATTTTTATTTTGCATGAATTTATTTTCCAGGTGAATAAGGAGTTTCCTTTCTCATCATTTTTTATAAAATATTTTAGTAATTTGTTTGATCTTACTTAAAAATATTTAATTCACCTATAGATGTTGAATTTTTATTACTTCTAAATAAAAATAAAAAAATGATACTGTATTTTTCTAATTTATTATAATGTGTCTTCTTTAAAATAAGCGGTTTTAGTTTAATGTAGAGTCAAGTTTTTATGAATAGAAGCAGATACATTATTTTTCTTGGCTTAAGGTGTAATCATAGTTGAACTAAGATTGTGTTTAGTAGAAGAAATACAAGTTCATATTCTTATTTTAATCTGATTATGAATGATTGGCACTTAAATTTGATAATGATTGTTTCTAATTCATCATTAGATTTGTCTTATTGTTGTCTTTTTTATATTAAATTTTAATTGGAGGGTGAACTCCTCTTCCTAAATATTATGGAACCTAATTTATGCATTATTAATCATGATTGATTATTTAATTAACATTGTTTTATTGAAGGATTGACTATGTTTCTAGTAATTCAACCTATAAATTTAAACTAATATTACATTATTTTATAATTTAATTATTTCATAATGCAATTTAGCATTTTATGTTGATTTAACATTTAACTTTTCTATCAAATATTAAATTTTTTCTTTATCATTTAATTTTTTGTTTTGACTATTACATTATTATTCTTTTGAATTTGATTCAACTATTTTATAATCAATTTAAGAAATATGATTTTCTAATTCTAGATTTTCTTATTTTAATTGCATTTATTCAACCTTCTCTATTTCTAACTTAGTCTATAGTTCTTAGATTTTGGTATTCAATTCAATAATCTCTAGTTAATACTAATTTTTTATCCTATCTTTATCATTCTACAATTAAAATATTAATGATTTTAATTCTAAATCACAACCATTATTCATTTAATTTTATTTTAATTATTATTTTATCATAGTTTATTCATATGAACTATTATTATTGTGTTCAACTTCAGGAATTGATATTTATATTTTTTTTTTTACTTATCATAAATAAATAATTTACTTCCTGATCCTTTTTATTAAATACTCTTTTTACTAGAATCCTTATCTTTAAGTGCAGGGTATTCTTGAATCAATTAAAAATTATTATTTTATCTCTAATCTTATTCAATTTAAATAGAATCAATATTATTTGTATTTAAATAAACTTAAGGATAATACTCTTCAAAAATAATGTTTTAAACTTTCTAATTTTGATAATTTTCCTCTGAAATAAAATAAAAATAATTGTATACCTATTGAATTGTCTTTAGCTTCGGAACTGCATGATTAATCATTTTAATTTAGTTTCTAATGTTATTATTTCTATGAATAAAGCTCTTGAGTTTGTTATGATTGATGAAATTGATTGATAATATCATGAAATTAATTAATTTCTTAACCCTTATTGATAATATTGTTTTACTTAAGGAATAATCTCTTATTATGGTTACTGATTTTCCAGGAAATCCAGTGTTAATCCCATAGATGTTCTTGTTTTAAATTTAGATTGTTTAATCTCCATAATTGCTAAAGATAATACTTTTAGTTTATATAAGTTAAATAAATGTTTAATAAGAAAAGACTTTAATACAAAGATTGAAAATCAATTACAATAACCACAGACATAATCTTTATCGTCATAACTTCCTATTAATAAGTCTACACATTCAAAGTGGTACCATTTCTAACATTTATCACACTTAAAAATAGAATTTAAAACTTACTTAAATGTAATTAAGTTCAGGATTCCATGGTTATTGACATAGACAATATAACTAGATCTCATTCATATTCATAAATTTTTTATTTTCCACATCCCATTCAAGTCTGTTATAATATGTGGTAGAATCACAGTTTTACAAATTTACGAATTCATCACAATCTACAATGGTACACTTTTGAATTATAGTCTATGCAAGTATAAAATCATTTGTTTTCGTTGAAAAAATTTCTTGAGTTCCAATCCAGCATCTTGCTCTTGGTTTATGTATAACAATTTCACTCTTTTTCATGTACCATTAAACTTTACAGAGACAGATCAACTTATTAGACTAAGGTTCTAAAACAGAACAAATTTTCTATATTGTTCCAATATAATCTTCAACATTATTGTCACCATTTTTAATGATGACATTATCATTGATTCTCAATATGCTACCTTGAATCTTTATTTCATCGTACTCTTCATAAAGACCTTCTTTATTTTCCATAGCTTTAGTTACTATTTCAGCAAGTTTGTTCTATTTATATAATTGTTTAAATGTGGCTTATTTTAGGTCTTTTTCACTTCTCTTCGAGATTCTTTTGCGTATAGGCACTAATGTTTCTGAAGATTGCCCATTGAATTTAGATGGAGAATGATTATCTACATTTGTCCAGTGCATCACACTCATTTATTTTTATTTAATTCAAAACTCTAATTCATTTTACGTAATAAATTGCTTCAGACATGTTTACAACCATTAAAATCGTTTTAAAATTTACTTTTTTTTAAAAATTGTTCTTCGCAATATACTTTTTTGCAAACATGAACATATATATTGTTATTTAAATTAGAATATTCTCACATATGATTTAATGCATTAATGAATTTCCAGATAAAAAACAAAATTTAATTAAAGATATTATTCTTGATTATTATACTTATACAAAAATTATAAATTAAAAACATAATAATCATTAATTAACCACGAATTATTCTTTATTTTATTAAATATATTATTAAAGATCTTCTTTAGTTGCCTTCGGATTCATTGCTTACCATATTAAAATGTTTTATTTGACTTCTTTTATTTTTTTTGCCTCTACATTCCAAATTTATTTTATTTCATTACCCTAATAAATAATTATCATAAATTACATCAATCAAGGCTTTTACATTATAAAATTCTTATAAATTTTATGAATAGATGAAATTTTTAAATTCTTAATGAAATTAAAATGATGTATCAGGATTTTTCATATATTCTTATAAATAATCTAAATATATGATTAATTCCCATAAGTATTTGGCTTCTAATAAAAAGTTGACTATTTTTAATTAAAATAATTTACCTAAGTTTTTAAAGTTGTTATTAATCTATTCATTTTTTAATAGTTTGAATTATTCTACTAATCTACATGCATTGAAGACATCATCAGTTTACTTTCTAGGCATCTAAAAAATAAATAAATTATTATACTTTTAAGGATTCTGCAACTATATAAATGATTGCACTTTCCATTTGTTTTCCTTTTTTATAAATAATTTTTTCATAAGGCATACAAATGCTACATAAATGTATATAAAAATTAAATTATTCCTGACTCTCAAAACCATAAATATTTTGAAATTAAGGGAAATGTTTTAATTTGTATAGATTTTACAAACATTCATATGAATCTAAATGATATTTTCCTTAGTCATCAACTTTGACACTACATTGATGTTGCTGAAGAATAGGCAATTCAAAAATAATATGCCAAAGTCCAAGTTAATGATATTAATTTAATCCTTAAAGACATTTCGATGATTTTAACATCCAATCCATTTCAATACCAATCCTTTCTCTACTTACTTTAGTTTTCAATGCTTTTTTAACATCTTATAATGCAATCACTTTAGGAATTTCTTCAACAATTTAAAATCCAAATCTTGTTGCAAATCTAAATGTTCTTAATATTCTTAAGGGATCATCTTTAAATGTAATATAAGGATCTAATGGAGTCCTAATAATTCCATTTTGAAGATCTTGCAATCCCATTTTAGTAAAATCTTCTATTTCTTGAGTATTAAGATTGTAAAATAAAGAATTAATAGTTAAATCTCTTCTAAATGCATCTTATTCTGGAGTACCTACAATAATTACAGGAGTTCTTGAATCTTCTGTATAGGTTTCTCCTCTTAGATTAACAAAATCAATAGATTGATCTAATATTTTTATACAAGCAGTCTCTAAATGCTTTGATTATTCTGGGTTTAATCTTGTTACTCCAAAACCACTCACTTTGATATTTTTTGATTCAAAATATTCCTTCATTTTCTATACAAACTATTCACCACTCATATTATCTATAGTAATATCTATATCATGAGATTCATTGCCCATTAATTTATCTCTTACCCATCCACCTGCTATCCTTAAAACTGATTGTATATTGGTGTCATTTCGAAATTACATTATAGTATTCAAGATTTGATTCTCTTTATCTGTGAGATTGATCTTTTTTACGATTTAAGATTGTTACATGCAAATGAGATTATTTAATTACTTTTTAAAAAAGAATTTTAACATTAATTACTAGTTTTAATATGAAGTTCTAATAAATTCTTTTTTCATAAAGAATTAGTATAGAAATAAAGAATTAAGAAAAAGATAATTTATATGATTGCGTGTATATTTATTAATAACAAAAAACCTAATTAATTTTATCAACAGAGTGAAATAATTCAACATTGTTAAACTTTGTGATCAAGATAAAGAGTTATATAACTATAACAAGTAGGTAAAACATCGATTTATAATGTATATGTGAAAAATAATACTTTGAGTATGAAAATGCTAAATTATCACTTTTAAAGCTGTAAGATTGATAATCTTTAAATCAACTTTCTTTAAGCTTAATGAACTTAATAATAGATTTGGATACAGAAGAATAAGAAAAGTTTGAGTTTTTAGCAAAAGATTTTACAGAGATTCATATGCAGTACTTCTGGTTTACAAAAACTCTAAATCTGTTGTAAAATCAACAGATTGGATTAATAAACTAAATAAATATAGTTAAAATGCATTTATATTTATGGATAAACTTAACTAAATCTATAATTACCAGTAAAATAAATCAAGTTGATAAAGAATAAAATAAGGAAAAATATGGCATCATTGAATTATTTGATTAGTAGATAGAGAAATACTAAAAAAGAATAAGAAAATTAGAGTTATATAATATAATAGTCTTTTCTAATATATCTAATAGTCTTTTCAAAATAATACTAAAACTATAGTTTAATTATCATTTCTTCTAAAGGTCCTAATTTTTCTCAATCCTCTTTCTATAATTCAAACTTAATGTTTATTTAGACGTATCTAAAGAACCAATAATTTCTTCTAATTTTTTTTGAGTTTGTACTCATATATAATGTATTATAAGGAGAATCCAATACTCAACAAAAATTTAGACTCTATACACAAATTCGTTCAAATTTAATATGATCTTTATAAATAGCAATTATAATCAAATTATTTTTATAATGATATTTTCCATCATCTAAACTTTATTTTTTATTAATATTTCAATTTATATTCTTATAAAGACTAATACTTAAAAAACTGAAAATTTTGCTTGAAGAACAAATATCCTTAATAATCCATTTGTTTCATTCTAAAGCATAAAATTTTAAGTAATGGATTACTAAAGAACTTGCAAGCTTAAAAATTATATATTTACATTTTTTTCCATAATTGAAAAGAAAAGGAAAGTTTTCCCAGATCTTGATATTTAGAGAAAATTTTAAAAATGTTATAGAATTGATATGAATAAACCGGAAATTAATATATTGAAAATATTTTCATGCTTTAGGGAAATTTTCTATAATGTAATATAAATAAAGAAACTTTTTAACGAGATTCAAAATTTTTTTTTTAGTTTAAAAAGTGAAAATTTTTTGAAATCAATCTCAATCAAAATTTTTAATGAAATTTTTTTACTAAATCATTTTTTAGTATGGTGTAGAAGGGAAAATGTATCTTATTTTATTTAAATTTGTCGTTTTTAAGTGTTAAATAAAACTTATTATCAAAAATATAAATTTTTACGAAGATGTTATATAAGTACCTGTTGCTGTTTTTTTTTGTAAAAGATTCGCAGAGTGCATATCAATAAGAATTAAATTCTGCGTTTCAATTTGAAAGTTTCACTTTTTATAGTGATAAGTCAACTTTAGAAGAAGAGAATCATCATTGTTTTGGTTATGGTATATGGAGTAGATATGTCCCTCTTAGTAATACTGCTTAAATTGGAGTAATTGGGATGTTAGATAGTAATTGTTACCATTTGCACTAAGCAATGGAACAAACAACACAATAAATAAATTTTGTATATTATGAGTGTGTCAATTTTGATTCATAAACAGTCACAAAATATATTGAATTTAAAGGAAGTGATGGAGTCAATTAAAATACATAATTTGATATTAATCCTTTCGAATATGAATATGTTTGGTATTTTCTTGGTTTTGAAATGGTGCCATCAGAAAATAGATTTTCTATATATTTTTACTAAGAAAACATTTTTATTGATTCAAAGGATTTTTAAGTTGAGTTTCCATTTTATGATAAAGACTTAAATTTAATATTTGGAGGAGATTTAGATTTAAATAATGATTAACAATAATATGTTAATTTATAAAACAATAAACTTTCATATTTTCCTGGATCAATGATGCTGCTATTAAATTATGTTCAAACTAATCCTTAATTTTGTAGAGGTTCAAGTTTTAAAAGTTTTTCGAACAATTTTGATGAATCTTGCGAATGTTATTAAAGAATAAATAGTATTGTTGATGCTGATTTAAAATATTTAGAAATAAAAAATTATGTTCCAAATGAAATTAATTGTAATACATTTGCTTTATCAACTTGGATAAGAATAAATGAAATAGATTCATTTTTAGATGAATTTAAGTATTAATTGATAAAACTGTCAGGGAATTTTTAAAATTAAAAGTTGATTCAAGATAATCTGTCAGCTTTTCAGTTATTTTATAAAATGACAAAGTCTGAGAATTAGATTGTGGTAACGACTTATAGTTACACTTTTCCTGCTATTAATATTGATTTTTCAGATGATCCTTTTTTAATTACAAAAATATTTAATGTAGAGTGTGATATAAAACTTTGGCATTAATTACTAGTAATAAAGGGTGAGACATCTATTAAAATTTAGATAACATTTTACGATGGTTATGAATAATATAAATTTTAAACAGAAATAGCAGTAATATAATTTCATATGGTTTAATTTTAATTTCGTTATGGCAATATATTACAATAAAGTTCAAGTTCTTTTTAAGTTTAACTTTATATGATGAAATTTTTGAGTTGTGTGAATAGTTATACATTCTAATTTATATGTCATTACACATGTTAAGAATGTGATGGTCCAACAAGCTCAGATTGTTTATCATGTTTTCAGTCTTCAAAACGTAAATATTTGGCTGCTTACAAAACATGTGTATGTCCATATGGTACAATTGATGATGGTAAAATTTGTTAAGATTATTTAACTTAAAAATTAGTTTTAGTTGAAAATGAAATTTAAAAAGAATAATGTCAATATGGATACTTTGAATATCTAGATGACTGTTGGAAATGGTAATTTATTCATTTTATTTTTAATTTAGTCCATCAATTATAAGTAATAAATTCACTACTTGTCTTGAGTGTTTACTAAATCCAAAGACATGGTCTAATATCTTTTATTGTTAAACTTTACTTTACACAGATGAGTATGGTAATACAACTTAATTTATAACTGATTTGAAATTCTAATATATATTCGATGGTAATGATGTTAGTTTTTGTGAAAATTGTCAATAAACTAATTAGATATATTAAGACTATTTGAAAATAACTGAATCATTTTAAACTATATGTTTGATATCTTAAGCACCTAATAATTGTTATAAATGTACATTATGGAGTTGTTAATAATGCTTAATTTTGACTACTTAAATGATCTGTTTAAAATGTTCAGGTTTCACTAATTTAATTAATGGAATGTGTGTAAGTAGAGGTTTTATTGGATTTAATTCTTAAATTAATTGTGAATCACCTTACTATATTAATCATGATAAATAATGTGTTTTATGTCAGATTGCTGATTGTTTATATTGTTTTGATTTTTTATCAAATGATAAAAATTCTAATACTCTAAGTTTTGATTTTGAAGAATTCTCTATTAATGAATATTTTTCCACAGGTTGTGCATAATGTAGAGATGGATTTGTATTTGATTTTAGAATTGGAAAATGTTCATATAAATCATAATAGATTATTACTTGTTTAAGATCATATATCGATATTTCAGGTTAAGAACTTTGTTTATTATCATCAGCAAAAGATTTTTCTATTGCTCCTTCTATTATAGAATGTCATTAATATATTCTAAATTGTTAGTAATGTTTCTAAACATTATCAACATCACTTAAATGTCTTTTATGTGATGATGGATTTTAAGTTTCAGCTTTAACAGGGTTATGCTCACAAACTTAATTTTAAAATGCTAGATAAAGTCTTGAATGGTTTTCTCTTAGTTCAGATACTTGGAAATGGTCAATTTCAAGCTTTATCTAATTATTTAAGGTCAATAATATATTTGATGGATTATTCTTAAGACCTTATATCACTTCTTGTAAAGATGGATTTGGACTAAATAATAATGTCTGTGTTAAATATTGTTAAGATTCTTGTCAAAAATGCATTAAGGTATTTCAACTATTTAATTAGGGAAAAAATGAATTTATTTGTTCCAAATGTCCTTTGAATTATAACAAAAATCATCTTAGATCTTAAGTCTCTGGTTAATGCCTAAATTGTCCTTTACTTTGTGTTTATTGCTAACAACGATCAACTCAAGATATTTAAGTATTCCATTTTTGTATTTTAGTTAATTAATCCATACTTCTAAATTTATTCAAATAATTCTAAATTTACTACCAAATGCTTATAAAAATAATCTGAACCTAATATTATTATAGATCCCAAATTATATATAGCTAGATATTGTTATTCTAGTAATTGTCTAGAGAGTTTTCAATATTTTGTAATTAATGTGTCTTAATTTATTAGGCTAATTTTTAATGCGAGTAAATAAATGGACTTTTTATTTATGAACTCCCTTATAATTAAAATTTTATTGAATTTAAGTTCAATTTTGATTATTTTAATGAAGTGGGACTTTAAAATTACATATTAACACTCCCTTTTAAAAATCTTTGTAAAGATAACAACTATAAATATCCAATTTTCAATTTCTTTAAAGAAAAGATCTTTTCTTTTTAGCATGCTTAATTAATCCTTCTAGGTGATAATAATCCTACCTTTTTAGGAAAGACTTTTATTATTTCAAACTTTGATTCTGTTAAAATTGATAAAGTTTAATTTTATGTTAATGCATTCTTAGATTTAACATTTCAAAATAGAGAAAAATCTATTGATTTCATAATTCTGAATTCTGGTATATTATCTAATAATAAATAACCAATTTATATCAATTTTGGAATTAATAATTTTTACTCTTTTCATTTAGAAAACTTTTAGATTGCTAATGCTATAATCGAAAATACAGTTTTATTTAATATTAATATCAATACTTTAGGAGATGATATTATATTAAAGGATGTTTAATTATTCAATTCTACATTTTAAAATTCATCCTTTATTATATTTTTAAATTTGAAAAGAAATATTTTTATTGATAAACTAACAATTGATTAATGTTAATTTTATGATTCTACTTTAGCTAATTTTATTTTAAATTCAAACTCTAGTAATTATGTTAAAATTAATCAAATTTCGATAAAAAATTCCTTTTTTAATTCTTCTAACTTAATAAAAAGTGTTGAAAAAGTTGAATTCATAATCACAACTATTAAAATTGAAAAAAATGAATTTCGAAATACTATGTTGATTGTTTTTAATTATGACTTTTTCATAATTGATATTGATATTCTTGACAATTACTTTTATTAATCAATATTTCTTGTTTAAATCTCCTCTTTTTATCTCAATAATGAGATTCATTTACAAAATTTAAAAGCCTAAGAAAATTAATTTTTTAAATTTTAATTATTTCTTACATAACAAAAATTATAAACTACATAAATAAACTTTAAGATCATTTCTTTTCATTTGGAAGATAATATCCACTAAAATAACAATGCTGATGTTTAATTTTTATTTGATATTAATTGCCTTAGTATTCTTATTAAGAATATTTTCATCAAAACCACTTAAAATTTACGATATTTTTATTTGGTGGGTATTAACATATAAATTTTGAAAATATTACTTATGAGAATCAATTTTAAAGTCATAAAGTATAAGTCTCGAAGTAATGTTTAAATATTACTTTTTTAAACTCACAATTATTATTAGTATAAGGAATGAGCAGTCTTACATTAAATTCAGTTGTAATTAAAAACTTATTTTCTTTAAATCAACCTCTGATTTCAATAATTTCAACAACAATTAATAGTAGAAGTCCTTTAGAAAAATTATAAATTAAGAATGTTTTAATTCAGGGCAATATACTAATTAAGTCAGAATTAGGATTCATATTCTCAATCATAGATATAAACTCTGAAAATTCATAAGTAATAGTATTTGAGAACATTTCTTTAATTGATAATGTTTTTCATTAATATATTACAGACCCTTCAAAATCTTCGGCTAGTTTATTATATATAAATTCTATGTAAAGTTCTATTGAAATTACTAATTTGATTTGTTTTTAGAATTCAATCACAAATTCCACTTCTCCATTTATATCTATATCTTCAAATAAATTACAAATGAAAGATATTTAAGTTAAAAATCATAATTCTATAAAAAGGGAATTTTGGAATTTATATTATGAAATTTAAATTAAAGAAGATTAATAATAGAATTAAGTTGATTATATGATTAAATCAATATATTTTATCAAAAATAGAGGAGGATCTAAAATGGGACTTTTAGCAATATTATAGCTTAAGCATGTTCAGTTTTTGATATCAACACTCAAGGAGAAGGAATTATAGGAATTTCACATTGTTATATCGCTTATGTATAAAGCTAATTAGATTCTAGCTAAGAGAATGATGGAGCAATTAGTATATCATCTTAAAATAGTTATTTAAAATTGAAAATCTAATAATTAATTTTAACAGAAGTTTTAAATAGATAAGCACCTTCAATATTTTCAATTTATCCATCAAATGTAAAAAATAATATTGAAATGAGAGATGTATTTGTTACTAATTTTTTTTCTTTGAATAATCAATTTATAAAATTAGATTTTAATGCCCAAAATGCTAAATTAAATTTAGTCTTAATAGATAATTTAAGAATTTCGTAAAGTGTTGATAACTTATTATCATATATTTAATAGATTGGAATTCTTAATTAAGTTTAATTATAAAAGATGTTAATTAATAATGCAATATTGAATTTCTTAGGATGTTAATTAAAAATTAATGAATTTTAGATAGATGGAATAGTTTTATCCTCTGTATTAAAAATTATGGACTCTATTTCAATAAAATTGATGAATTTTAAAATTGTTGAAATTTAAACAATTTATCCAATAAGATTAATAACTATTGAGTAAAATAGCTTATTGAATTAAAATATAAACTTTTAAAATATTTTGATCACAAAACTAATTTTATTTTCAATAAAAGAGACAACATTAAAATATATAATGTATTTTCCTCTTGATATAAATTTTTAGAAATGTAGCTTAGAATCTTATGATTTAATAATTTAACCATAAAATCAATCTCTATTTCTAACATATTTTTTTAAATAACTTAGTGAGTTTTTTTCTATTAATTAATACTAATAAGGATCTTTAATTTATTTTTACAGTAAGAATGTTTAAACAAAAATATAATTAGATAAGATTAATATAAATAATAATGATTGTTAAATATGTTTGAATGGAGCAATCTTTTTTGATTTTATTGATTTTAATTACGTAAAAGTGAAAGATTTGAATTGTGTTAGAAACTAAATAAAATAATTTGGTTGTATTTCAGCTCACTCTAATTTTAGTTTGGAAAGTAAAATATTTGTGGAGTGTTCTAATTTTATAGAAAATAATGGTACTTAAGGAACTGCTATTTCTACAAGAAAAATAAAAATTGTTTTAATTAATTCTAAAATAGTTGGTAATTATGCAATTGGATAGGGTGGTGGACTATATATTGAATTAAATACTAGAGAATTCTTAATTTCATCAACTCTAATTTCTAACAATTAAGGAAAAGAAGGAGGAGGTATCTATTTAAAAGGTAATAGTAGTCTTAATTAATAAAATTTCAATTAATCTCTTCTTATTTTAAATAATGCATAATTAACAACTAAAAACTTATAAGAACTTCCAACTCATTTAGCTGTCTCAATTAATTATGTTGAAATGTAACATATTAAATTAACTAAGCATAATGTTTTATCCAATAATTTAGTATTAAGACCTTATAAAATAATTTTGTAAAATAAATTCTTGTACACAAATTATTTATTTTTGCCAAGTTCTTGAGAAGTTTAAGGTTATAAGATTTATAATCCTATCAATCAAAATTATATTCCTTTTATTACTAAATTTACATTATCTTTTAAGAATAGATACAATGAATAATTGCTTCATTTTGAAAATTCTTCTTCTTGTAAAATCATTTAAAGAGTTATTGATAAAACTTCCTAATATGTCTTAGAATAGCAATAAATATAAACAATCTATTAGAATACAACAGAAAATAATTTTGATTTAGGTTCTCAAACTTTTTTACTTGATCCTTATCAATAAGATGAAAAGAATTCAGAAATTTCAATTCAATGTTAAACTGAACATTAAATTGAAAGTATGATATATAATATAAAATTTAAGAGTTTCTATTGTTAATTAGGAGAATTTTATGTGTCAGGTGGTTGTTAAATTTGTTAACCAATTTAAGGATTTTATGCTGTTACTTACAACACTACTAAGTGTTCAATTTTTGATAAAAATAAATTTGATGCTATAACTTCTAATAATATAAAATTAAAATAGGGTTATTGGAGACCCAATTAGATTTCTGATGATGTTGAATTATGTTTTAAAAATATGGAATATTGTGAAGGTGGATGGTAGGTAGGTGATAATATTTGTAAAATTGGCCATTAGGGTGGATTATGTGAAGAGTGTGATATATACAATATTAGAGGAGATGGATAATTTTTTAAAAAACAATAAGATTTGGTATGTTAATAATGTAATGATCTTCAAAATAGTATTTCACCTTTTGTTTTAATATTAATTTGGTAAGTTTAAGATTTTATTTTAGGGCAATCTTTTCTACTTATCTTACTATAAAAAGTGTAGAAAAAACAAATTAATTATACACATCCTTAAAACTATAAACTAAATATGCATAAATCATTTTTAAACTTGGCTAAGGTACTATTTTTATAATTATTAAGATCATGAGAGCATTCTACTTAAATTATATCTTAATTATTTATGGATTTTTTCTACCATATTTACCTTTAATATCTCATTTTCATTTTCTTTAGGTTTTTTAAAACAATCAAATGATACATCTTATTTTATGGCAAACAATTTAGATTGTTTTTTATCTAAACTTTAAGATACCTAAATCTTATATACTAGAGTTATTGCCATGCTTTTATTACTATTATGCCAAATTATCATTATTTATTTACTGTATAAATTGTTATCAATTTTTTACAAAAATTTATATAATGATAGAATCATTTCCATCACTATGCTATATTTATATGTTTAAAATTATGCATCATTAATAAATTAGTATATAAATCTTTTTAACATATTTTAGATTTTTTTCCATATTATCAAAGAGATCCATATCATAAATAGATTACATTTAAGGTGATGTTTCTTTGCTTTATTCAACTGAAAATCACACTTAATGGATATTTGGATTAGCAATTCCAGGAATGTTATTTATTGGATTAATCTTACCATTTTCGTTGATTTTATTTTTGTACTTCAAAAGAAACTATCTTGATTCGATTAAATTAAGAAGACATATTGGTTATTTATTTAATGAATACAATAAAAGTAATTATTTTTGGGAATGGATTAAATTATGGAAAAAAACTATCATAATTGTAATTATGATTAATTTTGAGACTGATGTGTTTCTGAAAGCATCATTGATAGGACTCTGTTTAGTGTCTTATTAATTTATTTCTTAAAGACAGTAACCTTATATCTTGAAAAAATTTAATATTTTAGATATATAAACTTGCCAATTCTGCTCTATTGCAATTTTTTTAGCAGCTGTCAAATATAGAAGTGAATAATAAAACTCACAATTTATGTCCATATTTATTTAAACTTTAATATCAATTCTCTGTATTTGGTTAAGTTATCCATTTATTTTTAATATTTTAAAAGAATACTACAGGAAATACAAGTAACCAATTTTAAGTTCATTGATGAACATCTTGAATTTTTCAAAAATTACATCAAAATTTACTAAACGTATCCAAAAAAAATTAGCATAATGGTAATAACAAGAAGAAAACAAAAAAAAAAATATTTAACTGCTAAGGAAAATATCTATATCAAGAATGTAATCAGAAAGATCAGGGTATTTTACAATTAAATATTAGGTAAAAGATTGCATTCATATAAATAAGTTCGTATTCAAAATTGTATTCTGACTCAAAAAGAACCTTGTGATTAGATAAGACTTATTGATAATTATGATATATTAATCGATAATTTTATTCTAAGTTTTAATCATTTTTATTGGAAAGATTATAATTTTAATAGGAACATTCATAATAAACTTTTAATGTTTAATATAAAATCAAAGTGTTACTTAATAATTTCAAAGGGCAAGAAAATAATTATCAGGAAAATTATTTCTAAGTTAAAATTGTAAAAAGTCTATTCTCAAAGATATAAAAATTATATCTGAGAGAAAGATTATTAAATCTTCCTAAATATAATTCAATAATAAAATTATAAAAAAGTTTTAAACGAAAATTAATTTATAACTATTATTTTAAATATCATTCAACAACTCTTCTTATCTATAAATACTTTGAATTTTGATCCCATGTTGTCAAATAATTGCCATCATTGGAAATAACACCATATACATATCTTGTGTTAAAATCAATATGTTCTTATTCCACAAATTATCCATTGTTTAAGATTTTAATTAGAATCACTTTAGAACCATTTTTATTTAAAATCAAATTTTTTGCTTTAACAAATTTTAATGGAAATAAATTACTGCAATGATTATCATTTTATACTGAAATATTTTTAGTAAGATAGTATTATTCATTTGTTTCATTAATTTTATAGATGCTTAATTCCAAAGATTTTTCAGATTGAAAAACAAAAGTAAAATTATCTATGAAACATAATCTAAATCCTAATTTATCTACATTAATAGTTTAAAGAAGAATCCAAATAGAATTTTAAAAACCAAATACTTTAATTGTTTAATCACAAGAACAAGAAATTAATTAATCTTCAGCAAAATTTAAGCTCAGACTATTAACTGTATTTACATGTGCAGTTAAAATCTAAGAACGTTTCCATTATTCTTCTTAATTCCAAAATTAGATTGTTTTATCTCCGCTACTAGATATAAATAGACTATCATTCTTATTTATAATAATATGGGAAATCCAATCAGAATGCGCGTCTATTCTCTATTAGCAAAACCAGTATTTATTTTCAAAAGACCAAATTATTATCATTTTATCTTAACTCCCTGAAATTAGCCAATCCTTTTTATGAAAAAATTATAAACAATAAACAGCATTACTATGTTAATTTACTATTTAAGATTTTGTTATTTTGTCTTAGTTCAATTCAAATATAGATATCTATCCTGATGAATAGCCTGCAGCAAGTATAGAAGAATCATTATTAAATGAAAATGAGTAAATTGGACTTTCTTTTAGTTTATTTATTAATTGATATTTAAGTATATTCTAAGTTGAATTTTATGATTGTAAATTAATTTAAGTTTCCTTTAAATTTGAATTGTAGTTTTTTAATATGGACATTAGTTTTTATTATTATTCAACAATGATCAACGCGTATTTATTTTAAACTTTTTAATTTTCTAGCAATAAGTCTAAAAGATCATTCATTTAATCAAGAGTATCCATTTCATACTTATCAAATTTTAGAAGCTTCTCTCTTACTTCATCTAATAAATTCATTATTAAATCAAGATCATTTTTAATTTATAAGGCAAAATCTTGATATTCCTTTTGCTTTTATTACTTAAATTCAAGAAACTCTTATATTGTTTTTAATTCTTTAATATGACTAAGATGATGTTCCTTATTTAAACATTCATAACAACTGAATCTAAATAATTAACATTATTCATTAAAACAAACTATTTGTATTTACTAATTATGAGTAGGACATAATAATTATTGTTCCATAATATTTTTTGTTCTAAATATTAACAATTAATACAACTATTAAAATCTATTTTTTTATATATAGTTGCTAATGCTGAATTCTTTATTATCAATACATATTTTTATTGGATCTAAGACTTAATTAAACTAAATAGTTTTTCAAACTTTAAAATTCTAAGAATGCATGAATTAAATTATTAATACATTTAAGGTAAGTTTTTTAAAGTTTGTTCATTTTAAATCAAAATTCAATAAAAATCTTATGCTGAAAAATAATTAAGAATTCCAATCACATAACTTTTCAATATCAAAAGACTTGTTTAGAGTATTGAAACTTAATCTAATTATTTTTGGATTTGAGAGCATTTTTTCATCAAAGAAAATCTATTTTCTTTCGAACTATTAAATATTAAAAGCTTCATAAATTTGAAATCTACTATATTTTAATTATTAAATAATTATACATAATCAGATAGAACAAATTTACTTTCCTTTTCTTTTTTTTATAAAGCACTTTAACTTCTGAAGAAAAAATAAATAAATACCATATCTACACACATCCAAAAATGGTTATTAAATATATATTTTATAGAATGATAAACATAAAAACTGACTTTAAATTCTGAAAAATAGATTCATCGCATAATATTTTATTGCTAGAATATTGGATGATAAATTCTATAAAAAGAAAATACATAATTTTTAGTATGATATTGAATATAATTTTTATATTAAAAGTCCTAATTGTTTTAAACTTCAAATATTTTAGGAAACATTCTATGGAATTTAATTTTACCTTTGCAGCATTTATCTGAAGAACAATAAAGTGTTTTTTTCAATATTATCATTTATTATAAAATCTAAAACGTTTTACTTTATATTTCTCTATTTAAAGAATTCTTAAATGTAGATTATGCAATCGCATCAATTCTTTTATTTAAAAATGATAATTAATTGAATTTTATGAATAATAATAATGAAACTTGTAAGCTCTGCTAAAAGAAAAAGAATGAAACAATATGTTGCTGGATTCAATTCTTTATTGGATTTATTTTAATTGCTTTTTCTGGTACAAGTGGATTGATCATAATTATGGCCCACAAAGAAATCTTAAGTTTTATTCCTTTTATATTCGGTCTTGTTGGATTTGGAATATTAATAAGTTCATGCCATAAACCACCAAGAGATAATTATGTTTTTATAGATGATTGATAATCTATATACATTTAAATAACATAACCAGAGTCATTCTTCTCATTCTTGACAATTTTATAAAAATATAGAACTTTAATTTACATAATACATAATATGATGCATTAATAAGATATTTAATTACGTAAAAATTATTTTATATTTATTTTAATACTATGTTTTAATTAGCACAGAAGTATAGTATAATATAATCTAATCTAAGCTTAATTATTAGGATGGAATATATTATAGATCACAAATTGATTAAGTTACTTAAATAAGTGACATAATACATAATTGTTTCTTTATTTATATGGAAATAATTTACAAAAAATTATTTTTTGTTAATTTAATATATATCTTATATAATATATTATAAAAATGAAGGGAATTTTGAGTTCAAATTAAATATTTAATTGATAATGAGATAATTCAATTATTTTCTTTTGAGTTAAGATTTTCAAAATTTGATATTGTTTAATTCTAAATATTCAATTATGCTACAATAGGATAATTTTCTACAAATAAAGGATTAAGTAAACAACATACTTTGATAATATTTATCTTGAATGGGGATACCATAAATGTATTCTATCCATCATTTCTATAAATTAAAAATTTATTTATATTTGTATTTTTATCAAATCAAATACAATATACAGGAAATATTTTTAATAAAAATGAAATAAACTAAAAAATGTAGCTTTTTATGAGGATATTTTGTTAAATTCAAAAATCTTTTTAGTTTAATTTAAAGATGTAAGATTGAAGCTATTGAACTTAATTCAATCCTAGGATAGCTAGATATTGACTAAAAAAAGTCTTGATAATACAATTAAAGAAATATATGAAAATTCTTTAATATATTAAAACTAAATCAAAATTGTAGTTACATTGGAACATTTAGTTACAAAAAACAGAATATCTAGTTCATAATCAAATTAATAGGTTATTAATTTCAATAGAAGAGATGAAAATTAATTAAAAACTTGAGAAGAGTTTTGATTATATAATTTTCAAAAATAAAAATAAACTCTTATTTAATAAGTACTTATAATCAAATTTATATGTTTTATTTAAACTGCTTGAAAACTTGATTGTTTTTTTCCTGTGCACCTGAAATTTCTTAACTTTTCAGATTTAAATTACAAAGTCTGCTTTTCAAAAAATGAGATGATCATATTTTTGTATGAAGGGAAAAAATGCACAGGTTGCTAAATATTAAATATTTTTAAATTCATAAAATAATGTCTAGTTTTAATTTATTTGGTTTAAATCAATATATTTATTAGTTGTTTGAAAAATCTTAGAGCTTTTTATTTATGATTGGTTACAGTGTTATGTTTGCTTTTATTTCATAATTATTAAAATTTTTATTTTTGGAGGAAAATTTTGAAATATATTATGGAACTTAGGATTTAAAACTCAATTCTTAGATTTGATAATTTTAGAGAATGAAATCAAAATAGTTTGATGATTTTGTAGGAGAGTATTGATTAATAGAAAATGATTAAAGTTATAGTAATGGTTTAACGACATTTTATTCCATCAAAAAGGGGGAAATAATAATTCTTACAGATATTTATTTGTTAAAATCTAATTGAAAATTAAGTAATACATATAAAAAGGATTTGCAGATGGTTAGATTATTTTTGAAAATGTTTTATTGTTCTGAAATATCTAATAAATAAAAATATTAATTTAAGATGAGTCTTCTTGTTAAACATATCAAAAAGATAGATTTTTTTGGAGCTCCTTTAGTGTAGTAAATTGATTAAGAATAGTCCATTTATAAAAGCATATTGGGAGGGGTTATTACATTATTAATTTGCTCTGCAAGTCTATTGTATACAATCTGGGTTATATATTTATGGTATACAAATTAATTTAGCCCTAAAATATCAAGTTCTGTATATGTTTCTAATTTTGAGTTATTGGACATCAACTATGATCTAATCAAAATTTGTTATTATAAATATGAAGAAAACTTGATAGACCCTTTTGAAGCTAAAGTTCTATTACCTTTAATAATGTATACTGAAAATTATACATTTACGGAAACAAAAGTATTGAATTTAACAAATGAAATAACTTATTATGGAAATAGATACATCATACCTTAAATGAGATTAGGATTCACTGAAATCAATGGCGTATTAATTACTACATCTGAAATGTATATATAAATAGTTAAATGCACACCTGAACTTTTAGGAGAAGGAGAGTAATGTGCATCAGAAGAAATCAGTAATTAGTTTTTTAGTTAAGCTTAAAATATTATCATTATGCAAATCAAAAACAAATAACTTAATTCAAAAGATGGTTCAATGTAGTCAAGTGTTTAAGAGTTTTTTGTTTAAGTAGAAAAACCTAATTGTTATACTCTAAATACATTTCTTTAAAGTAGTTTTTATGAAGTCAAAGATTCAATACTATTTGGATCACCTAAGTATTATGAATATGTAAATGGCGCATTGATTTAACCATAAACTAATACAGTAGAATATTGTCAATAAGCTTATGGAGATGAAACATATGCATCACTTTATATTGTTATGAAAGGAAATTAAATTAAAACAATCCTTGAGTATCCAAATGCAGGTGATTTACTTGCTAACATTGGTTCTATTGTTTCAGTCTTATTTATGGTAAGGCATATTATTGTTTTCTTCAACTCTTATTTTTTGAATGAAAAAATAATTAATGAAATGATTTCTTATTATTATCCTTAATTTTCTTTAATTAAAACTCACAAAAATTGGAAATAAGAAATTGTTAATGTTACTCTATAAAAATAAACACTTGATTTAAATGAATATAAAAGGTTTTATGAAGATATAAGATCTAAAATTGAATAAAAGCTAACATATGTTAATATGCTCTATGAAATGTCAAGGATCTATATTTTAATTCGCTCAAGCAAATCTATAGATGAAATTAAAAAATGTCATTCTTTAGGAGTAAAACTTGGTCATCTAAGATAAACTACATTAGGAATAGATCCTTTCTCTAAATGTGGTTTAAGTTCTAAAGAATTAGAAGATCAAATACTCAATGATGAAGATATTGGTATTCTATCTTTACATGAAAGAAAAAAATAATTTAAAATAAATAATATAGTCGATGAGGAACCTGAGTTAATAGATTTTTATGATTTAAATAGAATTAAATTATGAAATATTAAAACAATGCATTATTTAGAAATTTCTCTCTAATATATAGTCCCTATTTAATTATTAGTGCTGTTGCAAGTATTTGCTTCATATTTTTTAAATATTTTTTTATTCATTAACCATATGTAAAATAAATTAAATACACAATAATCAAAATATACTTCATTATACCTTTTTATAATTTTTCTTAATAGCAATTTATCCTCAAAGAGTTTTAGGTAACTATTTAGAGAAACTCTTTTGATAGATCTGAATAGCAAATTTTTAATAAAATAATAGATTTTTAAAATTTAGAAGGTGTCAAAGAACAAAATTTACGTAAAACATTTATAATTACACTATTTAATAAATGTATATCTATGAAATTTAACAATTGAAGTAAAAATCGCTATTATAATATTTAGAGAAATACTTTTGTTGATATCGATTATCATAAATTAAATAATTTTTGTATTTAAATAAAATTAAATTTGAATGGTTGTAAATTAAGGACATTTCTATCTTTTTTTATTTTAAGGAAAATTAGCACACTCTATTTCTTTTTATGTACTTTGATTTTGATGCTAATATGTCAAATAAGTTGCTTTTTAGAAAAATGTGTGAAAGTAAAAGAAAGGGATTAATTAAAGTTGTTATATAATCAAAGGACAGTACATTTCAAATAAGCTAAAAAAAAATTTTTATAAAACTTTTAGCAGCAGCTTTCTTTTAGGTCTCATTTACAATAATAAGGACTTTAAGTTTTTATAAAGTAAAAGCAAATAAATATTTGATAACTTTGATAATTATTATTNAAAATTGGAAATAAGAAATTGTTAATGTTACTCTATAAAAATAAACACTTGATTTAAATGAATATAAAAGGTTTTATGAAGATATAAGATCTAAAATTGAATAAAAGCTAACATATGTTAATATGCTCTATGAAATGTCAAGGATCTATATTTTAATTCGCTCAAGCAAATCTATAGATGAAATTAAAAAATGTCATTCTTTAGGAGTAAAACTTGGTCATCTAAGATAAACTACATTAGGAATAGATCCTTTCTCTAAATGTGGTTTAAGTTCTAAAGAATTAGAAGATCAAATACTCAATGATGAAGATATTGGTATTCTATCTTTACATGAAAGAAAAAAATAATTTAAAATAAATAATATAGTCGATGAGGAACCTGAGTTAATAGATTTTTATGATTTAAATAGAATTAAATTATGAAATATTAAAACAATGCATTATTTAGAAATTTCTCTCTAATATATAGTCCCTATTTAATTATTAGTGCTGTTGCAAGTATTTGCTTCATATTTTTTAAATATTTTTTTATTCATTAACCATATGTAAAATAAATTAAATACACAATAATCAAAATATACTTCATTATACCTTTTTATAATTTTTCTTAATAGCAATTTATCCTCAAAGAGTTTTAGGTAACTATTTAGAGAAACTCTTTTGATAGATCTGAATAGCAAATTTTTAATAAAATAATAGATTTTTAAAATTTAGAAGGTGTCAAAGAACAAAATTTACGTAAAACATTTATAATTACACTATTTAATAAATGTATATCTATGAAATTTAACAATTGAAGTAAAAATCGCTATTATAATATTTAGAGAAATACTTTTGTTGATATCGATTATCATAAATTAAATAATTTTTGTATTTAAATAAAATTAAATTTGAATGGTTGTAAATTAAGGACATTTCTATCTTTTTTTATTTTAAGGAAAATTAGCACACTCTATTTCTTTTTATGTACTTTGATTTTGATGCTAATATGTCAAATAAGTTGCTTTTTAGAAAAATGTGTGAAAGTAAAAGAAAGGGATTAATTAAAGTTGTTATATAATCAAAGGACAGTACATTTCAAATAAGCTAAAAAAAAATTTTTATAAAACTTTTAGCAGCAGCTTTCTTTTAGGTCTCATTTACAATAATAAGGACTTTAAGTTTTTATAAAGTAAAAGCAAATAAATATTTGATAACTTTGATAATTATTATTTTTTAATAAGAAAATTATTTCACTGATTTAATTAATGCTTATCAAAATAATCAATCTTTTCAATCATATCAATTTTAATTTTCTTTTGCTTCCAAGTATTATATACTTGAACTTTTGGTTGTAAAAGAACTCCTAAGAAGTTTTTTTTCTATATCAATCAACTAATATACTAATTTTTTATTTAGATAAAGAAAATTAAATCTTTACAGGGATTGTTTTTTAATTTTGTCTGAAAATAGATAATAATTCACATATAAAGTATGTTTCAAAAGTGATTTTTATAGAATTTAGAAAAGTCTCTAAATATATTATTCATTTTCACTAATTTCTTCAATTATTTGATTTTCTAGTGTCATATTTTACTTATATCAAAATTTATCAAAAAATGAAAAAAGATCAATATTTTAAGTAAGAACATAAACTTAATTCATTGAATACACAAAATCAAGCAAATTTATATACCCTAGTGAAGCTTTATCTTACGATCTATGGATTCAATAAAACTTTCAAAATTATATAAAAAATGAATAACTTCTTCTCTTATAATATCATCAACTGAAGTTTTCAATTCATTTTGTAATTATATAATTTGAATGATAGAGAAATCAAAATTTATAAACACCATAAATATAATTTGAAAAAAATTATTATTGCCTAACAATCAAAACGATTAGTAATTTAAAATAAAACGTTGCTAGATGTTATAATAAGTTTTTTAATATAGTTTTTGCTCATTTTTATGCTTATAAGTTAATTAAGAATGTCAAAGTGTTAATTAAAAAATAAATGCTAAATATTGACAGAATAAATTAATTTTAAAATTTGAATCTATAGTTTAATAAATAAAAAAGCATATATGTGATGAAGATTAGAATTTTTAAAATTAGCTTGAACAATTAAAAATTATTTAATTAAAATAAATTCATGTAACTATATACTACCAACTCATATCAGATCATCAATTAACATAAGTATTTTATACATATAAAATAATTCTATTTAATCTCTAACTTCTTAATCTAAAATCTTTTTTACAGCTTAAATCATAAATTTACATATCTCAATATTATTACTATAAAACCAATAAGTATTATTATAGTATTTCATAGTTTAAGATTACATTATTGAATTAATGACTTCCTTTTCTAGAGATTTAAATTCAGATTCTGATATTGAAAATTTAAAATACTTTTCGTACTTTTTTAAGTAATTCTCAATTAAAGAGTGGACATAATCTTTAATATTTTCTTTTAAATCTGACTTATTTTTGGTTAAAAAATCTTATAATTCTTAAGCTTTCTTATCAAAATCTAAATTTATTTACAGGCAAGATTTCAAATTTTTACTGATTAACTATATGTATTATTATAAAAAGAAATCAATAAAAATTTATTGATAGTTTTTCTTTTGTTCAACAATTTTATTAATTTATATATTAACTTTTTCAATTAATTTATATCTCTCTGAGTCAATATAATCATTTTTATTATCATCAATATCTAAAGATTAAACAAACTTACTCGATTGATCATCTTTATATTAATATTCCTGTAACTTAATTTTGATTATATTAATAATATCCTAAATTTTTATATTTGGATTGCATTTATCAATAATTGGTTCTAATATTTGCTTTTTAATATTTTTTTTTTCTAAAGGAGTTACTTATTTATTTAAATGAATCTTATCAAAAGTACTTTCTAAGATGGAAATAACAATATCTTTTATTTTTCTAGATGCTTCAATTCTACAGTCTTTTGTTTCATAAATTAACATCGATATCCTGTGAAATGTATTGAATAATTTAAAAATTGATATATGATGCTTGGGTATTGACTACTCGGTTCTAATTCAAGCCATATTCTATTTTAATCAAGAAAATAATGAAGGATATTTTAAGATTCTAAAAGTTGAACTTTTTCTAATAATTTAAGGCTTAAGATTAGAATCTACCCTAAATGAATACGGACAAAGTCTTAATCCTATATTTTCCATATGAGAAATAACTTACAATCCAAAATAATAAATCTCTCAATCTTATACATTTTTCATGATTTATATAATATGTTATTGAATTGTTTTTTGGGTTTATACTATATTATCCAATGTTATCGAATTCCAAAATCTTTTCAATTTTATCTAAACAATCACAAATATATATCTCTTCAGATATATAATTTAATTTTAACATACTTATATTTATATTTCGATTAAATATATCATTAAAATGAATTTTTATTTATTATTTAAGTTTAATGATAATATTTTCTGCTTTCTTTTTAACTGTCTTAAAAATTTACAATTTTATGGTTATTTATCCCATTATTGCATTAAATGAAGCTATTGTAAAATGAATCTGCTGGGAAACAAAAAATATTTTAACGAGCTTTATCTCTATGCAAAAATGAGAGAAGATTTAATAATAGTCTCTAAGAATGGAATAAATAAGTTTTCGCCAAAGTTATGGTTTAGGTGTACTTCATATAAAGAGTGGTTCATTTATTTGTTATGGTTAGAAAAAATATAGGTTTTGTCATAGGATGAAATTACTAATAAATTTTTGTTAAAAAAAACTCAAATCTTAAATCTTGAATAATTTCAAAATGATAAATATAAACTTAATAAACTTTTATTTCCTATTTCATATCTTAATGGCAATTTACAATTTTTTTTTGCAAATAAGTTCTTTGATACCTAAAACTTTAAAATTTTTACATTAAGTGTTAATGAATTTAAAGAATAAATTTATTCTTAAATTGTCTATTCTTAATAATTATCCTTAAGATAATGTAGAGAGTATCTTTTCATGAAATAGTTTATGATTTATTATTATAAAGTTGAAATCTTTGTTGAAATCATTAGGTATTTTAGTGTTTGATAAACTTTTCTATATTAAGATATATTTTAATAATAACTTTAATATAAAAAAGTCCTTACACTTAATGAGCAAGATTTCAAATTTGTAGAAACATAAGCTTATTTAGAGAATCTAATTAGTTAATTAAATTGCAAAAATTACTCGTGTATTCAATACATATAAGTTAACAAAAATGATCTGTCTATAACCACATACCTAAAAATCTGAAAACATACATTATTGATTCAAAAAAATTTAATATTCACATTATTTGATAAATTGCCAAGTTCCTGAAAAATATCTTTATTAAGATTAAATAACCTTCAAGATTATGAATTATTTTATTTTTTAAATTACAGAATTTAAATAAAAATAATATTAATCTAATAAATATAGTTAGATTAAATCTAATAAAATATAGGCATCTCATGTCAATAAAATGGTAGAAGATAGATTTTATTTTCTTTAATTTGAAGAATTTCATTAGAAAAAAAATAATACCATTCTTTTTATTTTGCTAATTAGTTGGTATATATATATATCTGTATCTAAATATCATAATTATGAATAAAAAAATTAAATAACATTTTTAACATTATTCATATATATGTCATCCTTTATTTGGGAGTGAAAATCTAGTAATGGATAACCTTTCTAGTCAAATCATAAATGCATGAGCAAGATTTTAATTTATGAACTTTACTTCTTCTAATAATTATCTAGATATTGATAAAATATTAATAAAAATAAGGCTTTATAATTGAGCAGCTTTTTTTTAGATTTTAAATAAAGGAATAATATTTATAATGACTATTTTTTTAATAAACATTTTATTCAAATATGTCATTTTCAGTTAATCTGGTGTTGTTTTTTGTAGAGAAGAACATTAATAATTCAAATTTATTGTTATTTATGATATTTTAATGTTTTGAGATGATTATGGCACGTTGTTGGAATTTGTAATTATTTAATTAAAAATTATTTAATTAATTAAAAATAAATGATCTTAATTGTGTACTCATAAATATAATAAAATTTATAAATTAAGTTTAAATATTAATAAAATTTATGGAATGTGAAAATAAATAAGATGTTGAGCACAATTTAAGCAGTTGAAAATCAATAGAAGAGAAAAAGGAAAATACTAAATCAATATGAATTTTAACTAAAATATGGACAATTAATTTATTATAATAATTATTGAGATATATTTATAAAAATATAGATCCAATTTTGATCATTCTAAAGATTATTTTGTTATAAAAATAATGAAATATATTAATATCAGATCATGTAAAATCCATTAACAAAATATCTAAATACATAAGACAGTATGGATTAAGCATAAAATTACCAATTGGATGAATATAAAAAGAGAAAGGATGCAAGCTGTTTAGATATTTTAGGTAATTAAGCTGGAATCTTGATTTAATAAAAATTTGACAATTTCTAATTTAGATGTCTATCTCCTAATGTATTTTAAGTGTTCTCTATAAATGATCAAGGGCAATTAATGTAATAATTAGCATTTTTCAAATGTATAGAAATATCTTCAGATTGTTCAAAATGCTGTTTGGGGTATTTCTTCTTATATATTTAGCCCTAAAATTCGGCCATTTGAAATGTTAGCAATCTAGGATGCAAAGACTTTTTACCAAACATAGATAATATAGGTTAAGAAAATTCTGATCGAACGATTTTTAAATTTGACCGAAATTATACATGCACTTGTTGCTGCATAAATATATTTTATGTAGAAAATGGTTAAAATAAAAATTTAGGATACATTATTGATCCTTTATATTGTTGTAGAATTGGATCATACATTTATGATTCTGAAAATAATTTAAAATACATGATAGAGGCTAGTACTTGTTAAAAGTATTTTTGGTTCAGGTGCCCTTGTAGTGAAGAATGTAATTAAGTTGACTTAGAAATCAAACTTCCAGATGGAGTTGTTGGTAAAATAAAGAAATTATAACAATAGTTGCACCAATACAAAAACAATTGAAAAATTGCTGTTAAAAATAAAATTAGGACTATTATTCTGATAATCTAAAAGTTTTATTCCCTTAAAAAGCATCAAAAGAAGATAAAGCTTTAATTCTAGCAGCAACCATTTTTATTGAATTCAGTTATTTTATGAGAGGGTGATATGATCTAAATGAAATATATAAAATATCCTTTATAAAATTTTTAATATTTCCTCTGTTTTGTNAAAATTTATGGAATGTGAAAATAAATAAGATGTTGAGCACAATTTAAGCAGTTGAAAATCAATAGAAGAGAAAAAGGAAAATACTAAATCAATATGAATTTTAACTAAAATATGGACAATTAATTTATTATAATAATTATTGAGATATATTTATAAAAATATAGATCCAATTTTGATCATTCTAAAGATTATTTTGTTATAAAAATAATGAAATATATTAATATCAGATCATGTAAAATCCATTAACAAAATATCTAAATACATAAGACAGTATGGATTAAGCATAAAATTACCAATTGGATGAATATAAAAAGAGAAAGGATGCAAGCTGTTTAGATATTTTAGGTAATTAAGCTGGAATCTTGATTTAATAAAAATTTGACAATTTCTAATTTAGATGTCTATCTCCTAATGTATTTTAAGTGTTCTCTATAAATGATCAAGGGCAATTAATGTAATAATTAGCATTTTTCAAATGTATAGAAATATCTTCAGATTGTTCAAAATGCTGTTTGGGGTATTTCTTCTTATATATTTAGCCCTAAAATTCGGCCATTTGAAATGTTAGCAATCTAGGATGCAAAGACTTTTTACCAAACATAGATAATATAGGTTAAGAAAATTCTGATCGAACGATTTTTAAATTTGACCGAAATTATACATGCACTTGTTGCTGCATAAATATATTTTATGTAGAAAATGGTTAAAATAAAAATTTAGGATACATTATTGATCCTTTATATTGTTGTAGAATTGGATCATACATTTATGATTCTGAAAATAATTTAAAATACATGATAGAGGCTAGTACTTGTTAAAAGTATTTTTGGTTCAGGTGCCCTTGTAGTGAAGAATGTAATTAAGTTGACTTAGAAATCAAACTTCCAGATGGAGTTGTTGGTAAAATAAAGAAATTATAACAATAGTTGCACCAATACAAAAACAATTGAAAAATTGCTGTTAAAAATAAAATTAGGACTATTATTCTGATAATCTAAAAGTTTTATTCCCTTAAAAAGCATCAAAAGAAGATAAAGCTTTAATTCTAGCAGCAACCATTTTTATTGAATTCAGTTATTTTATGAGAGGGTGATATGATCTAAATGAAATATATAAAATATCCTTTATAAAATTTTTAATATTTCCTCTGTTTTGTATAATTAATTAGAATCCTGTTTGAAAATTAATATTCTTAAATTATTTTAAGTTTTTTATAAAGAGTAGTTTAATTAATCTTCTTGAATTATTCTGAAATTCAAAAGTATAAATTAAGAAACCAATAAAATGAAAAAAAAATTTTTATTTAGTAGATATCAATCTAGAACAAATAATTTATTTAAATTACTTTAAAATTGCAATAATGAATTACTTTTTAGAAAAAAATTATTAAATTAATCATCGAAGTGTAAAACTTTTTAATTTTTGTTTGCTTAAAGGTTGCAAAAAATATCAAAACATTTTGTGTAGGTGACTTTCATATTTTACAATACATAACAAAAAATAAAATATCTCTATCTATCTTGAGTTAAATAATACTTATTAATTAGTTACATTTCAAAAATAACTTAAAAAAAATGTATTCTTTTGGTCTAAAATAAATTTATCTGCACTTTTTATTTTAGAATAAATTGAGGATATGGAGGTGAACTTAGATAATTTTAATAATGAACTTGAATTTATATTGACTAGAAAATTTAATTTAATCTTTTATCACCCTTTTTTATTCTCTAAATATTTCGATTTACCAGAAAAATGCTTTATATATTGAAAACTCAGCAATTTCTATATATAAATAAATATTAACTCCTAAAGATGTGTAGTTGTAATTCAGATTAAAGACAACAGCTGAAATTGTAAAATATGTTTGAACTTAGAATACTGAAATTAAAGAAGAATCATAAAAAATATACCCTCAGGAGTTTAAAATTAAATAGAAACTTTTTATATCTTTTATTTTAAGATTGAGTCTTTAAAACAAAATTATAATACAGGAAGTTTCTTCAAAATTATGAAATAATAATTAGTAGAAATATAACACTCAAATTAAGATAATCTCAAATTAATCATTCACAAAATTTAAATCTTAAAAAGCTTTCCAAATTATAAGCAATTTTTAAAATTGAAAAAGGATTTTTAAAGTATAACAATAAAAAAAACCTGAAAAATTATTATTATACTCATATTCCAAAAATTTTGATACAGTCAGAATATTAATTTATAATATTCTTATCAATTGGTATTTTGATAGTTTTTGTTTCTATAATATAATTTTATTTTTTTAATTCAATGTTTAAATCATCTAGTTATTTATATTAAATTTTGCCAATTCAAAATAGTTTGAAAATCTTACTACAATTCTTTCGATATCACTAGTTGAATTATTAATAATAATGTAGATAGCTTATAATGACGAAATTATAAATAAAGTAGTTTGCTGACATAAAACTATCTGCTTTCAATCTGTTATCAGTTTTTGAATAGAGTGTAAAACTTATTTAAGTATCTTCTAAAATTTTAACATATTGAATGGTCTAATAAAATTTTATTTTATAATAGTGATTTTATACATTTTTATCTGAATAAAAATATATATTATATTTTCTATATATTTATATATATTTTATTATGTATTTTTATAGGATCTAGTAAACCGAATAGAGTAATTTAGAAATTTGGAAATAATAAAAATAGTTAAAGTACCAATTTACATACTCATTCTAATGTTAAAAATAATGAATAACTTAGGAAATTCTAAGGGTAATATTTTTGATGATTTTTTTTTGAAATTTTCAATTCTGAGATGATATCAGACAATTCACTAAAATTATACCTTTTTGTGTTTTACTAGATTTTTCTGAAAAATACCAATCTCTATAAATAAAAACAAGAAAGTACGAACTAATATGGCTATCCTTTACTAAATTTATGTTTTATGAATATATATAAATAATATCTAAATTCATTCTAGGATACCAAATTAATGGTCATGTATTTATTTATTTATTAAAAATTCCTCTTATGGTATAATTATGATTATATTCAATTTGATGATTAAAAATCTGTTGTTGTTGAAATTTTTATTCTACCATTTTATAGAAAACAGAGACTAGAAAATTTTATTTTGATTAAAGCCAAATGTTTTGATTATTTTAATGTTCCATAAAAAAATAAATTAATTGAGAAAAAATTTATATTAAAATTCGAGATATGTTTATTTATACATAGTTATGAAATCATAATCTTTATCGAAATATTAATGCAATAATAGGTCATTGATTATACAACGACGATTGGTATAATTTGAATATTATAGAAGAGCAGATAGCCTACCTAATCACCTTAAAATATAGATGGCCTCTCTTTCTAAAATTATTTCACTGAATAATCAAATCTCAAATCTTAAGCTTCTAAAAAAGAAATAATCAGATTGATTTAGTCTTCTTATGAGAGTATAGAGTAAAATATAGACATCCAAGAGTTGAATACCATTTTGACAAAACTACTTAAGGGATTAAGCACTTGTCTTTATGAGTAAGATTTGTCATTAGCACTGATCTAACTTATATAAGTAATCAAAAAAACTATAAAGAATTACTAAATCAATTAAAAGTAAATCTATGATATTGAAAAGACCTAATTATTGTCAAAATTATAACAATTTGAACAATAATCTACAGAGAATGAATAGAAATTAGGTAATTTTTTTTGTTATTTTAGTTAATAAGATTAAAGAATATGAAAATCAAAACAGAATATTAAAGTATTAGAATGATTTATCTCAAATCAAGAAAGGCAGATTAAAAACTGAGAAGCTTATTGATCGCAATTAATATAAAGAATAAATTAGGGATATGTAATAAGAAATTCTTTCTATATCAGAGAAAAAGCATAAATTAATAAGGTTGGTAAAAGCAATGAAATCAAGAGGAATAGATGTTGAAAAATTTTATTATAATCTCAACAATTAAAGTAATAGAGAGACCAAGAAATCAAGCAAATAATCTAATTCATAAAGTGAGCACTTATCATTCAGTGAATCAAATATGGCAGATATTTCTCAATTAGATTTCAGTGCTGGATTAATTAAGAGACATACTCAATTTATAATTGATTGAATTTATTTATATATTATTTATAAGTATATTTTATAGAAACAATAAATCTTCATTTAAGCAATGCAAATTCTCATATGCATGTTCTCTTAGACCATGATTCATTGGGTAAAAAACAAATTATTCTTTTAAATTAATGTTATCATCAAAAATATAGGTTGCAAAAACAATTCCACAAATCTTTAAAATAAAGTATTGATATGAAAAATTCTAATTGATATTAAAAAAGATTCTTAGATTAAAAATAGAAAAAACAAACATAATATAAGAAGAAATTTACTATAAATTATTATATATTCTAATCTAAATAACAGATTATAAAAATCTTAATTATTAATTATGAAATATACCTAAGTTAATAACACTATTTCAAATTTTATGCCAATATTTTTCAAATGAACTTAACTATTTTTTAAAATGTATATATTTTCATTTTATTGTGAATGACTGTATAGTAAAGCCATGACTTCAAAATGTTTTTGAATACTGATACTTACACTCTAAAGAGATTGTATAAGGAAATTAAAAAAAAAAGAAAATAAATTTTGGATTAACTAAAGACTAGATATAATTAGATGAAGTTTTATTTTTTTTAAGTATTCTAAGTACTCTTATACATAAAAAAATTACAATGAATTTCTGTCTTGCCAAACAAGACTAAACACCTTTCACTATTCCTTTTTGGTGTTAAAGTAAAATCTAAAATAATTTTTTACTTGATTTGCTTTACATAGCAAAAAAGGAGATCAAAGGAATCTAAGCTTTGCTAACTCTCTGAAAGGGTAAATCATAACCTCTTTTTATATCTATTTCGAATCCAAAAACTGAAAAATCTTAAAAATTTACTTAATATTACAAATCACAAAGAGAGAAAATGTAGGATGAGGGCTATTTTTTATAAATTTATTATGTTTTTATTTTTTATTAATTTTTCATTATTTATTTGGAAATTTTTTTAATAAAAATTTGATTAAAAAAAAATGATCTAGTTA